GAGACATTCCTCTGTGAAAAGATGAAAGCTAATATTTTCTTTGGGGCTGCTTTTCCCTTAAGAGATCATTTTGGGTTCAGATATAACTTCGCTGGGGGGGGGGGGGAAATGCAACCCAAAGAGGTGAACCTCCCAAGATGCTGAAAAGTAGGTTTGTGATCATCATTAGAGAGCAAACTCTGGTTTGTACAAACCATAGTTTGCTGGAGTTAGACAAAACAGAAAAAACTATGGTTTGTTGAAGCTGGTCTGTGGGAAAACTCATCAATATATAGTATTTTCTAGGAAACTACAGGTTAGATACTGTTGTGCACCACCCTGATGTCTGAGACGTGCAAGATTCCAGAGGTTCCATGGTTTGGATTCCTCAGAATGAGGAACAGCAATGACTGTGGTGTCTTTATGATATATGGCTTATTTGCACATATATCATACCTGATGATGGAGGGGCTCACAGCACTAACATCCCCAGAAGGTCTTCCTTCTCCCTTAGCTATATATATCCTTGGATTCAAGCAGAAATCAAGCATGTCTCTCCCTCTCAGGCTTCTGCCTTCAGCCTCCTTCTGGCTCCACTCTCTCACACAACTCTGCTCTGGCTTTCATCCTTCTAACTACTAGCTAGCTGGGGGGAGGGGGGGGAGTTGTCATCTGGCACAGAGCCACTTCCTTTGTTACCTTAACAGCCCATACTTAGGGGCCATTAATTCACCAAGAAGCTATTCCAACAATTGAATCCTTGCTGGATTCAAGAATTAGAAGGCATATGGCCTAACCCACAACCCCCCAAAACTCACAACAATACAGATGTTGGCTAACCAGCTGCGGAAGAGCGCTATATGCAGAATAAACGGGACTGTGTACACAGCCTTAAAGCCAAGGATGCTGAACTTTCTCCATATTTGGGTGTCTATCAAAAGAATCAACACTTGAATAGTCTGGGATTTGGGAGGAGGCGCTCTCTATATGAAGTAAGCTCCTGCTTTTGGTTGTTATTCCTTTCCTTGCCCTCTCGGATTTTCTCGAGGCTCATGCATTCCTTGCCAACCTCACATTTCTTAGAGGGGGAAGAAAACTCTAAAGAAGCCGTGGCAAGGATGGAGGGGAATATGAAAAACATTATTTCCGAGCTCTGCTGAGTTCCAACAGAAACAGCCATTTATTTGGTCCGCGTGTTTTAACCAAAAGGATTCTGGCAGAAGTCAGGGTAGGTTTCCTTTTCATGAGGGGGGTTTTCCTTTGGGCAAAAGGCAGACACTGCAGGGAAGCAAAAAAGACAAATCTCAGAGAATGAAGATCTAGAAAAGAGGCTACTAGAACTAGCAATTGCTTCTCCTCGCCGCACACCAAGTCTGGCCTGTTGGCAAATTTGTGCCCCCACCTCAACAAAACTCCTTCCCGTGGCCAGGTGTGAGAGCCATTGTGGCATAATGGTTAGAGTGTTAGACTAGGAGCTGGTTCAAATCCCCACTCAAGAAAAAGGTAGTATATAAAGGTAAGTAATAAATAAATAAATAAATAAGGCTGTATATATGTACCCATGGTTATTCATAGGTTCAGTGGTGATTGCTTACTTCTGTACTATTCACACGTGCATTATGTACCCTAGTGCACTCCATACTTTAGTTGCCAGATGTGCACTCAAAGAGTCAACTGTAGAGTTGGAAGGGTACCCTGAGGGGCATCTAGTCCAACCCCCTCCAACGCAGAAACCTTTTTGCCCAATGTGGGATTCGAACCCATGAGCCTGAGAATAAGAGTCTCGTGTGCTGCTGGCTGAGCCAGTCAGTTCTCACGTGCAAGAAAGGTAGCCAGCTTCTCCCCATCTGTGTAGGGTGGCCATCCGTCCAGAATTTCCCAGACTTATCCAGAATACAGTGGTACCTCAGGTTACATACGCTTCAGGTTACATACACTTCAGGTTACAGACTCCGCTAACCCAGAAATAGTGCTTCAGGTTAAGAACTTTGCTTCAGGATGAGAACAGAAATCGTACTCCGGCAGCGTGGCAGCAGCAGGAGGCCCCATTAGCTAAAGTGGTGCTTCAGGTTAAGAACAGTTTCAGGTTAAGAACAGACCTCCGGAACAAATTAAGTACTTAACCTGAGGTACCACTGTACTGCAGTCAGCAGTATGGGAGAATCCGGACTTAAGGTAGCCATGTTGGCAGTGCTGATTTTGCAAAAAAAACAAAAACGCTCCACAACTTTACTGTCCGGATTTTCACCTTTTGAAATATGGCAACCCTACCTGTGGTCAATGGGACACGGGTGGCGCTGTGGGTTAAACCACAGAGCCTAGGACTTGCCGATCAGAAGGTCAGCGGTTCGAATCCCGGCAATGGGTGAGCTCCCATTGCTCGGTCCCTGCTCCTGCCAACCTAGCAGTTCAAAAGGTAAACGGTGTTTCCGTGTGCTGCTCTGGTACGCCAGAAGCGGCTTGGTCATGCTGGCCACATGACCCAGAAGCTGTACGCCGGCTCCCTCGGCCAATAAAGCGAGATGAGCGCCGCAACCCCAGAGTTGGTCATGACTGGACCTAATGGTCAGGGGTCCCTGTACCTTTACCTGTGGTCATGTACACAGGTGGTCTCATGGGGGGGGGGGTGCAAAGTTAGTGTGAAGTTTGCCAGTGTGGTGTAGCGGTTATAGTGTCATACCAGTGAGATCAGAGTTCGAATCCCCACTCAACCAGGGGCTGGTCACTTCCACTCAGCTCAACCTACCTCACAGGGATGTTGTTGTGCAGATTAAACAAGGGCGAGAGCCTTGAAGAAGGAGGGAAATAACTAAATAAATAAGTAGGTTGGGGTATGTTGTAACACAGAAAGAGGCCGTGACCATGGCTGGACGTTTTTTCCAGCAGCTGCAACCATGGAAAGGTCAGCTGGGGTCCCTATGTAAAGTAACTGCCCCCCTTTGATACGAATATTTCAATTCACACGTGTGAACGGCTCTTTCCGGATTAAGGCTGGGACTTTTCTCCAGCTGCTTCCCTTCGTCACCCCTTTCCACCCTCCCTCTCTTTTCCCTTATATGTGTTTGATTATTATTTTTTAAATTCTTTTTTAAAAAAAATAATAATTCCCCTCTGATGTATGCAACATTTACTGACAGGGCAACGTGACTTTTCACACCGGTTCTCCATGGGCTGGAGAAAAGCTCTCTCCAAAAAAAAACCCTCAGCTGGCAGATCAACTCGCGCGCTCCCCCTTTCTTGCCCAGGGCAGCCTTAGGGAGATCTCCTCCTCCTGTCGCTCCATCCCCAAGGCGCCAGGATCTTGCCGTTTGAATCCCTCCACCTCCGGATCCTTCAAGCTCAGAGGGACTTCTTTGCGGGCGACCTTCCCTCCTCTCCTTGCCATGGCTCCAGCTCCTACCAGATCTCCTGCCACTTTTGCCCAGGCTGTGGGATCCGCGCTCCTCTTCCTCCTCCTCCAAGTCGCCTCTGTCGAAGGGGATGGTGAGTCCTGTTCAGCCCTCGCTTGTCGCTCTCCTGCCATTCCCAGAGAGCTTAAGGGTTTGTGGATCACTGCCGGGGGGAAGGGGGGGGGAATCGGGAGAAAGGATCTGCGAGATTCAAATATCTCGCACTCAACGTTGCACATCGCCAAAAGCAAAAGTCTTTCAAAGGCTAAGATCATGCAGAAGAGGTTTTTTTTAATGCACAGTGGGAAAAGTCCATCAAAACTTTATAATGCAATTCTGCAAAAGGATTGATGCTAGAAATGTTTCCCTACACAGCTTTGGCTTTTGCATATTGATTTGCAAAAAGCATTTGGGATGCTGGTTTTCTTTTCTTTTTTGTTTTGAGGGGGGGTTATTGCAGGGAAAGGGGGTGGAGACAGAAATCAGTGTGTGGTACTGTTTACGCGCATTGCTTTTTGGAATAAAGAGAAGGGGGTCACATAGAAAAGCATGCACTGGATATTGAGACGCATTTATGAAAGGGTTTTGTTTAAAAAACCACAACACAAAGTCCAAATATTAGCAGCTTGTTCCTCTTTAGGCTTTGTCCTGCCAGTTTCACCTCCTGTCTCTGCTGATATACTTGGGATAAGACTGAATGGAAGAAAAGGATCCACAATGTGATGGTGTTGGAGCCATTCTGATGGACCGGCATAATTTTCCCTCCCTCACACTCCCCAACCCCTATTAACGGTCTAGGCATATATATATATATTCATATTCAAACTGCCTAACGGATTTATTTGCCGGTTGCTGTGTGAGGTGAAGGGAGGGGAGGATCCCACAGGGAAAGAGCAGAGTTTTTTGGCCAGAGCATTTCACTGGGAAGGTGTGTGAATTTGAGGTTTGCTTAGGCTGAGTCCCTCAGACAGAAATGCAAATTCTTTTTCCTCAATTCTCCTTTTAATTTGACGGAACTGCACAGGGAAATTAGAATCAGTGGCAAGGCATGTCATGTTCACGTTTGGGAATTTCATTCTGCCGCTCAAAATTGAGTGTGGGGTCTGAACTTTTGATGCCAAAGTCATCATGTCTTTTGCCCCAACTCAACCGTTTACCAATTTTTAAAATCTATTTTAAAATCTGTTTCTATTTTTTATTTGTGGGTGTGGGTGTGTGACTATATAGATATAGATATAACTAAGTAATTAGAAAAAAAATATCATGGTGGTGTAGATTAAAATCACCAAATTATAAAATATGGAACAACTGACCAACGCTGAATCAAATTAATGATCTAAAAATGCTTGTTTTCAGTTGTTTAGTAGATACTGGTAGCTACTGATTAGCCCCAACTGACTTAAGGTCTTTCCAAACTTACCATTTATAGCAGAATAGTTCCTGCTTTTCCTGAATTTTGGGGTATGTTACTATACAAAGGCAGCATAATTCAGCTAGTATTCCAGAGTGATGTGCTCAAAAACTTTCTTTTTAGTCTACTGACTTTTGTGAACGATCTAGAATGGATCCTCAGAATTCTCCTTTGTGTACAAGAATCCTCCTCCTTTGAGTGGCGGTTGCAGGGTGGTTTGAGGAGTTTGGATTTGATATCCCGCTTTATCACTACTCTAAGGAGTCTCAAAGCGGCTAACATTCTCCTTTCCCTTCCTCCCCCACAACAAACACTCTGTGAGGTGAGTGGGGCTGAGAGACTTCAGAGAAGTGTGACTGGCCCAAGGTCACCCAGCAGCTGCATGTGGAGGAACGGGGAAGCGAACCCGGTTCCCCAGATCACGAGTCTACCGCTCTTAACCACTACACCACACTGGCTCTCGGATTCAAAGACACTGGCTCAGTTGTCTTTGAGAGACAACTGATTCATGCCACTGTCAGCGAGGTGTCAGTTTATGAGCCCAGTTCAGAGGAGACATGTGACAGAGAGATACGGTACTGCAGACAAAATGTCATCACAATAACCAGGCTTGCCATAGCTCAGGCAGACATCTAGTTCCTCTTCTAATCTCCTGTATCTCCACAAATTCAATAATGTAGAGCACTAGGCAGTAATTAATTTAAGAAGTCACGAAAGGACTATGCTCGTGCGCATGCTCATAACTCCAATATATCAGCTGAGGGAGCATGAGGGTGCATTAGGGGTGTCGCTACAGCCTTTTCTCAGTTTGGTCACAGACCACCATTGGTGCAGAAAGGGGCTTGGACTAGATGACCCTGGGTGTCCCTTTCAAATCTACAATCCTATGAGTCACTCTCTCATAATGGGAACATTAGGTGCAGACACTCCGTGACAAATTCACTCTTAAAAATGTCAGATCAAACAGCAACTATAAATTGTAATTGTGGGAAAGACCCTGAGTTTAGTGTCCGAGTTTGCCGTCATCCAAGTTTTACAGAACTCTTGTCGGATGGGGCAACTATAAGTTTTGAGGGGGGCAATTATAAACAGGAAAATAGCATGGTCTGAGTGTTCATCCCTCCTCCCAGTATAAACTGGGATTCCCCACAACTTTTGCTAACATAAAAATAAATAAATGGTAGGTTATTTTCTTAATGGCTCTTCCTCATCCTGTCTGGTTTGGCCTTAGAGACAAACAGGAGTGCAAATTGCTACAAGTCGCTATATCTCTAGCCCTTTCTGACTGCTTAGTAATTTGCATTTCTGATGTTTAATACATTTTCTGCATGCTATGCCCAATACATGGAAGTAAATTCCCATAGAATCTGCCAGATAGATATGCTAAGAAACAGGACTAGTTGCAATCTATCAATTTCAGTGGGGCTTTCTTGCATGTTTTGAATTGCGACTTCTGGCTGCTGTCCTTATCGCATTTATTAGGGAGTAATTTTCATTGTATGCAATGAAACACACTTAGGGGTTATCTGTTATACAAGCACTAAATAAAAGCTTCTATCTAGTTAGAATATATTTCCTTTAGGGTGCAGATTTATTTAATTCACAAAGCGTGAATGGAAAAGGTGAAAGTACATTTCTAGATTCATAAAACTTTTTGTTTTAATATGTCCTTTTATGATGCATGAATTCTTCTGTTACAACTGCAGTCTATAAGGTTGTATGCAAGAGACATCCTCCAAACTGAAATGTTTTTATAAGCATAATGTAAGGTTGTTAATGGTATCTGTAGAAGGATGAGACAGATGGGTTCTCTAAAGACTTATTTCTTCTTTCACTTATCGTGCTATAAAGTTTTATGGTAAGCCTTGGCTGACTCGCGGGAGGTTACTACAGAGTTGTTGGGTTTTTTTTTTTAAAAAAATGAGTGTGAAATAAAATTGTGGGGACTGTAAATTCTGTTCTCTTAGGACATTTATAGTGAAATGCCAGACTTTAGAATTTTTATGAATGGGCTTCATAGTCTTACTTCTGTGCAGGGGGATTTGCTTATGTACCCAAGACAATAAACACATGTTAAGTCTTTTGAAGGTCATAAAAAGTTATTCCAATTATGTCATGACAGTCATAATTGTTCTAAGTCATATAAAGTGCATATACTGTTCTGCCGGGGCAAATGGAATAATGAAACAAATGGAAATAGAACCCGACTGAGAATCTAGGTGTAGTAGGTGGTTGTTGTAACTGTGCCGATACCAGAGAGAAAAACATGCATATCAGTTCATGCATATCACTGTGCGCAAACACACATTGACCCTGACAATCCATGAGGGTGTGTGAAGACATCTCTCACTGGGCTTGCCCCGTTGCCAGCCACATCCTAAGTCTAGAAAAGGCATGCCACTAGAGATCCAGCAACTACACTGCAGTTTTAGGCACCTGAGTAGAAAAAAGGTGGCGGCTTCTTGTTTTCCCCAGTCTCCTTTCAGCTCCCTTCCAACACCTCAGAGTGGTTGGATGGTTGAAGCAGGAATCCCTGGTGAAATGAAGCTGCCTTTTAATGTTTTCATGTCATATTTTAATCTTGTTTTTAAGCTGTATTTCAATCAATTGTTTTTATACCTGGTGTCAGCCGCCCTGAGCCTGGTCTTGGCTGGGGAGGGCAGGGTATAAATAAAATTTAGTAGTAGTAGTAGTAGTAGTAGTAGTAGTAGTAAGTGCTACAATACTTCAGACCGTCAGTCGTCTTGGGCAACTGCCTTCCCTGGCTGCAGCCTATTGTAACATTACCAGATTTTTTTGAATGAATCCAGGGACACGTTAGTTAGTTAGTTAGTTACTACACGTTCAGGACATTGATGCTGCAGCGATGGCGGTGGCAGAGGGGCGGCCGCCACCTTGACCTCAACTGCCACGTTTCCGCTTCCTCCAAGGCTTCTGTCTCCTTTCTCCATGAGTCTGGGCAGCACCTGAGTCGTTGGTTGTTCAATGGTGGTGGGGAAGCGGTGCGCAGGCATGGAAGGTGGAGAAGGAGGGCCGAGAGCACCTTCCCATCGGAGCAGCCCTAATCCCATTCCTACTTGTGTGCAAGCAGGAGGGGGGGATCCCTCACCTGGGAAGGGAGGCTTCCCATTGCCTAACTGAGATCCCTGACCCTTCCTGCTTGCACGCAAGTAGGAGTTGGGAGGCTGCTCCGATAGGCAGCATGAAGCCTCCCTTCACAGCTTAGCTGCTGAGGTCAGAGAAGATGGAGGCAGCCCGGAAGCTGCATCTTTGAGCCCCGCACCACCATCATATGGGAACTTCCGAGTAGCTCCTGAAGCCAGCCAGAGCCAACTGCTCTGGGCTGCTGAGACTGCCGCTGCTGCGTTTCCCGGGGACATTAGATGAAATCCAGGGACATTCTGGGGATGGAATTTGTCCAGGGACTTATTCACAAATCCGGGGACTGTCCGCGGGAAACAGGGACATCTGGTAATCCTAGCCTATTGGCTCTGGCCAGATCCTCTGAAAAGGAGTAATCTGGAGTTGTTTGGAGCCCCACCTTTGCCTTTTAACATTACATTTCAATGCACCTACCCAGCTCCATGGACTCTCTGATTTTTAAAAAAGCAAAGTTTATCTACCGCTTGCTTGTGGTGTGTATGTATCAAAATACATTCTGAGGATATGCACTGTCCCGACTCTTTATACAGTGGTACCTCGGGATATGAACGGGATCCGTTCTGGAGCCCCGTTCCCATCCTGAAGTAAACGCAACCCATGTCTGCACGTGCGTGGGTCGCGATTCGCCACCTCCACGCATGCGTGTGGCGTCATTTTGAGCGTCTGCGCATGCGCGTTCCGTTACTTCTGGGTCGCTGCGGAGCGCAACCCAAAAGCGCTCAACCTGAAGCAACTTCAACCCGAGGTATGACTGTATTTTTAAAAACAACAACTTTACTTACATAAACATATAACTTGGAAGAACATATTTGCAATCTCATGGTCGGGTTTCTCCCTATTAATGTTCAGGGATCTCCTCTGTTTCACTTCAGACAGATCACGCAAACCCATGCTGTCTTCAGCGGTTTCCTGAGAAGTCTCTCTCGGCAGCCATTATCCTTACACACACAGACACACAGAGAGAGAAAGAGAGAGAGAGAAGCAGAAAATGCAGTTAGACCAAGCCATCTCATGCTGCGCTGTGTCTTTTGAATTGCAGGAAAATTGTTTGCCCTTGGTCCCAGGAACGGCTCCCAGAGTCTGGACTTAGCAATGGCTCACGAATCATGCGCTGCAGTAGGAGCTCGATTAGCCAGCAGAGAAGAACTAAGGAGAGCCATAAGAGATTGCTCTTTTGCTGTGTGTACCAGGGGCTGGCTGGCGGATGGCACAGTTGGGTAAGGAGCATTAAAATAAATAAATAAATAAATAAATAAATAATAATAATTTTATTTATACCCCGCCCTTCCCGGTTCAGAAAACCGGGCTCAGTGCGGCTAACAACAAATTTAAAACACTTAATTGATGCAACAAAAAACAGCATAAAATACAGTATAAAACGCAAATAACAATAAATTCTGAATTCAAAAATCAATTTGGGGGGGAATCCATCCAATAAACATTAGATGATCACCAGGGCTAGATGGCTAAGTTAGTCCTATCTGGTCCAGTGAGGAGACCAGGGGAGAATTAGCTGTGGGATCCCAGAGCCGGTAATCTTCATAAAAAGGGGAGGGGGAGGGAAGGAAGGGGAATAAAAGACCAGGCTAAGTTCAAATTGAAAGCCAGGTGGAATAGCTCTGTCTTACAGGCCCTGCGGAAGGAAGTTAAATCCTGCAGGGTCCTGGTCTCATGGGACAGAGCATTCCACCGGGTCGGAGCCATCACTGAGAAGGCCCTGGCCCTGGTGGAGGATAATCTGACTTCCTTAGGGTCCGGGACCTCTAAACTATTATTAGTCATGGACCTTAAGGTCCTCTGCGGGGCATACCAGGAGAGGTGGTGAAACGGTGAAATGTCCTCTAACCAACACACATGACTTATCTCCAAATAAAATGGTTGAGCTACTTTGTCAGGGGCAGACTTTGGCCTTTCAAATTTCAGCGGTGCCCTGTGTGAGGCCAGAATTTGACATGCCCCCCACCCCCGGCCCCCTCTCACCTTTCGTTCAGCTCAATTCACCACCTCATAGTTGTAGGCTTGGCACCCAGCGCGGTCACACAGCCCTAAATCCGCCTTTGACTTTGTAATAGTAGAACTAAGAAACACTGATTTTCAAGAGAGCATTTTGCCACTCTAGGTACCTGCTGCTGCCCTCCTCCACCCCAGATTTGTCTGAATGTTCAACCTTGCAAATTATGTTTAATATGGCCTATAAGCCCTATTTGCTTCTATTAGCCAGGTGTTTTATGAATTTGACTGTCAGATGTTAAAAACGAAAGGGGTTTGAAGTGCAACTGTACTTCAAAAGAAGGTACGTTGCTTCAAATGGGGGGGAAATATTTCCAACAGTACCCTGAGAGTTTTCGCTTGCTTGACATATCTCCCCTACCGCACTGAAAAAGCAAAACACTTTAGGCTACCACACTCTTCGCTGAATGATATATTTCCACTTACGCATTCCAACAGAGTCCTTACAGATGCATTTATTTTTTGCTCTTGTGTCCAAAGTGTCACCTCTCTGGCAAAATTCGACCGTGCTCGAAATTTAATAACCAGGGCAAAGATGGAGCTAAGCAGTATGACGCAGAATAACACTCCCAATAAAGGAACTGGAAAAAATGATAATTTCATTATCTACCATATTAAAATGTGTTTCAATATCGCCATGCTTTGATGAACCTGGAGTCTTAGGGAAGTTTCGTAAAGGCTGACCAAATCATGGGAGATCAGAATTCAGCACACAAGAGAGAGAGAGAGAGAATGACTTTTAAATGGGTGTTTCCCTGGATGTCCGGATACAAAAGTGTAAGAGGGCATAAACACCTTTAATAGTTGCCATTGTTAAAGGTGTGGGAGTCCTTTCCATTTTTGCATCTGGTCATCCTAATAATGTCTCCTGCTCAGATGTAGAGAGAAAGACAGCCTGAAGCATGATGGTATGTGTTTCTTACAATTCAGAAGGAGCACAGAAAACCCCACAGAATGTGGCGTTACGCACAAAGGCCACCTGCTTGCAAATCTCAGCTTTTATTTGTTTTTAAAAACCCAAAGAACACTTAGCTTCTAGCTCAGTGTTGTGACCTGCCCTGAGATCTACGGGTATAGGGCGGTATGCAAATGTAATAAATAATAATAAAATAATAATAGCTCCAATCTAACACTTGAAAATATGTAAACACTGGGAACTGAAGAATCAGAAGCCGGAGGGATCACTGAATAATGCTTCCATCGGCTGCATCTGAGGGCTTTAGTGCCCCAGCAGAGCTCCTAGGCCTTCCTCATGGCTAGAACAAATTGTGCATTATTATTATTTTTAAAAAATCATGCATATTGGTTTATTTGCATCATTTATACAGATCTTAGAACTTTTAGTACAGAATTTAGGTTACCTTGCTGCAGAATATATTTCTTTTTTTAAAAAAGGTGTAGAGTACGTTGCTTAAGCCTGAGGATTTTTCAATCAGACAGGTGCTAACATACTCAATAATTCTTTCTAGATGCTATCAAGTGAGAGAATTCAGAGAGCCCCACTGCTGCTTTGCCTACGAACAATTTTGAACAATTCAACTTAAGAAAAGTTTTATTAGAGACTTGCATGTTACATCAGCGGCACTTTTCACATGAGCCAGCCACGCCTTGGCTATTGGTAGCTCAGTATGATATGTGATGGCCGTCAGACCAGAGTCATCCCAGTTTAAATTCATAGCAATCGTCTGCCCACCTGTCAGGTGTGGTCTATGGAGAACTGGACACAATTCAGAGCCTTACTAGCCCAGCTGCTGAACATCTTTTTGTCTCCTTCCTCTGTTTTAGGACAACTGTGTGCAACAGGACAGGCAGCAAGCCACAGAGCGTGAAGATTATTGATGTCCAGATTGAAATGGATCCCTCTCCGAGTGGCAGATACGATGCTCTTTGTGTGAAAGTTGAAGGTCAGCATTGGTGGACCACAGAAATAATCACTACGGCAAGCCAAATCAAATATTTTTTCTTGTTCTTTCTGAAATGTCCATTAACAATTAGGAAGGAATAATTTGCCACAGGCATGAAATAGCATGGAAACAAATTGCCTCTTCTCAGCTGAGTGCAGGCTCTTGCTAGAATATTTGTTGTGTTCATAAAAAAAGAAAAGGAAATATAATCTAGAAGCAGAGAGGAGTCTCCAGCCCTACAACCTAGCAGTCACTCACAGGCCAGCCTGTGTTCCAGATCACATTGTGGCACTAAGCAGAGAACAAGTGTGTTGTAGCAAAGGATTTATAGAACAAAACCCCCTGATTTTGTATCTGCATCTACTAAAAAACAAAACAAAACAATGCTCCAGAATAACATGAATTGCACATCATGCAAATCTATTCATTTTGCATAATTGATTAAGCAAAGAAATACACAGGGTATTGAATCTGAACCCCAGACGCTTGCAAATCCAACTCAGATGCCCCTTTCCCAACTTTTGAACTTCCATCAGGGATTGCCTGCATATCTTTAAGCAGCAAGAAACAGAAACTTTTAACATGAAAGGTGATATTTTGTCTGACCTGAATCCTGTGTTCATTACAGCCATTTCTGTGGCTTGCAAATGCTCCCTTGTCTGGTTGCCTGGAGGCAATTTCACAGGTAAATTGCATGATTGGTTGAAGACAATCTACAGATTTTGCTAAACTCTTACTTTCATTGGAGCTTTTGGAAGATGAAAGGCCTAATTTCTGAAAACATCACCAATCAGTAACATATGTTTGGGTGTCTAGACAGGCATAGTGTAAGTGTTCTCTCAGCCTCACTTTGCATAAATACAGGGTACGCCTATGTGCTTATTTAAGTTTTATGTTTCCGGGATATGGAACTCCCTGCCACAATATCTCTGAGTTTCTTGATTCATTTTATTCTGTTCAACAAGTTTATAAACCACTTCACACCATAAAGCCATAGAAATGGTGTACAGGGTAAAAACAGAATAAAGCACAGAAACTCTAAAAGCAATAAAATCAATCCAGCAAACTCTAAAAGCTCTGTGAGTTCATCAACACAAACTTTTCCCCACTGCTACTATTCCCTTACAATACTTTTAAAGACTTCCTGTCACTGCTTGGTACAATAGGCTTAGTATTGAGATGGACACCAGCACAGAAGAAAGGTTGAACTAATATTGATTATTATAGGGATATTATGTACAAAAGGAAATACAGTGGTACCTCTTGTTGCGAACGGAATCCGTTCCGGAGCCCCGTTCGCAATCTGAGAGGAATGCATGTGCGGGTCGTTATTTGCTGCTTCTGCACATGCGCATGGTGTCATTTTGAGCGTCTGTGCATGCGTGAGCGGCAAAACCCAGAAGTAACCCGTTCTGTTACTTCCGGGTCGCCGCGGGACGCAACCTGAAAAGATTTAACCCAAAGCGTCTTTAACCCGAGATATGACTGTACTAATATTTACATTTGGGTCTTAAATGTGCTCGATGACAGTTTATGAAGTCCCAAGAGTATCTGATTATCCCAAAACTCTCTCTCACAGGACAGCTAAGTCCCAACCTCTAACTTTCTAACGTCTAACTGTCTAACTGACAGTTAACTGCCCTTCTTCCCCGGCTAGAACCTCCAAGCCACCCGAGTCTGCTGTTTCGCAGAACAAACTAAATCCAGACTCCATCTATAAATCTTAAAAGTGGTTGTCTCTCCCCTTTCAGAACTTGTTGTAGGTCTGCTAGCACCGAAGGAGAAAGCCAGGAGTGGACATTTAGACTGAAGATACATTGTCCCCTGCTCCTTAACTTTTCTGTATATCTTTTCCCCGCTGTAATTGTTCTTAGAAATAAACTTTGGAAAGACTTGTTGCACCGATCGCCTGAACTTTCCTTATTCCCTCCGTGTTTGAGTGATTCAATTGGCTGCAAGACAAACAAGTCTCTATTCCACAATTTGACTGCAACTTGTTACTATTGCAGAAAATGCAGTGGTTTAGCCCAGGAATGGAAATTCGGATTTTGCCAGGTGAACGTCTGGCACAAATTCCTCATCAGAAAATGACGGATTATGTAACCTGGCCTTCTCTTAGCAACAAAAGAGGCGGGGGGAGAATCACCAGGGGCTTTTAAATACAAACATGAACCACATGAATTTAGGCTAAAATAGCAAACAAGAACCGAGTTTGTTCTGTACAATGCTAGACTGTTCGTAAGGCTTTCCCATGACAGCTTTCGTTTCTGCAATTTTTATTTTCTCCCGCCGATTTTGAGCATTGAGTTTAGCGGACAGTGAATTTCCAATTATCTAGTAACATCAAGTAAAGTCATAAATTAAGTTATTCAAACTAGCCCTAGATTGATTTTGTCATCAGTGGTATACGAGATGGGCTTTATTTGGCTGGACTTGCACTCTGGAGTTTATCTCCCAAGATGTCATCACCTACAAAAATCTGTGAAACCCCACTTCTCCCATGTTTCATTTCCTATTTAAAAAAATAAGATGAAAATGTGCCGTAGAGTATACAAATGGGACCTGAAACGAAAAGATTGCAGCACCGAGTCCGCTGAGTTAGGCATTTTAGTCACCCCCCCTTTTTTACATTCCTCAAGCCCTTCAGCTAATCAGATACTTAAATGTGTTTGCTTCCTGCTTGTTTATCTCCTTAGGCAAACCATGTGGGGACCCCCCTTCCTTTCCTCACACAGTTCTCCACGGCCACACCGGCTTTGAAATGGGTGACGAACTGCACTATGTCTGTGCTCAGGGATATGTCATGAGTAACAAAGATGCTGCTTTCACTCTGCTCTGTCACACCTGTGGGGAATGGTTTGGTCAAGTCCAAGCTTGTGTCAAAGGTGAGTTCTATCGATTCAGGATGATCATATCTTCATTTTTTTGGATTGTCCTTCAATGTCCTAATGCGAACTTGCAGTGGATCTTCACATACGGTGTTATCAATCGGGATCTGATGACAATGTACATTGTGCTTATACAAATTATTATTATTATTATTATTACTATTATTATTCCCTCGCCCATCTGGCTGGATTTCCCCAGCAACTCTGGGCAGCTTAAAAGACATAATAAAAACATCAAGCATTAAAAACCTCCCAATACTGGGCTGCCTTCGATGTCTTCTAAAAGTTGTGCAATTCTTTATCTCCTTGACATCTGAAGGGAGGGCATTCCACAGGGAGGGCGATCACTGTTGAAGAAATAAAGACATGAAATAAAACTAAAACAGATAAACCGCAGGTATGTGAACACAGTTGTACCTTGGTTTTTGAACCTAATCCGTTCCGGAAGACCATTCAAGTTCTGAAACATTCGAAAACCGAAAACTCAATAACCAACAGCTAGGCCTGAGGATCTTGCACTCAGTGGAAGCTGCGTGGCATGTTTGACTTTTGAGGCATGTTCAAAACCCAAAGCATTTACTTCTGGGTTTACGGCATTCGAAAATTGAAATGTTCATCAGTGGAGACGTTCGAAAACCGAGGTACCACTGTATATGGAAGGTAGAGACTAAAATTGTATATACCATAGACATAATGTCTCCTGATGTTGTTAAACTACAAATGCCCATTGTCCCTGACCACTGGTCACCCTGGCTGGGGCTGATGGGATTCTAAGTCCAACAACATCTAGAGGGATATATGTTTCTACATCCCTGCTATACATGCTGGGAGTCCTGTCCTCTGTGCTCTCTAAGGGCTGGGCAAATGAGCCAGAAACCTGATGTTCAAGGCTGCAACCCATGTAAGAAACCATACGCTGGGGGAAGAAGACAGCCTATTCTAGACACCGCAGAGGGCTTCCCCTGTGTTGTGGTGGTCAACTAGTCTCAGTACTTATTTACACCATGGCTCAAGCTTTCTCTTTTAACGAGTGATCTTTAGGACAGCATAATCACATAGCATCCAAGTAACTGAAAAGGGGCAACGTGAAGAGGACTCTAGTATGTTGTCTCGCGCAGAAAGGTGAGTCCCTGTTAGCATTTGTGAGAAACAATGACACTTGCAAGTGAAATAACAGATCTTGACATGAGATATGGATTGTGCCAGCTCTTCACCATGCACTGAAAAGCATTATCATGCAAAACACAACTGAGCTGGCCCATCCTTAAGCAGCTGAAAGCCCTAGCGTGGAGAAGGTATCCTGTCTCTTGAGATGCGGTATTCTGATGTTTCCAGGGATCAGTGATGTCCCGGGTGCTTAGCTCACTGACACACTGCTGTGTAGTAAAGCCTCTCTAACTGGTTGGGCAGTATGTTATTTCCAGAACGCAGTCCCTAGGCTCAAGCCAAATGCCTCATGCGTCACAAGTTGTGAAGCATGAATACAGGTTCTTGGAGCACTTTCCTTGACAAACGACAGTTAGAGGGTATCCAGAACATTTCTATATTAGGTAGCGGAGGAACACGGCTCTGGGAAGGAGGAAATTAAAAAGGGAGCAGAAAAAGTTCAGAGAAGAGATTGTATAATTGATCCTGAATATAAAATATATAGTGCACAAGGGAAAAAATTGAGGACAAGGCATGAATGAATAAGGGGCAAGATATTGTTTTGGATCTGCCATGTTGTCCTCATATAGGTGTCAGGATGCAGGGCCAACTTACCTATAGGCGCTAGGGATGCGGGGCACCCAGGCGCCAGGCACCAGGCCAAGGGCTCTGTGCCGTGAGTTTGGGGGTGACTGAGCCAGCGAGACGCTGAGGTAGCTGGCTGGCTCCGCCCTCCTGCACGCCTGTGGACTGGGCAACCTGGGGGGGGGGGCGGAGCTGGGTGGATCTTTGCACCCCGGTGCCGCATGTGCTTAAGACAGCCCTGTCAGGATGTGTGACCAAAACTCATTGGTTAGTTGCTGTGTGGAAAGCAAAAACCAGTTTAGTCTTACTTTTTGTGTGTGGATAAGGCAGTGGAATTGACCGGCGGCTGACACTTCCATTTGAAATAGAGATGCATATATTACATGTCAATGTGCAAACCTAAGTGAGTGTGGATCAATTGGAATTTCCACTCAAACTGGGCAGGATACTAATTTTTTATAAAAATGCCTGGTGCTTCCATCTTTGCGTTAGAGTACTTAATTTCAGAATCACTCTGTAGTTTGTTCTGTCAATTTTCCTGTTCTAATTTTTACATGAGCTGGAGTTATTCTAGTTCTGCGCTCAAAGTGTTTGCCTTACTTATTCAACCAGGATTCCAGTTTATCTTGTTGTAATCAGTGGTGCATTTCTAAAGCAAGGTAGGCCCACAGACTGAGAGAAAGAAAGACAGAAACTATTTATTAGACAGCGTATTTAGTGGTCAGAGCCATCTGCTACAAGCAATTCTGAGCTATTAACAATTCTGAGACCACAGTCAAATGCCCCGTCTGGGCAAGGTTCTTGAGAGGATGATTGCCTTGGAGGACAAAAAAATTCTAGATCAATTTCCATCAATATTCAGGCCTGGTTTTAGTATGGAAACTGCCTTGGTCACCTTGTATAATGACCTGTGTGAATTTGTTGATCTCTCAGTGGCTTTTGCTACCATCAGCCATGATATCCTTCTGGGGCAACTGTCTGAGCTGGATATCAGGGTCAACACATTGCAGTTGTTCTGCTCCTAATTGGATGGCCAGTTCTAGAAGGTGATTCTTGGGGAGTATTGTTTGGCTCTATGGGTTCTCCAGGATGGGATCCCCTAGGGATTGATTCTGTCCCTCATGCTGTTTAACGCTTGCATAAGACCACTGAATGGGGTCATGTGGAGTTCTCAAACGTGTTATCACCAGTATGCTGATGACACACCACTCTTTCTCCTTTTCATTTCCTGTAGGTGAGAAAGTGGATGTGCTGAATCTGTTCTTAGTTTCAGTAATGGACTGGATGAAGGCCAACAAATGAAACTTAATGCATACAAGACTGAGTTAGTGGGTGGTTCTTCTGTCCACCTGAGTGATGTGCAGGCTCCCTCTAAAGGATCGAGTTTGTAGTTTGGGGGTTCTCCTGGAACCACTGCTGTCACCTGAGACACAGTCAGTCTCAGCAGTGCAGAGTGCCTTCTTCCAGTCTTGAGATATGCCCTGGTAACCTCAAGATTGGACTATTTCAATGTGCTTTTGAAAACACTGCCTGTCTCTATGTTTTTGAGCCCATTTAACTTTTAAAGCTCGTTATGGCTCGGGACCCCAATAGTTTCCTTTCCTGATATGAACCTACCTGGACCCTTAGATCTTCACATGAGGCCCTTCTCTGGGTCCCTCCTCTGAGGGAGGCTTAGAGGGTGATGGTGAGGGAGCCTTCTCAGTTGTAGCTGTCTTGTGGAACGCTCTCCTCAATGAGACCCGTCTGGCGCCTTCACTGATGTCTTTCTGGTGCAAGGTAAAAACTTACCTTACCCTTGATGGACTGAGTTGATTATGTTTTGTTGTTAGTGTACTGACAAAGCTTCTTGTTGGGGTGGGAGTATTGCTCTGAATTATAAAAATATTCAGGTATCTGAAGAATTGTGCATCACACGAAAGCTCATACCAATAACAAACTTGGTTGGTCTCTAAGGTGCTACTGAGGTGGCACTGTGGGTAAAACCTCAGTGCCTAGGACTTGCTGATCGTAAGGTTGGCGGTTCGAATCCCCGTGGCGGGGTGAGCTCCTGTCGTTCGGTCCCAGCTCCTGCCCACCTAGCAGTTCGAAAGCACCCTTAAGTGCAAGTAGATAAATAGGTACCGCTTTATAGCGGGAAGGTAAACGGCGTTTCTGTGTGCTGCGCTGGTGCCGGCTCGCCAGAGCAGCTTCGTCACGCTGGCCACGTGACCTGGAAGTGTCTTCGGACAGCGCTGGCTCCCGGCCTCTTAAGCGAGATGAGCGCGCAACCCTAGAGTCGGACAGGACTGGCCCGTACGGGCAGGGGTACCTTTACCTTTAAGGTGCTACTGGAAGGAATTTTTTTATTTTGTTAAAAATATTCATGTTTTATATGGCTATTATTTTTCCTTTATGGTAATTTTTTTTAATGCAAATTGCACCGATATCTTCTGAGGTAACCAATGGCTAAATCATCATCAGAATCAACACCAACTGTTGCTGCCACCCCCAACATTTCCAGTATTAAGTAAAGTATTTGTTACATTCAGAGTAAAGAAAGGATGAGTCCCTGGCAGCTACTTGAGTTACAGCCTAGAGTGAAATCTGGCTGGCATAGTTTCACATTGCTTTTATATAATACCTCAGTGAGATTTTAATAGGGGGGAACATGTGGAGGTTATTCAGAACTGTCTCTGAACTCTGACATTCTCCCTAGCACCTCAAAGCAGGCAATACTTGTTAAGAAGGGCTGAGTTAGTCATTCCACTTAGCGGTCTAATAGCCCTTTAAATTAGATTTATGTAATTATGAAAGCAATTTTTAGTCCTGTTTCCTGTCTTTTGCTCTGGAAGTCTGTGGCTTCAAAAATAGTAGGCCAAATCAGTGTAGGTTTTGGCCTCAGCAGAACCAAGTCAACATATGCCAGCTAAGAAATGACCTTATAAAGCCACATCCTGATACCAGCATTTATTTCTAAGAAACATAAAAATAACTTAATCCAAATGGTACAGTGACTAGACTTGCAGACACAATAACTTTCATAAGAGTTCCTTTGCTTTGCCCTCTATTTCTGTTACGGTGCACAATGCTGTTCAATCGCTAAAGTCTAGGATTGAAAGAGTATATTTTAGAATTTCCTTGTCAACATCACTGTATTTTTTCTAAAGTATCAGACCTCTAAAAAGTTATTTCTGGCAGAACTTTCTGTCTTCTTCAGGGGGAAAAAATTATGGTAGCCATGATACAACCAAGACAAGGAAAACAGAACAAGCCTTACAGTTTGGAAAGGAATGAAAGTGTGCATTTGTTAGAATGGTTGCTTCAGGATATAAGACGCTTGGAGAGCTTATTGGACTAGAATATATCAGGTTAACAGGAAAAAAAGAGAGAGGGACCACAATAAAAATCCTATTTTTGGTTATTCCAGGGTTAAACCACAACTGCAAAGCTCATTATTAATTCTGTTCTGTATGAATTCTACTCCCCAGATATGAAATTCAGCAACCAAACTATGGGTTGTATCCAATTAAGTTATATTCAAAGTAGACCCGTTGAAATTAATGGACTAAATTAGTCATGTCTGTTGTTTTCTGTGGGTCTACTAGGACTAACATTAAATCTTCTGAATTTATGTTTTATTCACATCTATATACTTTTATATTGCAATTCTGGTTTTAGGTTGTGTTTTTGTTTTAAGGTTTCCATTGTATGATGTTTGTTTTTTGTACTATACCATGTCAAAAGCACTGTACAATTGTGGGTTTTGTTTTTCAAACGTCCGGCAAATAAGAACTCGTCCTGGAAAGATTGGGGAAATGGTGTTGTGGGATGAAAATAAAGGACAGCTCAGGGTCCGGTTACAAGGACACAGAAACAATTTACTTATTACTTCAGATATTTTGATCATGAAGCAGTTTCTATCACCCAGGCTAGGTTTCTTTCGGCCACTGGCTCTTCCTTTCACAGCAGTCAAATTCTGTGATCATTTCTGTGATCTACAAAATGTTAGTACCTCTATGAAAGATCATGGCAGACCAGAGATATAATCTGAACAAGGGACCTCCTCCAGCTGACCTGTTTATTGAGCATTCATCCAGATATATGCAAAACTTACTGTCTTGTGAACTGCAATGAAATGGGAGAGTTATTGCTGGTGGTGCTTTTTTCTGGGGGTACGCAAGGGTACACATACCCCTAAACATTTTGTGAATCTAACGGGAGAAGAAACTTAAAAATTTTAGTTTCTTCTCTAGCACGGTGAATCGTCAGTTCCGTTGCTACCACCGATGGTGGTCTCATTTCCTTTCCCAGTCTTTCCCGAGTCTCAGACGGAAGCAAGCGTTTAATGTGTGAAGCAGTGTGGAATGTGGATGTGTGGTGTTTTAATGATGACAGCTTGGCCTCATTGAGGGGCAGTATTTCAATATGAGTAGGAAAATTATTAACTATTTTTCATCATCATGAGGTAATGCATGTTCTTTGTACTTTCATCCATTTACTGTATTTATTTTCCCTGATTTGAACCATAAAATGGTGATTACCTTGAGTCAAAATGAGAGTACCCCTAAACATTTTTTTTTAAGAAAAAAAGCACTGGTTATTGCCAATTCAGACTGGAGGTCTCATCTAGATGACTCTGGGATGCACATCACTTTATCCACAACAGTTTACAAGCAAAGCGCATCACACTCAGTATTTCACTGATATTTACTACTAAATGCAAAAATGTCTGGAGTAAATGAAGTGCAACCATCCTAGTACAAATCCTACCCACATTTTTTCCTTGCAAGACAAGGCAGGAGCCAGAAAAACCCCATACTGCCAGAATGGTATATCCCTAGCATAAAAAGGTAAAGGTAAAGGACCCCTGACAGTTAAGTCCAGTCGTGAATGACTCTGGGGTTGCGGCACTCATCTCGCTTTACTAGCCAAGGGAGCCAACGTTTGTCCGCAGACAGTTTTTCCGGGTCGTGTGGCCAGCATGACTAAGCTGCTTCTGGCGAAACCAGAGCAGCGCACGGAAACACTGTTTACCTTCCCGCAGGTAAGTACTTGCACTTTTATTTATCTACTTGCACTTTGACATGCTTTCGAACTGCTAGGTTGGCAGGAGCTGGGACAGAGCAACAGGAGCTCACCCCATCGCGGGGATTTGAACTGCCAACCTTCTGATCGGCAAGCCCTAGGCTCAGTGGTTTAGACCACAGTGCCACCCACATCCCTCACATCCTTAGCATAAAAGGATACTAATTCCCCTTCCTCTCCTGTCATCCCTCTGGGATGGTGAAGAGGAGAACCCTCTGGGCAGGAGCACATAAATGCCAGCTGGAAAACTGTAAGCAAAGATGTTTAATACTCTCTGCACATGTCTTCTGTTTGACCTTTTTCGACAAATCCGGATCAATAGATGAAAAAAGAACAAGCGAGATGAGAAAGAATAAGTTAGAAGTTATATGGTAATTGTTAAGACGAGTTGTAATATTAATTAGGAGGGAAACAGATTGGATAAGAAAACACTTGTGGGGAAAAGAAGGGATTAAAAGCATACCATGTCTGCTGCCTAAATAAGTTACATAACTCCTACAGGCTTTTGGTTTGGTGCTTGTTCATTTTAGTTCAGAGACCTGATTGTACAGTTGGATTCTGGGGATAATTTGGCAGTTGGAATAAAGTTTAGAAAGTAGGATTTGGAGACAAAGGACAACCTGGAAATAGCAGCAGGGAATGGACACTTTCCGCTATCCTCCTCCCAGAGCATTCATCTGCCCCCACAGCTTTTCCATCATCAGGAAAAGCCAGGAGATGCAATCAGTCCAATTGTACATGTGAGGAGATGTCCCATCGTCCCCGGGCCTAAGCCAACTAGCACTACCCGGCCCTGGGTGTTTCATGAATGCCAGAAACTGCATTACCAGAAGCTATTTTTGCTTGTCTAAAAGTGACTATTCAACCATCCTACCATACTCACTAATGCAGACCCAGAATCATAGAATTGTGGAGTTGAAAGGGACCCCAAGGGTCTTTGAGTCCAATCCCCTGCGATGCAGGAATCTCAACAAGATCATACACAGACAGATAGCCATCCAACCTCAGCTTAAAAACCTCTGAGGAAGGACAGTCCACCACCTTCTGAGGGAGTCCGTTGAACAGCTCTGACTGTCAGAAAGTTCTTCCTGATGTTTAGTCTCCTTTCTAGTAACTTGGATCCGCTGGTTTGGGTCCTAGTCTCTGAAGCAGAAGCACCTCAGTTGTGATTCAGTCCTACTTCTGGTTTCACCTCCTGTGCCATATAAGCTATTGCCTGTCTATTCAGGACCACATTTCATAACACTGGGTTGCTAGGTAGCACACATGCTGGGGGAGGGGCTGGGGCATTGTTCCCTATGGAACCTTCCAAGAGCAGCAGTTGAAACAGACACATCAGTAGGCATATGTGAGACCTGGAGAAAGGACACTTCACATCATTTTCTACCCACAGCCTTCATAAGCCTTTAAAAATAATTTCATTCTGTTATGATGTGAGCTGGTGAAAGAGCTTTGTGATAATCTGGTGCCAGAAACCCCGCCCCCTTAAATTGTTATTTTGCCTTTTCAGATGAAACTGAGGGACATATCGATTATGAAGACAATTTCCCCGATGACCGATCTATTTCTACCGAAGAACATGAACACAATGCCCAAGAGGCAGAGGAGAAGGAAAATGAGCAAGAGAAAGCCACGCATGATGAGAAGAAGACCCAGTTTGCTGACGACAACCACATTGGTGTGAAAACTGCATATAACAAGAAAGGCACCAAAATGATATACGAAGGTGAGGACTTCCCCATTGGACCTGCCATTGTGAACAATGATACAAAAGCAACAAAAAGTACAGACTCTCATACAGATGAGTCCTGGCTAGATGGTTACCCAGTTACTCAAGAAGCTGTAGAAGAAGTCGACGAGGAGGAAGGGGATAAAATTGATGGATCTATGGGAATGGAATATGACATTAGCACTGACCAACTGAACCATGCTGATGTCAGGAAGACAGGCAGCAGCCCAGAAAAGGATTATGTGCAGGCTGGGACAGTCCAGTCACTGACGCACACTGATGGGAGCAAAAGAATACTAGGGACTCTAACACCAACCATTGTTCCAGAGAACGTCAGTGTAAGCAAAGATGACAACACCAGATATGTCTCAACGACACCTATGGGACTCATCACACAAGAGTTGTCATCCGTAACCACAGCCACGAGCTTGAATTTGGCCACACTGGAGACTTCTACAGTTTTCCATCTCATTGACCCCATTCCCTTGCCAGAGGAAGTAGATCTGATGACTTCCTCCATGCAAGTAGTTACTACTATACCTTCTCAAAATAGCTTTACTGATACACCAGATGTTGTTGAGGGAGAAGCTTTGACCTATGGACTTAGTGGGAAGCCTTTGAGCACTTTTGAACCATGTGTGGGAGCAAGTTGTTCCAGTTCTGATAAAGATCCCATGATAGCCATTGGGGTGACTGTTGTATGCCTAATTGTGCTTGCGTTGATCTTGGCAGTGTGGTGCTTCAAGAAACGGCAACAGAAGACCTCTGTTTATAAGTTGAATGGGAAAGATCATGCTAGGCACCAGCTGCAACAAATTGAAATGCAGAAAGTCTAACCTAGCTATATACATTATTATTGGAAAGAAATGCATGGAGGAGAGACATGGAAACTGACCGAACAAATGGATACTAATGTCCACTAGTTCAGAAAGAAGACCTGTGTATGGAACACCAGGACCTGCACTAACTGAAATCACAACTTACTGTGGTATCAGGATTAATTTGGATATCTATAGTTTTTAACCACCTTGAGGATTGCCAGGGCTGATTCACAGAAACATATTTTATCTCTTGATGACTGTACATATAAGGCAGTGACTTGGTTTTCTGAAATCGGTAGTCTGTGACAGACATGCTGGACAGAGTTTTCTTATGAGTGTGTAGTGCCTATCCTAGATGCAAGCTAGTCAAATGGCAAGACCATCATCTGACAACTGACACATCAAATCCCTTAAGATGGCAGGATGGACTTACAGTACCTGCTTCTTGCATTAAAAATGTCAATGCAATTATTCTCTCTGCTGTGTTAAAATGGGTCACACAGCCCAATGACACATTTGAAAGAAGCTCTATAGAACAGGGAGATAATCTGTGTGCAAAGTGGAGGGGATTTATTTGAACTATTTGCCATTTTGAAGGTAAGGATAAATTAAAACATAGACAGTTGTTACTTGTCACGTTCTATGGATTTACAGATAGAATTTTTCTATCTGCATTGTTTGACCACTGCTCCAGTTTATTTCAGTGGATTTGTACTATAGCAGCTCTACCCTTCAATGGATTAACTGTGTGTAGGGGGCCAATCACAATGGACTGTTAGATAGAAACAGGCCATTATTGAGCTGTTTGGATTTTATTAGTTGTTTTAATATCTAGAAAGAAGAGTCCCTTTTCTATCTGTAGGAGAGTGTAGACAGAGAGAGGATCATGTCTGAATGGACTTTAATCAATGCTATACAACTAGACATCATTAATGTTTAAAAATAAACGAACATTGTCAATATTCCACCCAGGCCTCTTGGACTCTATAGAAGTGCTCTCTTAAGAAGTAGACAGATCTCACACCAATTTTCCTGCAAACTATCAAAGACTATTTAGGGTTTTCTTTTCCTCCTAAGGCAATGCAATCTTTGCAATGAAACTGGGTGTCTAATAAATTAATTAATTATGCAGCCAACAGCGCATGGTCTTTGGGAGTGCACTTGCCATCTTATTTCATAGAAAGTGAAAACTTCCATTCTTTAGTTCAATCTGGGTCGGTTTAGAGTGGGCGAAATTCTGATGTAGACAACATACGTATCTGTTGCTAAAGATGCCGTACCATGACAGACTAAAGATGGGTTCAAAAGTCACACCATAGCTAAGGCAGCAATCCGAACTCCATTTACCGTGAAGTAAGCCCTGCTGAATTCAGTAGGACTTACATCTGAGTAGATATGGTTAGGCTCATGCTGTAAGTCATTATTTCCCCTAATATACTGATGCATATTATAAGGCACCAACAAAATGCACAAGAAAATGAAGCTGAAGCCCCTTCTGAAAGCATATATAAGTGCCCATTATTAATATGCAGTTACCCGCAGCTGCAAATGCAGCAACACATACATAGTTCTGTGCATGTTGTGAGTGAATGCACAAAAAGAATAAAAATATCTTCGGTATGGTGACTGAATGGCCAATTCTACCATTTAAGCTAGCAGAAGACACTGGGGTGGGGCTGGGAGTTTCTAATACTAATTTGGGCATGTTTTCAGCATGCTATTCAAATAAAAATTATTAATATACTCTTATGTTTCTTAAATGTCTGTCATTGTAAATTATTCTATTGTCCTGCACTGGCTTCACAAAAACCCCCATTTTGTTTGTAACTGATCTAAACTGTTTTACTCCACCTTACAGTGAAGGAATGCTACAAACCTGAGCCTATTGCAAATTTTTACTTAATTAGATAGATGAAATATTGTGACTGACTGTGAGGAATGTTCCAAAGTGAGGAAGTGTAGGGGAGAGCCTCTCATTTTAGTTCTCGGCCTGTCATTCAATTTCAGTATTGCTCCAAGTATTTCTGAAACAATGCCATGCAATTAACATCAATACTTCTAAAATGTATATGCTTGCTACAATCTTGGGAGATTTCCAAGTTGCAGACTGCAGAATGAAAATAACACTGCAACCTTAAATAGGTCAACTCGGAAGTAAGACCCACTGAGTTAAAGGAAAGTGCGTTTGTTAGAACCTAAGTCTCATATACTTGGAGAACTCCATATGACACAGATGACAATGGAAGACATACACTTGGGGAAGAAGGCTTTTGATTGTGGTCAACATACGAAGCTGGTATGAAAATACTGCTTAAATTGATTTAAACTTGTTCTGTGATTTAACAGGAAATGCTCTGGGCTTTAAATTAAGATACCCAACTCTGCATCATGTTCTTAAATGAAATAATGCTCACTAAAACTCTTTAATATTATTCTCCCGCAATGAGAAGGTCAAAAATAAATGGAAATATATTTTGTGCAAATTGTACAGTATTCTTGGGCAAAATTCTTTGTATTACTCACAAAAAGGCCAAAGAGATACATTAACAGGAAGATTATGAAGAAAATGTAAATAAATGAGCAAGAAAGGGAAATGGTCATGTTTATATGCATATGCTGAGTATTTTCAACAAAACCAAAACAAAATGTTTGTGGAAATACCAATCTTTCCTTCAAATTGTTCAGAAAGAAATGAAGGAGCATTATTTTGATTAGATGATTAGCTGGTTCCATTTATAATATTTTTGCATCTGTTTATATCTTGTACCCAGAATGTTGTTTGTTTATCTGTGTAATTACTTATTAGGAAGCTATTAACAAAAGGATAGCCATGTAAAAAATGACTTAAAATAATTTTAGTAAGATGACTGCATTCAGCCCATCAGCTGCCTTGAAATTTAACAGATTTTACCAAGCTGAGGTGAGGGGTAAGAGAAGGAATACATATCTCTGTGGTTAGGAAAAACCAGAAGGAAAGGAGGAGTTACTTACAGGAGTGGTTTTCAAATTGTATTCCATGGAATCTTTGATTTCTTGGAAGCTTCAGCGATTCAATGGCATAGTTCATATGTAATGTTAAGCTACAAGTTGTGCCACAGGCAATCAAACAATCAATGATGGCTTGCTTTTCCCAACTTGTTTTGTTTTCCAGCTGCTCTTGCCTTGTACTTTTATGGTCTAGCAGGTATCTGAGGTGGGGTGGCCAAACAAACCAAGGTTAAGGAAAGGTGCTGGATTTGTACCCTACACCAAACCATAGTTACAAGAAACCAAGGTCCATAAACCAACAACAAATTATGACTTTTGACTGTGGTTTGTTGGTCATAAACAAACCACTGCTAAGATACTGGGCAGGGTGAGGGTGGTTAAACAAACCATGGTTTAATAAACTACAGCTTAGCATTATGGGTTAACTAGGCCAATTATAGTGGATAAATTACCCTAAAAGAACATGTTACAATGTACCCTGGGCATGGAATGCTTATCCAAAGTCTAATTCACACAGGCATGCATGTAGCTTTGCATTTGTACACTTACAACATAATAAGCAGCTGAATGTATGAACTGACTTCACTGAAAAGCCTAAGAAAAGTCAGATCACATCCAGCAACCCCCTATACACCTCTACTTGGAAACTGTTCCCTGTGCATTGTTTAGAAGTATACTGAAGGTTTCCACAGAATGCTCACAAAAAGGAGATGTCGAGTTGAAAATTGTGCTGTTTCTCATGAGTTTTCAAAAACGCGTGTACTTGATACTCTCACAAATTCCACGCCGCAAGCACAACAGCAATTTAAAATGCTATTTGCGGAAACTGTAAAATATTCCCAGATACAATATATTGCTCGTTTCCTGACATCTGGATCATCACCCGCTTTTATTACTGTTAACTGGTTGATTTGTACCAATCACTCTCATTCTGCATGGTCAGAATGATTGTCACTGCATGTTCCATAATATTATTCTCACTTTTTAAGTTTTGACGACGACCAAATTTTCCGGAGGAGCAATCTTCCACCATTTGTGGTTTTCTTGAGCACTTACTAATAGTGGTATATGATTAAATTTATTACATTGTGGAATGTCATGATCAGTATGTGTGCTTCTTCCATGGGAAGCCACAAAGAAAGAAACTGGCTAAGTTTAAAAGGCAAATTAAATACTGTGTTCAAACATGCATATTTTTTAAATATAAACTGTAATTTCATTGCTCTGTAAAAAAGAAGTATTGAAAAATACTGTATTAACCATTTGATGTGTTGGTGTACCTAAAAGCTGCATCAAAGTGAATGTGGGGAGTATAGTTGTAGGGCAAGGGAAGTAAATTAAGGCTTAAACATAATCATATACGCATCCTAATCTAACAAATAGATTTATGCTTAAACGTCAGAAAATACACATTTGGTTTCTGTATACTTGAACTGACTCCAGAACAGAGAAGAGAAAAGAAGTGAAAGGTATTAAAACCTCTCTAGGTTGGGGTAAGGTAATTAAAATTTTAAAAAACCCACCTCCTTACTTAAAAGCTGCTTATTTATTTTAATACTTTGACTGAAGGCACTGAAGACAGTTGATACAGAATGCCGGTTTGCTGGGATGTGAGCTGTGATTTACAAAACTCCTTAGATGATTTCTTGACTTGGCTTTTCTTTAGCATGTAGCTTAAAATTCCCCACACTAGGTCATTCAGCCCTCAAGCCACCAGAAAAATGAAGTTGCTGTTTAAAGGATGGCAGGCAACCAAGAGTTCAGACAGTTGCTATGAAGGATTAGTTGTGGGTTTTTCTCGCTGCCCTGCTACAAACGGCATCACAGCTCTATATTCAAACCTTATTAAATGAGAATGTTTTCTCTGGCACAATCTGCTTCTCCCTACAGTTTATGCATTGAGATATATATAGAGAGAGAGAGAGAAAGAGAGAGAGAGAGAGCAGCTTTCCTTGTAGCATACATTGAAACTTAAAATACATTTCCATCATACATTGCACTTCAGCTGTTTCGTCTCTTATTTTTATTCCTTTAAGTTGTAACTTACATAAAATGGTGGGGATGAATCCCTGCAGCATGAGGGGTGTGCTGAATTTTTCAACTTCCAAAAATGAGGGGTGCTAAAAAGTTGTAATGTGACTTGGGAAATTAGAATATATTTCGGTTAAATTAATATAATTTAGTCTGCTTGGTAAGTAAAACATTTGCAAAATTGCGCAGAAATAATTTAAAATCATTACTTGTGGTTATATTACATTAAATATTAATATTTGTATTTTGTTATGATTTAGCATTACCCAGCAGTTTCAGAAGGTAAAATTTAAATTCTTTGGGTTTTTTTAAAGCGGTTTATGTACTTCTTCATCAAACGTAGACTGGCTAAGCTAAATGCTGTCCAATCACAAAATTAAGTGCTAAAACTCAGTCTAAGTTTTCTTTTAAATTGTTTAACCACATCAGTTAACAAACATGGATACATACGCTATAATGTTATTGTTTTAGTTAAATAACTTGTTTAAATTGTTATTAAGGAAATGATTATTTTTTCTCCTTCCAATAAAGTACAGCAGAAAAGTTGTCCAAATATATAATTTCCAAATAATTTCATAATTATCTGTCAGTGTATTTCTAATAGCATAACCAAATCAGTAATTTTTGATATAACTGTAAAAGCTACTCTGAAAATTTATTATTCCAAAAATGAAACTTTCATCTGGTTGTAAATATTAAGATTATACCAGCAAGAATGAGTCTTTCTGTAAAAAAAAAAAAAGATTTAAATCAAGTCTTACTGACTAGTGATTTAAAACAATTTGATTTAAATTGATTTGATTTAAATTAAATCCACCCTGATGCAAATTTGTCTTGTGCATGTGGTTCCCCTCAGAACTGACAACTGGGAGAGGCCCTGTTCAGTTGGTAGTCTTTCCAAGCTCTGCTCTCTGAAATCCTTTAAATTAGAGATTCCAGGGGTTGAACCCATAACTTTCTGTATGCAGATCCTATGCTAACACCCTACTGTAGGTGCAGCCTGTCTAAAAGGAGGGCTTGCCTGCAGCCCTGGCTTCTTGGTTTGCGTTGTTAGATGGTCATTTTTCAACAGCTCATGGCCTCCATACACACTGCCCAGGCTTGCACCTCAGAGAGCTGATTTCAGTGCTTCTAATGCAGCAAAACAATGCAGGAGGAGCTGTGATAAGTTACCCGTTTCTGCAGCCACAGCTGGCGCTGTGATTCTCCAGCAGTTTGACTTCATACCCAGAGATGCTCTCCACCGTCTCTCAAGACAGACGGATGCCAATGACAGTCACCCAGAATAAAAAATGATCAGATAAATCACACCTCGTCATCAACACTCATACCTTGCAGAAAAATGGCTGTTAAATAATTCTTTAAGGCACTTTATTGTTTCAGGAAGTAGCACTTGGGTTGCCCGAATCAAAATCAGGCACAAAATACAGGACCAATCTCACAAGGACCAAAACCAAAATGAAATGAAACAACATTCCTACTTTAGGCAACTCACAGTCTCTAGATAGCAGATGAAATGGAAGAGCAGAATGAGAGAAAGCCAGTTAATAATAAGGGGGGGGGGGATCACAGGCGTAGTACCGTATCTTCTGAAAAGCCACACACCAAATATTTTGAAAGGTGAACCGAAATTAAGAAGAGTGTAAAAATATTTAGGAATCTCAGTGACTCTTCCCCTAGAGATCAAAGAGTCACAAGATCTTAAACACCCCCATTATTAAATTCATTTATATCATGCAGACCAAATGCTCTTCCCTTTCATCTTTCTGCAAGCTAGCAGTTAACAAACCAGTTTCCTCCCTGCAAATCTTTCATCTTTAACTGGCATATAATGAGCAGATATTCAACAGGTGAAGCTTGTCCCCCATCATTGTATTTACACATCAGGATTTTTTTTGGTTGAATTCTGCAGTAACCTCGGCCAGAATAACTGTTGGAAACTCTAGCGGGAGCCCTCAGCAGATTAAGCAATTTTGCTTTCTGATGTAATGTGTCGTTGAACAGTAACTAGAAATGATGTTTTACTGGAATGGGAGCTGAGCCCTTAATGCTACAGTGCCACACAGAGAAATGAGAATTACTTCTGCCTAGCTTAACATGTCTGATAGCCTGCATTCAAGGCTACAGTCAATATTAGTTCTACTTACAGCAGACCCACTGAAATCAATAGGTGTAAATGAATCTGTTAATTTCAATGGGTTCACGCTGTGTATTCCTTAGTTTCATTTCATCCTCAATCTCCAGCTCTAGTTGCACTCATCTTGTGGAGTAGTATTTCAGAACAGGTGCCAACAGTACTGATATTTCATCAGCAGGTAAAAACTTACATTCATTCAGGCCTTCTTGGGCCTTAGATATTGCTTTATTGCTCCTTAGATATGGCAGGCATTTTATACTCTAAATGCCTACGGAAATTTGTTTTAGTGGATTGTCTTACGTTGTTATGCCTTACATCACCTTGGTAACCTCTGTTTGGAATGATTTATTTTAACAAATAATTAAGAAACAGACTCTACCAAAAGCACAGTTGCTGTTTCCTGAACCAGAGAATTCCATAAAGCACAGCAAAGTGATAATTTCACCAGCTGCAATTAAAAATATGTTAAATTGTTGTACTCTAATGCAACTTGTTTGCTGGGGTTTTGGTTTCTTTTTCTTTTCCATTTCCTATTTAGCACATAAATTTGGGATAAAAAGGTAAAGGGACCCCTGACCATTAGGCCCAGTCGTGGCCGACTCTGGGTTGCGGCGCTCATCTTGCTTTATTGGCTGAGGGAGCCAGCATACAGCTTCCGGGTCATGTGGCCAGCATGACTAAGCCGCTTCTGGCGAACCAGAGCAGCGCACGGAAACGCCGTTTACCTTCCCGCCGGAGTGGTACCTATTTATCTGCTTGCACTTTGACGTGCTTTTGAACTGCTAGGTTGGCAGGAGCAGGGACCGAGCAACAGGAGCTCACCCCGTCGCGGGGATTCGAACCACCGACCTTCTGATCGGCAAGTCCTAGGCTCTGTGGTTTAACCCACAGCACCACCTGCGTCCCTAAATTTAGGATAGCCAGATGCAATAGAGAACAAAGTTCCTATACCATTTATCTCAAAATTAGGAGAGGAAATTTATGCAGGTGATATTTGCATGATAAGCTACACCTTTTAATTTTTATTATTATTAAATTTGTTAGTCCTTTTATCTTGCCCAAGGCAACCCAAAGTGACTTACAGCCAATCCACCAATCAACTCCCCCCACACATAGAGACATTAAAACCAAGGGGGGTGGGGAGGGAGAGAAATAGCATTAGAAACCTCCCACTTGCTTCCAAAAGGCCACAGATAGTTGAAGGCCAAAGGCCTGGTTATAAAGGAAAAGTCTTGCCTGGCAGCTAAATGATGGTGCCAAGTGAGCAGCCCTGGGGAAAGGATTCCACATATACCTGTTGAAATTCCTCTTCTACACAACTATTAAAGGTGCAGAATCCCAGTCCTCCTTTGTTTCTGACCACCCTACAAGCATTTCAAATATCAAAGCACAAAAACAAAAATGTTGCTTAGGCATGAGAGGTTCTGATGAAAGTATTAATAGCTAAGCAGCTACCGTGGTACCTCTGGTTACAAACTTAATTCGTTAGAGAGGTCCGTTCTTTTTTTTTTTTTTTAAATGATATTTATTAAGGTTTCAAAAAAAAGATTACATAGATAAGAAGAAAAGAAAAAAAAGAAAAAGAAAAAAAAGAAAAAATACAAAATACAGAAAAAAGATAAAAAACACTTAAAAACAAATCAATCTTCCATGCCTTACATTTCATTTCCTTACTTCCCTGACCTCCTCACACCTCCCTTTTTTGTGTTCCAGTTCAATTAGTTAATTCAGCAATTCCTTTCCCTCTTTGTTTTAGTCTTAATCCTTTAACTTAATATATTATAACTTCAGATTCTCACCTGTTAACAATCCATTTTTACATACACCTTTATAACATTGCTGCTAAAACCACTTAACTTCATTCTAGAGAGGTCCGTTCTTAACCTGAAACCATTCTTAACCCTTTAGCTAATGGGGCCTCCCACTGCCACCGCAATTGCTGTTCTCATCCTGAGGTAAAGATCTTAACCCGAGGTACTACTTCCGGGTTAGCGGAGTCTGTAACCCGAAGTGTCTGTAACCCAAGGTACCACTGTATAATGGTTGTTCAACTGGCACTAGAAAAATGAGGGGACATTTGTTTGCTGGGGTTTTGGTTTCTTTTTCTTTTCCATTTCCATAAAAAGCTCTGTACCCAGGCTTCCACTAGGAGGGACTGTTAGGATTGCCAACCAGCCAGAAAAGAGGACTGGCCTGCTGCTGTGCCTTTTATAGCAGCTTGATCTGCAGAAATCAGTAGGTGATGTTTTCAGAGTTTGGAGATAAACGTTATCACCTAAAAACAGCTCTACATCAAGCTGGAGTTAAAGGCAGAGAAATAGGGGCCTGGGTGAATTTCCTATGTAGTTAAAGAAATAAAGTAAATCCACACACAATATTACAATAAATAAATGTTTGCACCATAATAATTACGAGCATAGGTCTGCAACATGTTCCACACTGAAGCATCAATAGGGAGGGGACTTAGATAAATGGCATTGTTTCTGTAGGGAAACCTGCTAGGATAATTACTCCTAAACCCGTTATTTGCTCTGGTGTACCCGAGTACTGAATTTGGTTCCATAGATGTAACTGATTTTCATTCCTTATTCAACAATAATCACCACTCACATAAATGGACAGGTATAATTAAGGCGAACCAGCCGTGCAAGTAAACAATTGTTTGCAGGACTTGATCCTAATGGAAGGCCCTCCTGCCACGATAGGTCCAAACAACTCTTACCCATAAGGACAGATGTGTTTCTGTGCATTTGATCCATGAAAGACAGCTTGGTTCTAACTATGTTAATCTCCAGCAGCTAAGAAGGGCCAGCGTGGGATTTGTTCGTTAGTTCCCAAGCGGGGAGGAGAATGAGTTTTGGTGCTGTATACATCCTGTGAGGGGTGTGTGAGAGAGATGTATACATATGGCAAGTATGTCTACGCATTCTGTCATTCTAGTCACACTCACTGCTCAGGATAAATAAGGTTAGCCACTCCTGGTTTAAACACAGTACGGTCACAATCTTGTTTTCTCCAGGGATCTTGCTATGTTGATTTAACTACTTCAAAGTACATGCTTTCAGCTGAAGGGCGATTTGAGACTTCATAAACCATGGTTAATCTCAATCTCTAGCCGCGGTGCTCTCATGGCTTATCACAAACCATGGTTTATGAAGCTGGGAGTGTGTATCAGGTGATGTTCTTCTCCCTCCCTAGCTCCCCCCTCCTTTTGTTGCATGCTGACTTTAGAACAAAGACCTGAATTGTATTAAACCAGGATTCCATATTAAAGTGGTACCTCGGTTTACGAACTTAATTGGTTCCGGAGGTCCGCTCTTAAACCGAAACTGTTCTTAAACCTTAATGAGGCCTCCTGCTGCTGGTGCCCTTCCACCGTTCGGATTCCGTTCTTAGACCAAGGTAAAGTTCTCAAACCAAGACACTATTTCCGGTTTTGCAGAGTTTATAAACCAAATCGTTCTTAAACCAGACTGTTCTTAAACCGAGGTACCACTGTACGTTCTAATTCAGGCTGAATGTCGATCAACAAACCAGGATAATAAGCCACCGTGTGATGGAAGCAGTGGAGGGATGATTGAGGAGTGCCTAGTTTATGGAAAGCCATGGTTTGACTGAGGTTATGAAGTGGCCCACTGTGTCAATTTGTCAGAATAAAAAAATAAAAATGCTACGTGTAAAACAACATAGCATCCTTTCAATGCTACTCCTTTCTCGTATTATTCGATTATATTCTATTAAAATAACATTTGTGCTTCATCCAAGCTGCGATGAATTTGCTGAGCTAAATGAACAGAGGGGATCTTTGTGATAGCTCAAAAATAGCAACAATATTTTTTTAAAAAATAATGTTAAAGATGAAGGGGATACAGGTGCACAACATGATGGAAAACTCACAGGAGGATGCAAGTGGCAGAAGAGCAAGTTTAGGAAATATCTGAGGTATTTTTAAACTCCTGAGTAAAGGTGACACATGGAGATATGAAGGAACAAGGGTGAGCAGTCACTTCTTAAATCTCTTTTGCCTTTTCAGTTGTTAAGAGTCACTGTGTTCCGCCATCCACGTCCAAGAGTTCATCAAGGAATTCTACTACTTCACCCTAGAAGAGATTACAACAGAGGACAGGTTAATTCTGTGCCATGCAAACCTATAGAGATAATTCCTTTTTTTACAAGTATCAGGTAGAGTTGAAAATGTAGCCAGCTAAGCCTAGTTCAACAGGATAGAAGTTTCTCCTAATGAATAGCTCACTTGCTTCTGATGATGGACCTGAGTGGATAATATTTTCCCAACCTTTAGGAATGAATGAATAAATAAAATTAATAAAATAACTTTCAAGATGGTGTGACTGACAGCTGGTCTTTGCGATGGATATGCCCTTTTACAATAGCCTACTGCTGAAAACAGAATTGCAGCTAATTCCTGGAAGCCGCAGACACAAAACACAGGATTATCCCGGCTTCCCATTGGAATCACTGGAATGCCAAGAGAGAGCAAAAAGGGCAATATTTGCATCTGTATTATAGACAGATACATAGATATAAGTTTTCACATTTTGGTTTATTTTATACCTGCAATTGCTTTTAATTGTTGCATATCTGGAACTGTTTTAACACTTTTTTTTTTGTTTTATGGTTGTAGCTTTTTTTGTTTTATAATAATAATAATAATAATAATAATTTATTATTTGTACCCCGCCCATCTGGCTGGGTTTCCCCAGCCACTCTGGGCGGCTTCCAACAAAGATGAAAAATACACTAAAATGTCACATATTAAAAACTTCCCAGATGTCTTCTGAATGTCTTCTGAATATTCATGATTGAATATGCTATAGTTGTAACCCACCCTGGTAAAGGGCAGCTAACAGTCTAATAAATAAAATGTTCATTCATTCATTCAATTTATAGGCCACTTCATATAAAAAGATCTCTAAGCAGTTTATAAAGTAAAAACCATACAATCACATGGCTGAATGAAATACGTATGATCAATATCACAATAAGACGGATGGGATGACATGCTGCTTTCACCACAAGCTTGTTGGCCCTTCGATAAAAGTGCGAAGTGGTTTCAACAGCTTCTGGAACGACAACTGTTTGCTTTGCGTTCAGCTAACTTGAAACCTTTTAAGAAGTTAGGTCAATAAATATTCTCATCGCCAAATATTATTTACCAAAACTAAGCTGTTTGCCGTAAGGGAAGCGGCCTTCTAAACACTGCAGGCACGCGTAAATATTTGTGGAAGGAGAGATTACTGTGAAAATAATGAAGCTTTTTTCAAACTAGTGAAAATAAGCACTCACGTTCTCATTCGGCAACTTTGATTTGTTTTTCCTCCCAGCACGGAAGCATGTGCAAAGGTAAAAACAATCGCTTGTTTTTCTGCACGCCTTCAGGAATTCCACAGGAATTCCTCATAAGATGCTCTTGCAACTCTGTACAGTGGTGCCTCGCAAGACGAAATTAATCCGTTCCGCGAGTCTCTTCGTCTAGCGGTTTTTCGTCTTGTGAAGCAACCCTATTAGCGGCTTAGCGGATTAGCGCTCTTAGCGGTTTAGCAGCTATTAAAGGCTTAGCGGCTTAGCTGCTAAAAGGCTATTAGCGGCTTAGCGGCTTAGAAAAGGGGGGGGGAGCGAAAAAAAATCTCAAGACTCGCAAGACATTTTCGTCTTGTGAAGCAAGCCCATAGAGAAATTCGTCCTGCGAAGCGCATCGAAAAATGGAAAACCCTTTTGTCTAGCGGGTTTTCCGTCTTGCGAGGCATTCGTCTTACGGGGCACCACTGTACCTGTAATGCTGTTTTTCCTGGTGCGACTGATCAGGAGAACCAGTGTTCCAGTCGAACCAATAACCAGGTCGCTACATTCTTAGCAATGTACCGTATTTTTTGCTTTATAGGACGCATTTTTCCCCCTCCAAAAATGAAGGGGAAATGTGTGTGCGTCCTATGGAGCGAATGCAGGCTTTCGCTGAAGCCTGGAGAGCGAGAGGGGTCAGTGCGCACCGACTCCTCTCGCTCTCCAGGCTTCAGGAAGCTATCCATAAGCCTTCGGAGCATGGCGGGAGTTCCCGCCGGGCTCCCAAGGCTTGCGGATAGTAGCCTGCAGCCCAAAGCCCGGGGAGCGCTGCGCTGAGCACCCCGGGCTTCGGGCAGCTATCTGGCCGTCTTGGCTTCTTTGCTCTTTGGGGCTGCGGGGGGGGGGGGGAATAATTTTTTTTCTTTATTTCCCCCCCAAAAAACTAGGTGCGCCCTATGGTCCGGTGCGCCCTATAGAGCGAAAAATACGGTAAGCACTAATGTAAAAAATCAGAGCAGAACAAACCATTCACACTGGGATATCGCTTGTTGTGAGCCGGTCAAATCAGGATGATACAGATAGGAGGGTTTGCTGAGGACCTGAAATGCGGAGCAGCTTGATAGTGAGGATCCTGAGCAGGGGGACCTCTCTCGCTTCACCTGTCTCTGCAACGAGAGCCACAAGTCCCACCTCTCACTCCCTAGCTCTGCCACCTAACCTGGCATCATCAGACATTGGGAATAGCTCTGCCTCTCCATCCCTGCCAGCCTCTCTGGGGCAGAGACAACTCCCTTGTCAGCTAAACCCAGGAAGTGCCAAAGGAGAACAGAAGGCTCTGCAGAAAGTTGAGGCTACCCCATTACTATATATAGAATAACAAGGGTGTGCGTCAAATCGGATCCATGTCTAAAGCCTCGGGAGTTTGATCACCTGCCTTTGCTGTAGTTGTACTTGGAAGGATTCTGTGTATTGCCTGCAGTGCATATGATTTGCATATCTTTCATAGCAATCTAAACATTAAAGCCTTTCGAAAGAATCCTCCTTTGTGTCTTTGTTCTCCAGCAAATGAGAGCACTGTTAGACAACCCTGTTTTTCCTCTTTTCCCTGTAACGTTTAAGTACAGTTACCTGTGTCGTTTCCTCATATTTTCTTGACTGCAGCAGCTATTAATATACGGAAGCAGGGAAATGCATTACGGGACAATGTAAAAACATAGGCAATTCTGCCAAAACTTTACGGAGAGGAGGTCCTGAATTCAAGGGCAGGCCTGTGTCAAGCGTAAGGTCTAGTCCTGCCTTCAGAAATTAAAAGTTTTCCAACAAAAATACTGTATTTAGTTGGGATCTGTTGCTTTGTAAAACAGTTTCTCTGCTCCATATATTTTCATAGATATACAGGGTGAGTACTTTAAAAGAGGCCCTGTGGATACAGAGTACAGTGGTACCTCAGGTTAAGTACTTAATTCGTTCCGGAGGTCCGTTCTTAACCTGAAACTGTTCTTAACCTGAAGCACCACTTTAGCTAATGGGGCCTCCTACTGCCGCCGCGCCGCCGGAGCACGGTTTCTGTTCTCATCCTGAAGCAAAGTTCTTAACCCAAGGTACTATTTCTGGGTTAGCAGAGTCTGTAACCTGAAGCGTATGTAACCTGAGGTACCACTGTACACATGTTCCACGGGGCCTCTTTTAAAAGACTCACCCTGTGTATTCTGGACCACAGATAGTATCTAGATGAAAATGCTACTTTTGATTCATTGATATGGTAGTAGAATCAATCCCACTCCCTCATTAAAGGATGAGAATTTGCCATCATTCTCCCATTAGCACTTTCATGATGACGCAACACCACCCCTCTCTTGGGAATGCAGAATGGAAACCGAGTAAGTAATTTGCAACGAGCCAGCAAATACTTCACAAGTATCGACTGCAGAAAAACAGCAAAGCCAAATTTGCTTGGTGCCAATTGGCCAGCCATTTATATCAATCACAAAGTCGTTTCACCCCACTCAGAGTAGCCGCAATGCTTCACTGTGCAGGTAACAGTGCAGGAACACAAAGGGAAGAACACACGCTACAAACCAAAAGCACACTGGTCAGTTAACCTTCGGCATGGGGTGGTGGACAGCACACTCTAAGTGTGCCATTACAGGAACAGAAAGTACCCTGGAGCAAAAAATACTAGGCCTGTTTCCAATGTAGATGGCTGATGGCTGATCAACGACGACACAGTAGTCCAGGATGATGTGCAGGTCCCTATTCACAGAGAGTGGCTGCACATCACTGATGTGTGTGGTGATGGTGAAGAGAGTGTCTGCTGATAGTAATTCTCTTGCTGGTGGTAGTTGGTGTATGGCCCTGAATTGACAAATTCTGGGAGCAGAAATGGGCCAGCCATCTACGCCCCCCCCCCCCCCAGCACCACCGCATCTTCTACCTGGGCAGCAGGGCTTCAACTGCAGTAGTGGCTATGCCACTCCAGGCTGGCCCTGGGGTGGGTTAGAATTGTTCAAACACAACCAGGTGAGTGGTATTTATGAGCCTAGATCATGGGTAGGCAAACTGAGGCCCGGGGGCCAGATCTGGCCCAATTGCCTTTTAAATCCGGCCTGCGGATGATCCGGGAATCAGCATGTTTTCACATGAGTAGAATGTATCCTTTTATTTAAAATGCATCTCTGGGTTATTTATGGGGCATAGGAGTATATTCATTATTATTTTTTCAAAATATAGTCCGGCCCCCCACAAGATTTGAGGGACAGTGGACCGGCCCCCTGCTGGAAAAGTTTGCTGTCCCCTGGCCTAGACTATGCCTCAGTTCCTCTTCTCACAGGCATTGCTACCAAGCTGGTGAAAAACCCCACACTCCGTTGTCAACCTGAGTGCATGTGGAAATTGCTTTTCTTACACCAAACCTGAAACTCTGATTGCTTCCACCTACTCCCCAAAATGCCAAAAATACTATGCAAATCAGGACGAATGCGCAATTTTAGCTAAATGACAACTGCGCTAGCTTTTTAGTGAAGCGAGTGCTACTGAAACAAAGATGAAAGTCCGTGTCTCACAGGGATCCCTTATAGGAATGCTGAGAACCAGTTAGGGTAGGGTCCCCTGGCATGCCATGAGATGCTGCAAACATGGCCCTATAGACCGAAACTGTCCTTGCTGATTCATCTCATCGGCAGAGCCACTGAGGAGGCTAATGGAGAGGGAGAATTAGATGACAGGGAGTCTGGTTCCATTGCCACGGCAACAGAGACATTTCCTCCTCTGCTAGGATGCCTGGATAACTCAGGTGGGGAGGGGAGTCTGCCAAGCCTATAACCAGTTGTTCATAAGCCAGCCAGGCACAGGGGAATTTTTCCTTATTTGGAGATATGACAAAAGCGTCACACGCTTAATTTCTGCATGTCAGGCTGCTTTTGTCAGGTCCCAGGTCGCAAGGCGGTTAGACTGGTCTCAACTAGGGCCAGGGCCTTTTCAGTACTGGCCCTGACTTGGTGGAACACTCTGTCACAAGAGACAAGGGCCCTGCGGGACTTGACATCTTTCCACAGGGACTGCAAGACAGAGCTGTTCCGCCTGGCCTTTGGTTTGGACTCAGTCTGACCCTTACGTTTCCCTCCCCTTATGGTGTTGATCTATGGGCTACTTTTAAAATGAGACTGCATTTTAAATTGCATTTTAACCTGTATTTTAAATTGGTTTGTTTTCCTCCCCTATTATGTTTTTATTGTAATTTTACTGGTGTTAGCCGCCCTGAGCCAGGCTCTGGCCGGGGAGGGTGGGGTATAAATAAAAATTGTTGTTGTTGTTGTTATTTGAAAGCAAAACAAACTAAAAAAAAAAGACAACCCTACTATCACATTACAACTGGCCTGAAATATCCTTAAGGCGCCATTAACTTTTACTTAAGAAAATGGTATTGCGCTACTCGACTTACTTCATCATCATCCATCACGTGCTCTTTAGCAAATTCATACATTTCCCTCTGAAGTGTTGTTATGTTGTAATACCGAACAGCTTCCTAGAAAAAGAAGGGCGAAATTCCATGTCACATTAACAGCAGAACAGTGCCTAAAAGCTCCTTTTTAGCACAGCCTCATGCATTGCATGGAAGAAACGTTTCTTACAGAGTCATAGAACCGTAAGAGTTGGAAAGGACCACGAGGGTCAGCTAGTCCAACCCCCTGCAATGCAGGAATCTTTTTGCCCAACGTGGGGCTTGAACCCATGACTTTGGGAATAAGAATTTCATGCTCTACCAACTGAGCTATCTTTTCCCAGCACATATAGTACCCTCGATGACTATCCCAGAGAAGGCTCTACAATTTTGGGGCTAGCCTGGTTTCCCCTCTCCCCAAAGAAGCCTTTACAGTGGACGCTCGGGCTGCGAACGTGATCCGTGTGGGAGGCATGTTCACAACCCGCAGCGTTCGCAACCCGCAGCGCTGCATTAGCACACGTGTGGGTCGCGATTTAGTGCTTCTGCACATGTGTGAGCGTCAAAACCCAGAAGTAACCCGTTCCAGTACAGTGGTACCTCGGGTTAAGAACTTAATTTGTTCCGGAGGTCTGTTCTTAACCTCAAACTGTTCTTAACCTGAGGTACCACTTTAGCTAATGGGGCCTCCCACTGCTGCCGCGCCACCGCTGCGTGATTTCTGTTCTCATCCTGAAGCAAAGTTCTTAACCCGAGGTACTATTTCTGGGTTAGCGGAGTCTGTAACCTGAAGCGTCTGCAACTTGAAGTGTTTGTAACCCAAGGTACCACTGTACTTCTGGGTTCGGCGTGGTGCACAACCCGAAAACGCACAACCAGAAGTGTCTGTAACCTGAGGTATGACTGTACCTCTTTTCAGCAAGACAGCGTTTTGCTGGTCTTTTCTACAGGAAAAGCCAGCAGGGAGCTTGGTGGCTTGGATACTCCAAGGCACCTCAATTTCAAGCAGTCAAGGAAGCTCCTCACCAGCCCCTTCTCTAAGAAAGCTGGCAGGGAGCATGTTGGGCACCCTTGCCTCTTGAGCAGCTACAGAAGCAATTTGATCAACCATGAAGCTGGAAGGCATTTTCACGCAACTATTGGGACAGACCCCACCCACCCGCACAGCTTCAAAGTCGGAAGGAAGGTCGGTTGCTCCTCCTAAAGGCAATGGCACAGCTCCCATGGCAAGCGTAAAGACTGAACATGTTGAAGCATATCTATCGAAAAGGCTGCAAGGCTGAATGCAGCGACTGCGACCGGTTCAACAATTCAACTTACAGGTCTCGGCTGGAAGTCTTCATCTGTGAGTCCCCATTTGTCTTTATGGTACTGATAATAGACTAGATTCTGTTTCATCACTCCGTCCGTCTGGTCAAAGAGCAGGTAGCTAACAACGCACGAGGCAGCATTTCTCAGATCGTTCACTGAATGAAGATTAAACAAAAGAGTCAGCTTCTCAGGAGACCGTTAGGAAACAGCTGTTGCTTCTTGCAATCTGAGCATGCAATATTTCTTAATTCATAAAATCTATACGCTTGGCGAGCCTCAAAATCAGAATGCAAGGATTTGTCTTCCTTTCCCTTCTTTCTTGAGTATGCAGATAGAGATAGTGGTAAACTATTTTCTCAGAAAGCGTTAATTCCCATTCTTTGTGTATTATGTGTGCCAGAAATGGGAAAAAAGAGCCTTTCTGCTTCCAGTTTTGCAAATCTAAAAATAATTAGCAAAGCCAGGACTCGGTGAGGACTTTCAAGGTCCTGTGCAGATGCTGGACACCTATTTTAAATATATTATAATGATGCTAAGAAGCAGCTTTGCTAGCACAGCTTTTCTTCTCCAGTGAAGAGAAACGTTTTAAATAAGTGAAATGGGCATATATGTTTTTTAAAAGATAGAACCAAGCCCAATTTCAGGAGAGCGCAAAACCTCTTACTTACGTTTATAATAGGCAAACTGCAAGTAGTGATACATAGTTGCTACAAATTTCTCCACAACATAGCCTCCTACGACTGGCGTGAGATCAATTTCGCACTTCAGTTTGCACTCCAGAACTTCAATGTAGTGATCTGAAGAAGAATGCAGAATGCACACACGTTCTGAGCATTACACAGTTGTTTCTTTAATTCAGTTTAGCAGCCGGCAGTCCTGCTGTAGAAATCTGTGCGCTGAATTTCAAAAGTGTTCTGCTACTTTAGCTCCAAGATCAATGCATACATTTTTCAGCATGCAGGAAGAAACCCCTAACAGAGAACTATTTTATAATAAAAAGTTGAATACTGTTCCCAGTAAAAAATTCCCTTGATTGTAGTGCCACCTACAGTAATTGCTAATTTATTGCTAAATCCTGATATTAACATCTTGGCGGTCCATGGCTTTGTTTACTAATTGGGGTGGGAGGATAAAATAGGCTATCATTCTGTTTAGCCACAGAGAGTATTCTAAGAAGCAGCTAGGTAAAGGTAAAGGGACCCCTGACCATTAGGTCCAATTGTGGCCGACTCTGGGGTTGCAGCGCTCATCTCACTTTATTGGCCGAGGGAACCAGCATACAGCTTCCAGGTCATGTGGCCAGCATGACTAAGCCGCTTCTGGCGTACCAGAGCAGCGCACGGAAATGCCGTTTACCTTCCCACCGGAGCGGTACCTATTTATCTACTTGCACTTTGACGTGCTTTCAAACTGCTAGGTTGGCAGGAGCTGGGACTGAGCAACGGGAGCTCACCCCATAGCGGGAATTCAAACCCCAACCTTCTGATCAGCAAGTCCTAGGGTCTGTGGTTTAACCCACAGCGCCACTCGCATCCCTAAAAAGCAGCTACATGTTATCTAAAGTGTCAATTCAGGGTTGCTGCTTCTGTTTTTTAAAAAGGAAAGTCATCTCCAGGCAAAGTAGGCAGGGGCCGCTTAAGCCTTTCTCGGTCCACTGATTGACCATCTGTATGAACCCTCATATGGCTCTTCTTCACAAAGGTTAGGCTTTGTATTGAACTGTAAGGGAAAAGCCATGGGGGTACTTTAAAGAGTAGAAAATTTGGAGGGAAGGATTAAACCCATCATCACTTTCTCATTCAATCTTCCATCCTCTCTGCAGCTGCCTTTCTTTAAAAACAAAACAAAACTTATCTGCATTTGCACATACCACAACAGGGCTGGGAAATTTTGGGCTCCACAGTCTAGATCAGCCTCAGGTGCCAAATCTGACAGGTGGATGTATCCCTCTTCCATTTAAACATGGGACTGAGAAGGCAGGCAGTGGCAGGGTGGAGCAATATTTAAAGGATGGGGTAGGTGGCTTCAAAGAGCACCTTGCAGCTTTAAGACAGTACCCATGCTCCCAAGGGGAACCTGGAGACTGTCTTAGAGTGCTTTGCAAAATCACCTTTTGAAGCAGCCTCCCTACCCCTCCTGTAAGCTATCTGGCAGACAGCAGTGAGGGTGGGAGTCTCCCCCACCACTCTGATGTTTAAGGTAGAATGGGTGGCTGTTTCAAATAGCACTTTTGCTGCACTTCTCCTTTAAGTGGGCAAGGGGCAGCAGTAATGTGGCAGTTTCAATTATATTGATCAGAAAACAATGAAAGGTTTGCTACTAATTTCAGTCAAGGACTGATTTCCCAGATTAATTTCCTGGGTGAAAAAACTTACTAAATTCAGATTTACAGACATTAAACCACTTGCTGTGTGGTCAGCTGCTAGTCTTGCATGACATCACAAAATTTGTTTATCTACAGAATCGTCAGGATGAAGCAAATAAGACACAGGGCAACAAGATATGGATGTGTTAGGGGAACACCTATCAAAGAAAACAAAACATGATGATGCACTGAATATTTATTATGATGTATTATGCAGAAAGGTGATTTAATATAACTCTGAAACACACATTCTATCCATTTTCCCATAGTTTATTATTTCCCATAGTTACCCATCTATATGATCATCTGGAAAACGAGCATGTAGATTTGACACCACCTGCTATGTTATGAATTCTCTCTCTCTCGCTCCCTCCTTCCACAGCAATCTCCTACTGTTTAAACACACACCTCTGACAGCTAGCATTATCAGAAAGGACATCCACAAACAGCACACGTCAAGCAAAATTATTTTAGGAGACCAAGGTATCCTTCAAGAACCCCTTCCCAAATGCTGGCACCCAGCTCAACACCTACCTGCTATGGACAGATAGAACTCTTTAAAATCTGTGATCTCCCGGGAGCCTTCACAGGCAGCTATGCAATCATCATAGGCTTTGTAGAAATCAGGAATTGCCAGCTCCATGTCTGTGATGCAAGTCCTCCAATTTTCTCCATTGTAGGCCTTTACTGCCCTGATAAAGAGATTCTGAGGAGACGGGGGGGAGGGGGAATGTAAGGAAGTAGCATAGGTTTGATTTGACTTGATTCAAGGCTGCATTGCTGTGTCAAAATGGACAGCAGTCCTGGATGGTTAAGTCCAGTTGAAGGCGACTATAGGGTTGTGGTCTCATCTCGCTTTCAGGCTGAGGGAGCCAGCGTTTGTCCACAGACAACTTTCCGGGTCATGTGGCCAGCATGACTAAACTGCTTCTGGCGCAACGGGACACTGTGGTGAGTGCCAGAGCGCACGGAAACGCCGTTTACCTTCCCGCCACAGCGGTACCTATTTATCTACTTGCACTGGTGTGCTTTCGAACTGCTAGGTTGGCAGGAGCTGGGACAGAGCTTGCCGATTTGAACCGCCAACCTTCCAATCAGCAAACCCAAGAGGCTCTGTGGTTTAGACCACAGCACCACCTCTTCCTCGTTTCATTGCCACCACCCAGTCAGAGTCCTTTTTTAGCTGCATCCTCGAAGATACATTCTCCAATTCAATGTGACCCAGTTCACACATAATGCTAAGCCAACCATGGATTAGCGTGAACAAGCAAAGCTGCAGGTTCCCAGAGAGAAGACTGGGGCTACAGCACCCCTCTTCTGAGCCCGGTGCTGAAACACTCTGTGGGGCTAAGCTATGGTTTGGCTTGATGTTATGTCTGAACCCAGACTCATGGTTTGCCTCACTCCAGACAAACCGCGAGCTGTAGCCACAGTTTCTTCTTGGTTTACCATTCACACTTTGTCTGGGGGAAACAAACCATGAGTTTGGAGCAATGCTAAGCCAAACCATGGTTTAGCCCTGAATGGCGTGTCAGCAGCAGGACCAGGGTACAGGGTATGGAGCACACCAGCTGTGTGTGGTGGTGCAGAGCAAAGGGAGGAAAGACTTTCTTCTACTCTCCTATTTATTCTCCTCTTCTCTGTGAGTGGCAGCAGGATCTTAGGACTGGCGTGAGTTGTGAAGGGATGAGGCAATATGGGCAAACTGTGTGGGGGTGGGGATTGGCAATGGGGTGGCAGCAGTGGATAGGCAAGATGTGGGGTTTGAAGGAGCTGTAAGGGGATTGGGGGGTGAGGCGTAGAGGATTGTTGAGCAAAGCAAGTAGGTGTGACAGCCCCATAGTCTATATAATAACCCAAACCCTCATTTTCTTCAATCTCCCTATTCACTCTGCCACAACTTTTTTTCAGCTGTCACTTTCCAACAGACTCTCTTGCAACTCCTCCCAAGATTTTAAAAGCGCTTTCGATACTTCAGTTCAAAACTATTACTTTTGCCAAACAGGTACATGATTCTAAGTTATTTTCCCACGAATACAATACTCCCACAAATAAAATGTTAAATATTTGAGCTTCCTCGGTCTGCTCATATGTAGTCATGCACAATAAATGCAAAGAGTTCCATGAGCAAATATAGTATCTAAAGCATTTGTCTTTGTGAGATAGCTCAAAAAGTGGCACATTTGTAAACAGGCTGTCTATACTTTATTAAGGAAGGGTGCAATCCAATCTGAAAGTCGTAACGTTCGGTGGGATAGGAGCAATGCCTACGTTCTCTTGCATTAGCACAGCACTGCAACAGCGGATAAGAAGTGATGTTCTACTAAGAAATTGGGCAGAGAAAGGAATATTGTGCAGAAGGAGCAGAGGAATGGCTAATATGATTGGGACCCTATAAACAATGACAGAATCTAGCCCGCTCCTTACATTGGTACAGTGCTGAGCACCGAATTCTTTAAGATTTATTTCCAGGTAAGCATAGCTAAGACTGAGCTGTAAGAGGCACAGCAATAGAACGGAAAACTATAGGTAAAGTAAAATTAGGAGAACAAACAGACCTCAGCTTCTGGGTTGTTGCTTTTTACAGAGCTCTTCAGGAACATAAATAGGAGGGGGAACATACCTCATACGATTTCATTTCCAAATCTTTAATATGGTCCTCAGCATCAGGCATGCTTTTGTAGTATGCCATATTCCTTTTCATCATCTCATCTTCAGGATGTTTCAGGAGAAATGTGTGTGCTGCTGCAATGGCTTTTGGGAAGTTGTTTGCCTAGCCAAAAAGGAACAAGAAAGAGAGACTTCTGAAACCATCACTTACATTTTATAAACTTTTCTCCTAGAGCTTTGATTTCATGGCGTTGTTCTCAAGAAGACTGATGTCACGAGCCTAGGGGCCAACTCCTAAGGGTCAATGACCCTTCAGTTTTCAATAAATTAAAAGGTGCCATGGGCTTTGAAGACACTTGAACTCAGGATGAAAGGGAGCAACGTGCCTAGAGGGAAGGCACACTTGGGTGATCAACTCCCACCCGGAAACCTATGTCCCTACTGTGGGAGGACGTGTGGATCCAGAATTGGCCTCCACAGTCACTTATGGACCCACTGATGAAACCTTGTTTATGGAAGACAATCTTACTCGGCTACGAATGATTGCCAAAGAGAAGAAGTAATTTAAAACTAATAAAAATTATTATCGACATATCTATGATGTCTTGATGATGCTTCTGGAAATGTATTATAGGAAACTTTATGGGAAATTTTGGGAAGCTTTAAAATACTGATAATACTGATGTAACCATTGTTCGGAGCGTCATCTTTGTCGCTGGTGTAAAGAGCGTCATCTTTAGTGTTGCAACAATAAAGATCAGGCCTACTGGCCACTGTTTTGCTTCTATCTCCTGGCTGAAGTCTCTCCCCCAACCTGAACCTATGGGATCCAATTGCGGGGTGCTCAAAAATAGGATTTTTAAAAATTTAAATCGGATTTTTAAAAATTTAAATCAGATTTTTAAATTAAAATGCTTTTGGAGGAAAAACCTTTCTAAATATAGTTTTCTATTTAAGTTACATGATAGTCCAAAGGCTATTCATCAGGAAATAAGGATTTGTTTTATGTTTTTCATGTGTGCTAAAACTCAGTCTAAGGTTTTGTTTTTTAAAAAAAACCGTTTGACCACATGAGTTAACAAACATGGATACATATGCTATAATGTTATTGTTTTAGTTAAATAAATCATTTAAATCATTATTAAGGAAATGATTATTTTTCACTTTCCGATAAAGTGCAGCAGAAAAATTGCCCAAATATAAACTGTTAACTTATGAAACCTCACTATAATTTCATAATTACTTGTCTATGTATTTCTAACTAGTACAGTGGTACCTCGGGTTAAGTACTTAATTCGTTCTGGAGGTCCGTTCTTAACCTGAAACTGTTCTTAACCTGAAGCACCACTTTAGCTAATGGGGCCTCCGGCTGCCGCCGCTGTGCGATTTCTGTTCTCATCCTGAAACAAAGTTCTTAACCCGAGGTACTATTCCTGGGTTAGCAGAGTCTGTAACCTGAAGCATCTGTAACCTGAAGCGTATGTAACCCGAGGTACCACTGTATAACCAAATCAGTAATTTTTGATGTGACTGTAGAAACGACTCTGAAAATTTTGTTGTCGTTTAGTCGTGTCCGACTCTTCGTGACCCCATGGACCAGGGAAATTTATCCTCCCCAAAATGAAAACCTTCCTCTGGTTGTTGCAAATATTAAGATTATACCGGCAGGAATGTGCCTTTCTGTTAAATCCAAGTCTTACCGACTAGTGATTTCAATCGTGATTTAAAATCGTGCTTTAAATGGGTTTGATTTCAATCGAATCCACCCTGGTTCCCACCGCCCGGGCCCCTCGCTCCGAGAAGCGGGGAGGCGCTACCTTGAAGTAGGCGAACTGCAGGAACTTGTAGGGCTCCCGCTGCTGGAACTCGGCCAGCACCTCCCGGCTGGGCTGCGACTGGCGGAAGGCCGGCAGGCCCTGCTTGCAGCGCTTGAGGCACTGCGCGCGGCGCAGCAGGTCGCCGAAGAAGCGCAGCTCCGCGAAGCCCTCGAAGCGCCCGGGCTCGCCGCCGCCGCCGCCGCCGGCCTCATAGTCCCGGGCTCGGGCCGAGCTGCAGTTGACGTGGCAGAAGGCCTCGCTGTCCCTCAGCAAGCGGTGCAGCCTCAGGCTGACCTCGAGGTAGCTGACGCTCTCGGGCCACTTCTCGGCGCCGTACTGGTCCAGGCCGTAGCGGTAGGCGGACTCCAAGGGCATCAGCTCGTCGCGGGGGAAGCTGCGGAAGCTGTAGCGCTCGAATTGCGCCCGGCAGCCCGGAGCGCGCAAGCAAAGGAGCAGCAGCAGCGCCGGCGCCGCCGCCAGAAGCAGAAGCGGCGGCGGCCGCCGCGCGCAAACGAGGCGCCGCATCTCCTTCCTTGAAGGCGCCGGACACCACGTCGCAAAAAGAAGGGGGGAAATTGGCGAAGAGGAGGAGGAGGAGATGGCGACGCTTCTCTCCCACCGATTCGGAGGGACCGGGCGGGGAGAGAGAGGTCTCCTCCTCCTGCCCGGCTGAGGGGCGGCGACGAGGGGCGAAGGGAAGCCGCTTCCTCAGGGAAGGGCAATATATATATTTATTTATTTGGTTTTTCACATTAAAGTTTCACAATCACATATCCAACTAACATACAGCATTAAAAACAAGATTCCAAAGAACCTCCTGGACTTCCCTCCTCCCCTTCGTGGGTCTCTTGCACATCATTTCCTCCTGCGTCTTTTATAACACTCCGGATCTTTTACATCTCCGTTATATCCAATATTCACCATTAAACGACAAGGGTTATTCCAATCCTATTAATGGTTTTTGCTGTTTATGATTGTGTTTAAGATAAATGATAAATTCTCCCCCATTCCTTATTATAGCTGTCAACATTTCCCTTTTTTTTAAGGGAAATTCCCTTATTCCAAATTGGATTCCTTGCAAGAAAAGGGAAAAGTTGACAGCTATGTTCCTTATTAAATTTTTGGTCTTCCTGATTTCTGATTCTTCCAGGTCATTTTTGCCATTTTGGCATAATCCATCAAGTTAATCTGCCATTCTTCTCCGGTTAGGACTTTATCTTCTTTCCATCTCTGGGAAGTGCTGTTAAAGCACAGCCACTTTGGGCTGAACCGACGTTCCAACTCACTCGACATTTTGACTGCGGACATTAATAATGCTTAGGTTTCAGTGTAGTAATGTTTAGCTGTCTAAGAGGCATGTAGCCTGGGAGAGCACCTCTGTGGATTTCTGCAGAAGGCCCTGTGAAGTGTTCATCCTGGTGTGCAGAGGGTATGTTTGGTAATCAAGCAGTGGCGTAGCGTGGGGGGTGCAGGGGGGGCCGGCCGCACCGGGCGCAACATCGGGGGGGGCGCGCTCGCCGCCTCCGGAGTCGCCGAAGAGCCTCAGGCGCAGGCTGCAGCAGAGCCCCGTGTCTCGCGGAACCGACGAGCTGGCAGCGGCTCTCAGCGCTCGCCGCGATCCCCGCACGTCAGGGCCGCGGAGGGCGCGCCAGGAAGCCCCTCCTCACAGCCCCGCTGCCGCCGCAGCTGCTGGGCCATGTTGCATTTTCCTTGCCTCTCTGCCCTCCTCCTCCTCCGGGCAAGCAGCGTCGTTTGGGCGGCAGCGCCAGCGGCAACTCGCCTCAGATCACCTGACACGGACCCGCCGCCGCCGTGGCTACCTTACCGTAAATACCCCAGCCCAGGCAGCAGCAAGAAGAAGCTGGCAGCAGCGGCAGGTTAGGGGTTAGGGGGCGCAAATTACTTGCCTTGCCCCGGGTGCTTGACAACCCACGCTGCGCCGCTGTAATCAAGGATTGTTCAGTTACTTCCCAATTTGGAAGCCTTTGAATCAAATCAAGAATACACTATAGCTGAGTTTCTAGACTGGTGACCGGGCGTGGCTGCCAGGACCATATAACACCGGTCCTAGAGGATCTTCATTGCCTCCCAGTGCATTTCCAAGCACAATTCAAAGTGTTGGTGCTGACCTTGAAAGCCCTAAATGGCCTCAGACCAGTATACCTGAAGGAGCGTCTCCACCCATTGTTCAGTCCGGACACTGAGGTCCAGCTCCGAGGGACTTCTGACGGTTCCCTCACTGTGAGAAGTGAGGTTACAGGCAGTGGTGTCCAAACTTTTTTCAAAGAGGGCCAGATTTGATTAAGTGAAGGGCCGTGAGGGCCAACCAAAGATGTTAACCTTTTTTAGGATTGAAGTTGTTGAGTTTTTTTTTTTTTTTAGGATTTTACCCCAGGAAATAAACTGCTACAGGGACCGGATTAAACAGACCGGCGGCCGGATTAGGCACCCAAAATGGACTTTGGACATGCCTGCCTTCTCAGTGGTGGCACCCTCCCTGTAGAACACCCTCCCACCAGACTTTTAGAATATGGTTACCAGATTTCCTTGTTTCCCGGGGACAGTCTCCAGATTTACAAATCTGTCCCCGGACAAAATCCGTCCCCGGATTTCATTCAATGTCCCCAGACGTATATTTTAAGTATTGTAGATTTAGTAGTAGGGAATGAATGTTGCGTGATTGGTTCAACAGCACGAGACACATCATATGGGGACTTCTGGCGAGGCAAAATGGTGAGCACCACGACAGTGGGCAGCTCCTGAAGCCAGCCAGAGTCATCTGTGCTACCAGGTTGGCTCTGGGCTGCTGAAACTGCTGCTGCCGAGGGGGAACTGGGGATACCCGGCGTGTCAACTGGGGAAACCGCTGACCCCCCCCGCGCGGCCCAAATCGAGCCAGGAATGAGAGCACCCAGCCACCCGGCCGACTGCCCAGTGGTGCTCCGGGGCCAGGAAAACTACGGAGCCAATGCAGGGAGAAGGAGGAGAGGGGAAGGAAGAGAGAGAAAGAGGAAGGAGAAAAAAGAGGGGAGCCCTGACCTTGCTGCGCCACTGAGGAGAGGTAGGAGAGCACTGGGAGGGCAAGGACACGTGGCTGAGCCCAGGCCCGGCCCGAGCCTACCCCATGGCAGATAGCGCTCCAAGAGAGCAAGCTAGGGCCCAGAGGAAGGCCACACGACAGAGGAGACCACAGAAGACAAGATATTACTTCTTATTTTTTAAAAAAGATAAAAAATAACTTTTTTCAAAAAAAAAAGTGTCCCCGGATTCTTTGAAAAAAAAATCTAGTAACCTTATTTTAGAAGTTATCTGAAGGCAGCCCTTTATCAGGAAATTTTTAACATCTGATGTTTTACAATTTTACACACACACAAAAGCAATGAAGGAATTTTATTGCTTTCAGTTGCAGAATAAAAATGTATTTTTTTCCCCCTTCATTGCAATGGTATTTTATTGCAAATGCCTTTTGGGTGATTTACGTCCTTCATGGGCAGCATCGACCATGAACAGACGTGATGAAGAAAAATAATGAAGCTGGCAAATGGTTTGAAGACCAGCGTCACCTTCTTTTTCTGTATTCCTTTTCCTCCCTCTCCCCTCCCCACCTCTTCTTTCCTTTCCCCTCCGTATTGCAATTGGCTGGTTGGGGGAACCCGAGGCGGAAGCTCCAGTCAGCTGACTCCAAAGTCAGGCGGTCTGAGGGCTGAAGCTGGAACGACCTTCCTTTTCCCATCATCTGGGTTTTTTTGGGTTGCCGCAATGTTTGCTCTGCTCTTACTGCAGCTTCTGCATGCGGGATTTGGATCGCCTGTAAGTTGATATTGCTGCTGCTATATCCCCCTCCCCATTTCCCCGATCGTAGCCTTGGTGGTTTCTTGCGCAGGAGAAAGGCACTCTTTTGCATTTCCGCACTGGGCTCCCCGGAGCAGTGGAGGGTTGTGGGTCTGCTGCGTTATGGTGAGCGCAGTTCAATTCAATTCCACGCACCGCCATCTCTGAATGCAAGTGGGTCTCCTGTACGATGAGGGCTGGGTCGGGTGTGGGAAGAACAGGAGGGAACCGAGCCTTAGCAGAGGGATCTGCGAGGACTGCATAGGGTTTTGAGCAGAATTCTGATTGAGGAAGCGCACAGAAAATAGCCAGGATTGCAAAAGGGTGTGTTTCGCTTCGGCTGCTTTGCTCTGTGTACATGAAAACACCCTTATCTTCGCCTAGCCCAGAGATCCAACACAAGATTGAGGCCGTGAGCTCCCAAACAGCGTTACAACACGAATTGCTCCTACTGCTTTTCCTCTGTTGCTGAACTCCCAGAGTGCTCTATAAAACGAATTTACGCCCCTGTCTCTAGCAAAGGAAGGGAGCGAGCCACGAGTGGACTTTGGAAAGCAGGTGACAGGTTGAAAGACTTCCTGTTGCATTTTAAGTGAAATAAATCAATGCTAGCCAGTATCGCATTGTATAAGGGACGGAGTGGCACTGTGGGTTAAACCACAGAGCCTAGGACTTGCCGATCAGAAGGTCGGCGGTTCAAATCCCTGCAACAGGGTGAACTCCCATTGCTCGGTCCCTGCTCCTGCCAACCTAGCAGTTCAAAAGCACGTCAAAGTGCAAGTAGATAAATAGGTACCGCTCATGTGGGAAGGTAAACGGCGTTTCCATGCACTGCTCTAGTTCGCCAGAAGCGGCTTAGTCATGCTGGCCACATGACCCGGAAGCTGTACGCCGGCTCCCTCGGCCAATAAAGCGAGATGAGCACCGCAACCCCAGAGTCGCTCATGACTGGACCTAATGGTCAGGGATCCCTTTATCTTTTACCTTATCGCATTGTATGGTAGTCTGTGAGAGAAGTTCTGGGACCCTTGAGCTTCATGTAATCTCAGGACTTACAAGTGGCTGGGTGGTTTTGCAGCAGGACTGATGGATCAGCAAAACCACGCAGGGGTTGTCAATTCCCCATGTGCTTTACTAATCCAGAGGTCTAGCTAGGTAGTCTCAACAGACTGACCAATGTAGTTCCAAACACCTTGCTAGGAAGTGCCCCTTCTTTAAGCTGCTCCCCCCCCCCCAAGCTTCCTATATTGGAACTATGGCTGATTGAGAAACTACCTTTTGGAGTTGCATTCCTTCTTAGTTCTTCACCTGTAAAATGATTTTATGGCCCTTTGCACATTCTGTATTTTTTGTGATGTTACATACTTTGAAAATACGTTCTACCTAAATTGTCACATGGCTTTTCCTTTCTAGAATTGCATGTCTGCGATAGATTCTGTGATGTTTTTATATGTTTAATTGTTGGTTAAAATCTGTAGCTTCCACTTTTTAAAATATTGAATTTTGTTTTATTCTTCTGTATTTGTGTAGTCCTCCCTGATTCTTTGGTTCAATTTATTTTATTATTTATTGGATTTATCTGCACAGGTCTTTATCGTTCTACTGTGTTGAAATATTTAAATAATAATGCAGCTCATTAGGTAAAGGGACCCCTGACCATTAGGTCCAATCGTGGCCGACTCTGGGGTTGTGGCGCTCATCTCGCTTTACTGGCCAAGGGAGCCGGCGTACAGCTTCCGGGTCATGTGGCCAGCATGACTAAGCCGCTTCTGGCGAACCAGAGCAGCGCACGGAAACGCTGTTTACCTTCCTGCCAGAGTGGTATCTATTTATCTACTTGCACTTTTGACATGCTTTCGAACTGCTAGGTTGGCAGGAGCTGGGACCGAGCAATGGGAGCTCACCCTGTCATGGGGATTTGAACCACCAACCTTCTGATCGGCAAGCCCTAGGCTCTGTGGTTTAGACCACAGCGCCACCTGCGTCTAATGCAGCTCATTAGCAGTAACATAAAAGGAAACAAGATATCTGTTCACCTGCTACTTTACATACAGTATGCATTTTTAAATCCAGTATTATGTAACCTTTTGCTAGAGGCTATTAGGTGTTGCTGACAGTGATTAGAATAAGAAGCAGACAGTGTTGTAGTTTTTAACAGCAACCAACTTTGACTCTTAATAGTATTTGATGTTGCACATTGCTATTTCTAGCCAGTTTACATGGACGCAACCACAGCATAATTTTTTCCTACATTAGTTTTAGGAACAGGAATTGCCGCTTTGTTAGTACAAGTGCATGTTACATTATCTTGCTTTCATGAGCTTTGCTACGATGGAAAGTATAATTTTGGACAATCCAAAAAAACCATTGGCATGTTTGGGCAAAACAGTAACTAACAAACAATGTTAAGGTCCCCAAAGCATTACGCATGGGAAACAATAGCTTAAACAAAGCATCCTTGTTGAGAAGAGTGGAATCACAATGGCTACAACCATGTCAAAGATCTGAACTTGTGAATTACAAGCATACTCTTGTCTGCTGTATTGCCTAATTGTAAGGAGCAGTCTTCTTGTTCAGAGCCAGCCCATCCACGACACTAGATGAGGCAGCCACCTCAGGCGGCAGAAATGGAAGAGGCGGCACTCACATGAGCACATCGCCCCACTGCCACTGCAGATGCAACCCAGGTAAGGGAGGCTTCAGCAGTGGCAGAAGGGCACTGTGTTCTCCTGGAAAGGAACTTAGGAAAGTACTTCTCCTTAAAGAGCAGCACTTTCTGAAGTTCCCCACCCCTCCCTGGCACAGCCTGGTGAGCAGGCAAGGCTTGAGGAGATGGAGAGGGGCTTGCAGAGCCTCGTGCCCCCTTCCATCATGGGGGCGGCAGGGGAAGTTCCGCCTCAGGCATTGACAGGTCTTAGACAAGCCCTGGTCGTGTGCCACAAATGAGACCACAAAAAAGTTCACGATTACAAGATTTTGTCAAGATTATACTGGCCAGGGTGGACAACATAACATTTGTGTTTGTGTGACTGATGTGTTCGTGATTTTTTTTTTAAGTTTTCTGAGTTTGTGCCATTTGGGATTGTGATAGCTGATGCTGCAGCTGCTGTGGGACAAAAACATCATGCAGGAAGAGGAATTGACTCACCCTGTGTAGCAATCAGCCCTTTCCTTTCTCGCCTCACCTAGCTGTGATGTGTCATTTTGGTGCCACTGCTAACCAGAACCATCTGAGCAATATGAGATGTATTCCTGGAGCATCCATTGTATCTGTATCAGTTTGTGGTGCTGAACCCACAAAATGAGACAATATTTCCGAAAGCTGAGTAAACTTTGAGGGTGGGAACACTACTTATGAACTGCTAGCTGTAGTTGAATTGGTTCAGAGAAGGATCGTTTCTGATTCTTGTGGAAACTGGTTATACACCTGATGCCTATAATTTACAAAGTAAGAATACATTGTGGACATAAATGTGCTGCACAGAGTCGTTGGAGGCCTCTTCTCGGAAGCCGGCTGGTACGTGTGAGTACCTCTGAGCCCCAAGGGAGGACCGGGGGAGGAGATGGCTGAACTCCAGGATGTGCCATTCAGGATGTGGAGTTCAGCCATCTCCTCCTGTGGAGGTTTTTGAATCGGACGGTTACACTTTCTGAAACTCAAAATTCTGCTGCTGCATATGCAGTGGTACCTCGGTTGTCAAACGTAATCCATTCCAGAAAACTGTTTGACTTCCAAAATGTTCGACAACCAAGGCGCAATGAGCGGTCGGCAAATTCCATTGAGAAAATGGAGAAATGTGCCTCAGAAGTTGTTCGACTTCCAAGGCGCGTTCAAAAATGGACGCATTCACTTCTGGGTTTTCGGCATTCGTGTTCCAAATCGTTCAGCTTCCAAGATGCTCAAAAACCGAGGTTCCACTGTACTTCTAATTCAACGTGTTTTGAAAATATTTTCAAGACAGTAATAGTTTTTTTAATCATAAAGTGTAGTGTCACAATTGCTGTGTATCATTGGTTCCTTTTTCCTGGTTTCTACACTAGGGAATGTTCTTTATTATCCAGAGCTGATGGTATTACTGGATTTCAGACCAAGAAATCCCTCCAGAGCTACGTTGTTGCCTACTGGAAAATATTGTAGGAGAACAAGGAAGAATCTGGGACCATTCAAGAATAAAGATGATCTTCAAACAGTTGTCCCTTAAAACTAAGGCTGCAGCAGTTGCTGGAATTGTCTTCTTCTCCATGATAGCATCTCGGACACTTTTGGCTGACAGGATTGAGGAGAAGCGTTTGAGGTGGCTGGTCAGACTGCAGATGTTACTATTTGCTAACGCCCTGATGTTCATAGGATCGCTTCACATATGGAGAAGCCTTGTGACCGTGTTCTACAGATCACCAACTCCCATGTTGTCCTGTTTCACCTTATGGAAAACAACTGTGTTAATGTTCCTGATTTTGGCACACTCCAGCTTTTTTACAGTTCTGCTGCTTGTTGCAGAGGAACCATATTTATTTTCTTTAGCTGCTCATACCTGCCTTGGAGGGTACATCCTCCTTATATTCTGCCTCTTTGTCCTAGGCTCCTTGGAACAAGTTTATAAGCTCTTGCTCCAAAGACAGGCAAAGATGGGCAGTGCCGGTAAAAATGCCAAACTGGCAATAAAGCCAGCTCTAGCGGTTGTGTTGACAGTTGTGTTGACTGTTCTGGGACTCCTCAATGCCTCCCAACCACCTGCAGTGAAGTCAGTAGCGATTCCCCTTCACAAACTGCCACCGTCTATGGACCAGTTGAAGGTGGTCTTGCTTTCAGATATTCACCTGGGGCCAACTATTGGCAAGACCAAACTGGAAATGGTTGTAAAAATGGTTAGGGCCTTGAAACCGGATATCACGGTGATTGTGGGTGACTTGACTGATTCTGACGTGGAAGGCCTTGGGCATGCTGTGAAACCTCTTGGCATGCTTAACTCCCCACTGGGAACTTATTTTGTCACAGGAAACCATGAGTACTATACCTCTGATGTCAACAGTTGGTTTGAAGTGCTGAAATCACTAAACATCCGCCCTCTGCATAATGAGAACATCAAGATTATGTCCCCCAAGGGTAGGAGCACCGATTGGTTTTGTCTGGCAGGGGTAGACGATATCGAGGCTACTGCAATGCATTACCCTGGCCATGGGATGGATTTAAATAAGGCTCTTGGAGACTGTGGCACAGATCATGCCATCATTCTTCTTGCCCACCAGCCACTTGCTGCTAAATGGGCTCTCCAAGCTCGGCCAGATATAAATTTGATCTTGTCTGGGCATACTCACGGAGGGCAGATATTTCCTCTGAATATTGCTGCCTATTTCTTGAATCCATTCTTTGTTGGCTTGTACAAGGTCGGACAAAACACTTTTGTGTATGTTAGCCCGGGGACGTTTTATTATGGAATGCCAATGAGATTGGGAAGTAGAGCAGAAATAACTGAGATAATTCTGCGTTCTCACTCATCAGTATAAAATAATTTATTTCATTTGGCTTGTGCAGTGCATCTTCTTGTTCATAAAATGCCACAATTTCTCTGGAATACTGCTGAGCAGGTGCTTAGACCTGCAAGTCATGCTACCTTTTTGGGATGCTACCTTTGAAACTCCCCTGAAACTTTAATGAAAACTCTGAGAATAGCCTACGTTTGGGGTGTGTAACATTGCCCCAGGTAAGAGACGGTGAAACAACAAGGTTGTGAGACAAGTTGTCAAACCAGAATGTTGCGTTTTTGAACATTCCTATTATTTTCTGCTTTTGTATGGTGGCACTTTCATATTTATCCAGAGTTCTTGCATTGATTTCTGTATTGGAATGTTATGTTTTGATCTGTGAATTGCTGTTGAAATTGTTGAAATGCATTAAAAATATTAAATTAAATTAAAACATACTCATTGTTGTGGCTTTTGGCGTGTTGTGTATTGCTGCTTCTGCTTTGCGTATTGTGACCTACTCTGAACACAATCTCCTTTTGTGGAAAGTGGTATACAAATTAAAAGAAGACTCAAATCTAGCCCTGACTACAAGCAGGAGTCTCTTCCCCAGCGACATACATCAAACTTATTACTAAACTGAAAACTATGGAGAGAACTGGTCTGAATAGAGATATTGGATTCTTGTCTCGTTACATATGCTAAAGCTATTTTTGGTCGCCTGCTTACTATCCCTTGGTTTTTCCTGCAGGACTAAGTGCAGTTGTTAACAGTCCAACAGTTTACCATACCCATTGAGTCCATCATCCATCTCCTACTACCCTTCTGAGAAAAACCCCACCCCACCCCACCCTCCCACTATATATAAGGGTCTGGTGACTTCTCTTTCAGTGTATCTGAAGAAGTATGCATGCACACAAAAGCTTATACCCAGAACAAACTTAGTTGCTCTCTAAGGTTCTACTGGACGATTTTTTTAATTTTTAAAATTTTTATTTATTCTGTACCTGCTCATCCCAAGTGGACCTTGCGGTAGGATTGCTATCTTGTCATGCTGTGGAAGAACTTAAATGAGACTGTTTTGGTGGAATTAAAATCTTATTTTAGTACACGACCCAAGGAAAGAACTTGCAACTTCTGCCTGAAATAGAGAAGTACGGTAGAGTGATTAGTAAGTAGATATTTAATTATATAGCACTGTCCGTGTGCATGGTGGTGGATGGAATGCAAGAAGAGGACAGGTCCCTGACTTGAGTTTACAGTCTAAAAATCAATACAGGGAACAACAAAGAAAGCAGTCGGGGAAATGGGGAAGCAATCTGTGATTATTTCAGTTATGCTTATGCTTAGCTACCTGTAGGGCATGGGAACTAGGGGATTGTTCCAAAGATTTCATAGAACAGTTGGCTTTTAAACCATGAGAGGTGGCATCAGGCAGGTGTTCTGACAAATGGGTTCAAGCTAAACTGGGCAGCGAGGGCAGAGCTTTTAAGGTTGGTGGGATGTGAAGAGCAAGAGATCCAAGACAGAAGAAGATCAGGGTTGGGAGAGAGAGGACGGCTAATATAGACCTAAAGGCATGCACCTATAGAATAGGGTTATGAAAGAAAAATATTAAAATAAGGGTTGAAAGAAAAAGCGGAAGGTAGCAATGTACAGTGGTACCTCAGGTTACAGATGCTTCAGGTTACAGACGCTTCAGGTTACAGACTCTGCTAACCCAGAAATAGTACCTCAGGTTAAGAACTTTGCTTCAGGATGAGAACAGACGTTGTGTGGTGGCAGCAGGAGGCCCCATTAGCTAAAGTGGTACCTCAGGTTAAGAGCAATTTCGAGTTAAGAATGGACCTCCAGAACGAATCAAGTTACTAACCCGAGGTACCACTGTAATTCTTTTTTTTTTTTTAAAAAAAAAGAAATGCTGATTTTGTAGAGAGAATTGATTTATAGATGTTTCTTTTAGGATTGAATATTTCAGTGCTGGTACAGATAATCAAAACGAAGTGAATGATTTGGCAGAAATAATAATGCCAGGGCAGGGTTATAATAAATATTCCCTAGCACAGGGGTGACTAACCTGCACCGCCTCGATATTATTGGACTCACAACTCCTATCAGCCCCAGCTTGCATGTCCAATGTAACATTCAGAGGGCTGCAGGCTACCCACTTCTGCTGTAAAGGTTAAAATTGTAATTTTGGTAATGTTTGATCAGCACAGCGGTGCGTTTTGGGTCTTGTATGTGTGGTGGTCAGTTCTGTTACTGTTTGCCTTAAACGAATAAATTCTAGACCGGAGGTGGGAAAAGGTTGGTTAGAGGAAAGTGTGCCTCCCTCTTGGAAGGGCCATGTCTCTGCTTGTGTTAAAAAATAAAATAAAATAATAATTGGTTTAGGATTAAGATATGTTGAATTGTAGAATACTATGGATTGAGATGATGATGAAAAGGAAGGAAGTTAGTAATTTGAATTAGTTAATTGTATTAGAAAATGAGTATTGGAAAATTGCTAAATGAGATTTAATGAAAATCAGTTAGGAAGGATTTGAGGAAGTCACTTAACAATGGAAATTAGCTTGGATTTTGATTGGAAGAAATTGTCTATGTTTGTCTGTTTTGTATATGTTTTGTTTTTTGTGTTATGTTGTATTTGTTAAAAATTTGGAAATTCAATTTAAAAAAATTGAAAATAAAATAAAATAAAAACTTCTGTTCTTTCCCGAAAGCTAAAGCTCCTGTCCACCTAACATATCTTCACAGGTCACATCCCAGAGAAGCTTTGGGATCGATTATGCCCACAACTGCTTCCTCAAGGATGGGAAACCATTCCGTTACATCTCAGGCAGCTTCCATTACTCCCGCGTTCCCCGGTACTACTGGAAAGACCGCCTCTTGAAGATGAAGATGGCAGGTCTTGATGCCATCCAAACGTAGGTAGCAAGAGTGGTTGTCAGGCAACCATTAAAAGGGGTGAGGCATCCTCTGAAGATACGGCCTGAGTTATGTATTGACTTTATTGGCAAAGAGCCAGAAGGTGTAGCAATACAGGAAACTCATTACAATTGTAGGAGAAAAATTGGCTAGAGTCCAGTTCACGAGATCTGTTGCCCGTTTCCCAACTAAAAGGTAGCCAGGAACACATTCTAAAAGCGGTGTAATACAGTTGTTTACTCTTGACTTCCGTTTATTCCAGAGCAAGGTACTGCTACCTAAAATGAGCAGATATATACCTTATTTTTCGCCCCATAGGGTACACCGGCCCATAGGGCACACCTAGTTTTTTTGGGGGGTGGGGGAAATAAAGAAAAAAATATATTTCCCCCCCAGGCGCAGGGCTGGGGCAGGGGAAGCCCGAGCTTCCCCCGACCCCAGCCCCCAGGACAGGCTGCTATCCGCAAGCCTAGGGAGCCCGGCCGGAAGTCGCGCCAGTCTCCCCAGGCTTGCGGATATCTTCCCGAAGCCCGGGGCGCGTGGCTCAGCGCGCCCCAGGCTTTGGGATGCAGGCAGCTCCCACTGCCAGCCTCCAAACCAGGTCAGGGAACAGCGGGAAGGCGCGCTCCGCCTCCCCACTGTCCCCCGAGCTTGTGGGGCTGGCGGTGGGGAAAGCAGCGCTTCTCCCCACTGCCAGCCTCCAAACCAGGTCGGGGAACAGCGGGAAGGCGCGCTCCACCTGCCCGCTGTCCCCCGAGCTTGTGGGGCTGGTGGTGGGGAGAAGCACTGCTTTCCCCACCCCAGCCTCCAAACCAGGTCAGGTTTGGAGGCTGCTATCCGCAAGCCTTGGGAGCCCGACGGGAACTCCCGCGGAGCTTCCAAGGCTTCCGGATAGCTTCCTGAATCCTGGAGAGGAAGAGGGGTCGGTGCGCACCAACCCTCTCGCTCTCCAGGCTTCAGCGAAAGCCTGCATTCGCCTCATAGGACACACACACATTTCCCCTTCATTTTTGGAGGGGAAAAAGTGTGTCCTATAGGGCAAAAAATACGGTGTGTGCATCCAGCTTATTGCTTCTGCCTCCCTTGTGCTGCGGCAGTTCAGGAGGTATTGGCGCAGTCAGGCATTTCTGCCTATTTGCTTCTTCAGGGGGAAAAAAAAGCAGAACAGTATGCTGTGCTTTATTATTATTATTTTTTTAAATGATATTTATTAGAGGTTTAAAGATTGCAGAAAAAAGAAAAGAGGAAAATAATAAAAAAATTAACAGAAAGTACATTACAATAGATAAAAAGAGAGACATAAAAAAAAATACAACAATACAGCAAAAAAAGAAAAAACTAAAACACATCCAATATTCCATGTCTTTACCTTTCATTTACTTGTTTCATCGACCTCCTCACACCTCCCTTTTTTGTATTCTAGTTCAATTCACTATTTCAGCAAATTCTTTCCATCTTTCTCAATTTTTGTTCTATAATTTATCTTAACGGTCTAAACTTAAATTTTTTTCCTTTTAGCCCATTATCAATCAGCTTTTACTTAATTCTTTATTACATTTCTGCTAAAATCATATAGCTTCATTCCAGCATCCTTCTAACATTCATTAATTTTGCAATGATATACTTTAAATTTTTTCCAATCTTCTTCCACCAACTCTTCTCCCTGGTCTCTCCCAGGGAGGGAGTATGCTGTGCTTTAAAGTATGTCAAAATGCTTCTCCGGGGTAAAAATTGCTTTCTGCAATTTGAATAAACTGCAAATTAAGAAAAGTTGGATGCACTTGATCATTCTTCTTCTTATTATTATTTTACTTCTTCTAGTCATGGGGAAAGTCTATGCCATCTATCAAGATTTTACCAAGCTTTGCCCATTTGTTCTCCAGACTATTTTTGCAGGGTCATCAACTGGAACCTTGCTGCATCAAAAAGAAACTGGTGCTCGTGTGACACTGAATTCTATGTCCCATCACCCTTCCTTGGTGACAGATTTTGTTCTTCTACCTTCTCCATGACCTGCTCCTCAGTAATGGCATTCTTATTTAGAGCAGATATAATGACAAACCTTTTTCAGTGTTATGCTTTTGTGAAAGCTTTGCTGCTTTTGCATCTCTAAAACTGCAATATCCCTATCAACTTAGCCCTCCCAAAGTGTGATTCTAAGATAGAGCCACCAGAGAGAGCTAGATTCATGTGCTCTGACATGCTGAAAAGCTTGTTGGAAGTAGCCAGCAGCACAATCGCTTCATCATGCATGAGAAAAGCACAGTCTATACCAGGGCCAGCAACCTTTTTCAGCCGTCAGTCCACCATCTCCCAGACCATGTGGGGGCCGGACCATATTTTTTTGGGGGGGGGAAATGAACGATTTCCTATGCCCCACAAATAACCCAGAGATGCATTTTAAATAAAAGCACACATTCTGCTCATGTAAAAACACCAGGCAGGCCCCACACATAACCCAGAGATGCATTTTAAATAAAAGGACACACTCTACTTGTGTAAAAACACGCTGATTACCGGACCATCCGCCAGCCAGATTGAGAAGGCGATTGGGCCGCATCCGGCCCCCGGGCCTTAGGTTGCCTACCCCTGGTCTATACTGAAAGGTTCTCCTGCGCGAGCCTTGTCAAAGCGAATGGCAACCGTACAAGAGCTTTGCTCATGTTAGAGAACTTTCCCCCGAGTTGTGTTAAGAATCTACGGAAAAACAAATCCTTTAGCTTGGATCCAAGGAGCCACAAGCAGAGGGAAAAGTACTGTATGCAGTTCTGTGCACGGAAGCACAAATCAAAACACACAAGCATGGTGCACAATTAAGAGGGAGAGGCATGCTTTTCACATGCAGGAGAGTCTTTGAATGAATTCCCACCCAACTCTGAACCCCCTGGTGCGAAGGCCTGTTCATGTATTCAGAAAAGGAACATCTGCACTTCATATCCCACCTGGCTGTTAGCTGAAATTCCTTCAGGTGCAATTATATTGCTGCTTGTGTCATTTTTGTAATTCTAAAGTAAGAGGCGTATGTGGTATTTGCAGGTATGTCCCGTGGAACTTTCACGAAGTTGAGCCAGGAGTTTACAACTTCGCTGGTGATCGAGACCTTGAGAGTTTCCTGCGGCTTGCCGATGAGATTGGCTTGCTAGTCATCCTGAGAGCTGGGCCATATATATGTGCAGAATGGGACATGGTAAATATTTATCCTCATTTGTTGAGGCCAGAGGGCATTGCACGAGAGGACGTGTTATCCCATGCTTTCCAGTGTATTGCAAAAAGTCTGATCTTTTGCAGAAGCAGTTGTGTTGCAGGTTTGCTGCACAAGCTTTCCCAATCGGCTATAACTGCACAGCCTGAATTTGCCAGGGTGGGATAGAATCCCAATAATAATAATAATAATAATAATAATAATAATAATTTATTATTTATACCCCGCCCATCTGGCTGGGTTTCCCCAGCCACTCTGGGCAGCTTCCAACAGAATATTAAAATACAATAGTCTATTAAACATTAAAAGCTTCCCTAAACCCAAGAATAGTGACAGTCTGGAAACGCTCTTGGTTTTCACGTTTGACTGACATTCACAAGATACTGGACATGGAATACCGTGATGCCCTAAATGCAGCTTGTCTGCTCATTTCCATCCCAAAACTGGTCCAACCCCACCTGCTCCTTCAACTATAGTCTTGGTTCAGTTCCTTGGCCATGCTGGAGTCCAACAAAAAGAAGAGAATCAAGAAAAGCCATTTTAAAATATGGTGGTTTTAAGTCAATATTGGAATCAGTGCTTATATAGTTGCTTATATGAGTTTAGGTGCTAGGATTTTCCTGGATAATGTGATGCTATCATCAATCATGGTATTGAGCAGTAGGGCTGGGCGATATCTGGTTTTCAACATCATGATGTATCACCAGCTAAACATCAGAATACTCCAGTATATATCTCAATGCCTGAAATAAGGATGAAGCTATGTAGAGGCATTGGCTGGCTTCACGGTTTTCCCCACATTGTGATTTTTGCATAGCGCGCACACACACACACACACACACACACACACACACACAGTATATTGCCAGGTCAAAAATTATGAAACCAATATAACGATATGGAATTCAAACCAGTTTTGGAAGATAAATTAATATATCACCCAGCTCTAACACCCATCATGATTTGTGATATATTGCCAAGTCAAAAACTATGAAACGGATATAATGATATTATATGGTATTATATATGATATTATATTCAGACCAGTTTTGGAAGATAAATTAAAATATCTCACCCAGCCCTATTTGGCAGATTTTAAAAGATGTGATCTTGATAATGTCAAAGGGAGCAGAGGCAGGCCGTTCTGCTCCACTTGCCCCTGATAGATTTTTAAGACCCACTTAGTACCAAACATGGAAGGGGCTGTTTGACCAAAGCCTTCCTTACATCGGTTGCATGGCAGTGCCCACAAAGTGACAGCAGCGGGTTCCCTGCAAGATCTCACGAGACCTTGCGAGATTTGGGCAACATATTGGTGAAAGCTGGCACCACTTCGCCGGCGGCAGAGGTGCCTCTTAGGCTTCTGCTGCCCAAGGTGGCAGCCTCAGCCTGCTTCGTGTGTGTGCCGGCCCTGATACCACCCGCCTCAAAGTGTCGGCTCTGCCACCTCTGAGGGTATGGAGCCATTTGGATGGCCCTCAAAATCCTTTGAAGAGGCCACTGTCCATTTGGATGAAGGTGGTGCAACACAACTCTGCTGGGGGCAGATTTTAGGGTTCTTTTACCCTGCTCTGAGCACTAGGCCACACAGCTCATAGACCTGCATTGTTAGGTGGTAGACCAGGACTGTGAATTCAGCATAGTAACCCCAAGATAGTGGAACCCCTCCCAACTGAGATTAGAAAGGTACCTTCCTTCCTGCACTTCAGATGCGTGGCTAATCCTTCCTGAAGACATTTTAAAATAATGTTCGGTTTTATGATAAAAAAAATACTGCTTTATTGTCCCACTTTCTGTGGATTGTCTTAATGTGCACCACTTAGAGTTAATTTGGATATGCAGAAAATATTAAAAATAAATTTAAGGAACCACAGAAAGAGGGGGAAGGAAGTCAAGTTTGGAAATGTTAAAATGACTGTAAAATTATTGAAATGTATAAACCTGAAAATCATAAATTGTATATACACACACACACACACACACATAAATAAATAAATATAAAATGAACTCTGATGACAAAAAATGTACACCACTAGAAATTTGAATAATTAAATTAAATTATAAATATATAAATATATAATTTATATATAAATTATACACACACACACACACACACACACACACACACAAATAAATAAATATAAAATGAACTCTGATGACAAAAAATGTACACCACTTAGAAATGTGAATAATTAAGGAGTATAAAAATGCCTTAAATGAACAAATAATACTATTCCTGCTGGCTGGCTATTATAGTAGATGCTTCCAGCGGGTGGAAATCCATCTATTTTCTGAGGCAAGTATCTTTATATGGTTTTGCTTTCCAAGTATATTTTATAGTTTTCTTTTTTCCTTTCTAGGGAGGTCTACCTGCCTGGCTATTAGAAAAAGAAACCATCGTCCTTAGATCTTCTGATGCAGGTAATGAGTTCAAGGAAATGCGCAGTGTTGAATATGATTACTTAAGACGACATTGCTAGAAGTCAAATGTGAAGTTCATACCTGTGAGCCGGTTGTTATCCTCCCTCCCCCATGTGCCCATGTGATCTCATGGCTTACCTCAGGTATGCTATTAAGTAGAGAGAGGTAACTTTATAGTTCTCTAGCCTATATCCAGGGATAGTTGGAAATGATGGCATGAAGGGGGGGAAATGGAAGACACACCTTGAATGTGTGAATCAGCCCATAAAATGCTCTTTACACATTTTTGGGGAGCAGTGATGGAAGAGTTTAAGAGACAAGCAAGGGCTACTCCCATTTTTGAGCATCTAAACCATGACTGTAACTCAGTTCTGGCCCACACTTTAAGCAAAACATGGAGGTTTTTGGTTTGGCAGAGAGCTGAAGTAAAGAGAAACAAGGCGGCCTTCATGTTAGCAATGCCAGGAATTTGAATGATTTGCGTACGTTTAATTATTTTATAGACATTCAAGAACTAAGCAACGGGGAAATAAACAACTTTTGCATAAAACAATTAATAACTTTCAATGTATGCAATCTCTCTTTTATATTTTTCCAGATTACTTGGCAGCTGTAGAAAGATGGATGGGGGTCTTACTACCAAAGATGAAGGTTCATCTTTACCAGAACGGAGGCCCAATTATTATGGTGCAGGTAAAATTATGAAATTGAAATAAATACATGCATGGAATTTCCTATAATATACATGAAAATGAAAAAAAACAAACCCACGAAAACCTGAATGCTGTTAGTGCCAAGAATTAGGAATAAATATCTTATTTATTGAACATGGCGAGAACGACCATAGCCAGTACATGGAAAACATTGCAACTGTTGACCATGGATAAGTGGTTTGAAGCAGTCTGGCAGACAGCTTTGTTGGAAAAGCTAACATGGAAACTGCAGATAGCAAGAGGCCAAAAGAAAAACGATAACTTCTATACAGTATGGGGCGATTTTATTGAACACACAGGTCGTGGGGCCCATAGGGGAGTAGTGTTTGGGGTGGGTAACGCAGTTTGGAATACATGAAGCATATGTTTTAACCTTTCAGATTAAATGTGTTCCTTCCTTTTAATGAGATTGGACCACACGATGTGTTATTTTATGGTTTTTAAGATTATGAGAAATATATGCTACTTTAAAATTTAAAAAACAAGCAAGAAACAGTCCTCTTGAGAATGTGGGCCACTCCGCCTCATTCCTACAATTTATTTCATTCATATATGTTTAGATCTCATTGAACAATTGGCTCACTTGCACATAGTGGCATCTAGATGGTTAGGATACTTCGCAGTGTGTTTGAGCCCTAAATACACCTAATCTAAGACTCTGGTGAGTAAAGAAGACAGAAGAGGGACTATTTCTACCTATCCTCTCAACCTCAAAATGGAGGCCTCAGAATGTGGTTAAGTTGCTTCCAGGCAACCCAGGAAGTTGAAACTTGCTCTAACAGCAGCCTACGTTTCACTGATTACTAGGAAAGCCTTAAAAAATGGAGCATTTTTGCATCTAATAGTCAAAACCTGAGACACGAAGTTTTCCTCACCAGGGGGCCATCACTCCAGCACATATTGAGCCTAGCAGAACGTGGAGTGTTTGGTTATGAGACTCCATTGGTTTTTCACACACTTCAGGCCGACCAAGGCTACAATCCTATATACGCATTTTCTCGAAAGTAAATATCATTGGCATGCATAGGTTTGCAGAGAGGGTTTAAAGAACACACCCAGAGGTAGCTTGGAGCCTTCTTACAAAATGCAAGCTTCATTTACTAGTAGCGAATAAGCTTTTTACTTTTCTTCTAAAATGGCTCCACGTTAATGCAATGCAGTATTATGTATCACAGTCAAATATGGCAGCAGCTTTGATAATTCAATACAGGACTTTAAGAAAATAGATCATACTGAAAATTACTCCAGATATAATTGCTACTGCTAGACATCTTCCTGGGTCCACTATTATGTGAGTGGCACAAACTGCTTGCAAGGCAGAAGTCTGATAAGGAGATCACTATAAATTAGTATTAAAAAGCAATGTTATTGAATAGTATTTTAAGCTGCTCGCATGGATTTAAGTCAATATTTTTTGTTTCCTATGAAAAGAGGGTATTTAAAGCAGTTAGCATGTCTTGGGGACATCATAATAAAGACTGCTACTTTGGAAAAATGTTCCCCCAGAATTCTCAAAAGGATCTGCAGGAGAGGTTTTTAATTGTGGAAATATGATCTTATTTTAGTTGTTTGTTTGGGGTTTTTTTGTATGATTATTTGAACTTCTCTTGTTTTTCTACACATTATAATATTTCTATTTATAGGTTAACTTCCACGCTAGTTGACGGTTGTCAGCTGTTTTTCCTTACTAATTTTATGTGTATGTTTGGTTTAGGTTGAAAATGAATACGGGAGCTACTTCGCCTGCGATTTTGATTACCTTCGTTACCTGCAGAGCCTTTTCCGTCAGCACCTGGGGGATGAAGTGGTGCTGTTCACCACAGATGGCGCAAGCAAGTTTTTCTTGAGATGTGGGACGCTTCAAGGCCTTTATTCCACTGTGGATTTTGGACCAGGTTGGTTGCTGTCTTGAGCAGTGCAACTAACTGGAAGCAAGCTTGTGGGAAATTTACTCGCAAGTACTGTATGGTGGAATTTATTCCCAAGTAAAGATGCAAAGATTTGGGCAAATATATATTTTTTCATTATTATAGAAACATAAGAAGTTACTGAGGCTAATGGGATTCAGTTACTGGTGTGCTGAAAATTTAGATCGTGCAGTTATAGTCGATGGGGAACTCGTACACAACAAACCTACTTCTCCCAAAGAGTGGTATTTCTATCAGGAAAATATTGGGGGAAAGCACATTTGAGCACCATTTAGATGTTTGTCTGCTTTTCCTTCATTGAAATTCGACCAAAGCAGTCCACACCTGCACACATTTGAATCAGTGCACATTATTATTATTATTATTATTATTATTATTATTATTATTTAATCCAGCAGGTATGGTGGTTTCTCCATCATGGAGCCTCCATTTTAGGATTGCTTTTCCTAAATATTTTTTATATCTCTGACCCCTGACCCCTTTTATTTATTCAGTTTATCAACTTTGGCAAGATGTGCTGGTCCTGCTGTTTGGGTTTTCTCTAGAGACAGGGGCTGACACTGGGGAATTTTGAAAAGCCTAGTATGTAGAGTTAAATTATTATAGTACGCCTTTCACCAGTATAATCCTATGATGTCATTCTGGGGTGGGTTTCTTTGCATTGAGCTTAACCTTGTGAGGGTTGTTTAGGTCCCATGCTTGATAAACCTATGGCTAGATACCCAAATGAATGCCCCTGTTATGAATGAGTGTGCTTTTTGTGTTCTGTTCAACAAGTCACCTCAAATATGTCTCTGTTGTGTTCAGTTGTGCAAGTTTTTATTTAGGTTAACATATTCCCAGCCTTCTCTTCTTCTTTAATTTGCTTTATGTAGTTATAGCCAGGCTCCCCTCTCATTCTTCTTGCACCTAGATTCCGTCCATAGTTTTCTTTAGAAAGTTTCCTGTCATAATTGATGGACTCTAGTTTCCCTTTTGCAATTCTCCAGTGAGTGTGGAATGCAAAATGCTTTTTTATTGACAGCACATGTGACTTTGTGTAGATATGTTGTGCGCAGGGCTTTTTTCCCCAGCCGGAACTTGCCAGAACTGAGTTCTGGCACTTCTTAAGTGGGCGCCAATGCTATTGTAAGAGAACAAGGCAGACATTAATGGTGAGTTCTGGCACCTCTTTTTCTAGAAAAATAGCACTGGTTCTGCATTAAGAAAGGCACGCTTTTCCATTTAAACAGGGCCAGCTGCAGGGTGTATTACAGATGTAGTAGCAGAGAAACGGCAGCATAGGAATCAGTTTTGACACTCTTTTTTTCTTCATTTCTTTGCAGGTGCTAATGTCACAGCGTCATTCTTAAATCAGAGACACGCTGAACCTAATGGCCCCTTGGTATGATTTCGCCCCTTCCCCTTATGTTCATACAATACTGCTGATATGAGTGCATAACAATACAAAGGTGGTTGTAAAGGTAAAGGGACCCCTGACCATTAGGTCCAGTTGTGGCCAACTCTGGGGTTGCGACGCTCATCTTGCTTTATTGGCCGAGGGAGCCGGCGTACAGCTTCCGGGTCATGTGACCAGCATGACTAAGCCGCTTCTGGCAAACCAGAGCAGCGCGCGGAAACACCGTTTACCTTCCTGCCGGAGCGGTACCTATTTATCTACTTGCACTTTGACGTGCTTTCAAACTGCTAGGTTGGCAGGAGCAGGGACCGAACAACAGGAGCTCACCCCGTTGCGGGGATTCGAACCACCGACCTTCTGATCGGCAAGTCCTAGGCTCTGTGGTTTAACCCACAGCGCCACCCGCGTCCCTAAAGGCGGTTGTAGTAAGTTGTTATTGGTAATGTGTTGAATTGAAGTACCGTAGGGTATACCAGATGCATAGACATATTTAAGTATTTTGTTATTCTTTTAAATGCCCCCCAAAAAACTTGTTACGGACAAAATGTAAGGCAGCAGGGATAATAAACTGAGGGAGTTCAACATACATAGATGGGGAAAGTTTATGGTGGATGAGGAAGAACTGCACTTCAAACAAACAAACAAACAAGCAACAAGCAAGCAAGCAAACAAACAAACAAACAAACAAACAAACGCAAAGCTTAATGCATGGGATTCTTTTGTATCTTCAGCTTGAGGTAATCTTGGGTCCCTTTTGTCCAAATGTTGGGCAATTGGGTAACTGGTTCAAGTACAGTGGTACCTCGGGTTACATACACTTCTCGGGTTAAGCACTTTGCTTGAGGCTGAGAACAGAAATCGTGCTCCAGCGGCATGGCGGCAGCGGGAGGCCCCATTAGCTAAAGTGGTGCTTCAGGTTAAGAACAGTTTCAGGTTAAGAACGGACCTCCAGAACGAATTAAGTACGTAACCCGAGGTACCACTGTAGTCTGAGAAAGCAGGGGCTTGCTTGATGGGTGGGGGGAATCACCTATGGAAACGGATGAAGCGGCAAGCAGCGATCAGAAGTTGATTTCCTTCATCTCACGACATCAAAGTCCAACTCCTTGTCACAAGAAAGAGCCGACTAATATTCAGATTCTGCACGGTCCAGTGAGATACTGCAGACATATGCAGGGTGGAAAGGAGTAGCCGTTGTCAGAATTTGGAATCAACAGGGATGGCTGCTTCAGATGGCCATCTAGAGCCAATGTAGTATGTGACTTGGACCAGGGGAAACCAGGTTCAAATGCTTGCTCAGCCATGAAGATCACTAGGTGACCCTAAGTCAAACACAGTTCTGTGCTTAGGCTGCTATTGTTTAGGTCAGGGTTTCCCAAACTTCGATCTCCAGCTGTTTTTGGACTGCAACTCCCATCATCCCTAGCTAGCAGGACCAGTGGTCAGGGATGATGGGAACTGTAGTCCAAAAACAGCTGGAGACCCAAGTTTGGGAAACCCTGGTTTGGATAAAGCAGTATATAGGTGTGGACTAGTTTTCAGACTTCGGGAATCTACTTTCTCGTTTACTGTAGCACCAAGGTTCACAATCTCAAGTGAAATGCAAAGTAATGGTCAGGAGGTTGGTGCTGATGCAGAATGGTGATTTGAGTGGGGTGGGGCATCCGTTACATACAACACCCTATGAGGCATAAAGTTCAAGGACTGCCTCTTCCATATAAACCTACCTGGACCCTCAGATCATCTTCTGAGGCCCTTCTTCGTGTGCCTCCTCCTTGAGAGGTCTTAAAGGTGGCAACACAAGAACGAGCCTTCTCTGCAGTAGCTCCCCATCTGTGGAATGTCCTCCCAGGGAAGTTCGCCTGGTGCCATCATTATACATCTTTAGGTGCCAGGCAAAAATTTTACTTTTTAACCAGGCCTTTGGTTGATCTGATTGACACCCTATGCCCTTTTATAATGTGGCTCTTTTTTGGGGTGTTATTGGGTTGTTTATTTTGATTATATATGGTGTGGGTTTTATGTTGATCTTTTCTGTGAACCGCCCTGAGACCTCCGGGTATAGGGCAGTACTGTATATAAATATAAATAAATAAATAAATAAATAAATAAATAAATAAATAAAGTTAGTGTTGCCTGCATTTGCTAGTAGAAATATACATCTGAAGAAATACAGGTCAGAGAGTCTAACAGCTTGATATAGAGGGGGCAGAGCACTATTTTGCTATTGCTATTTTAAACCATTGGGAACTAGAAACCCATGTCAATCATCCTGTCACAGACCAGTTGATCCTGATCTGCGTACATCTCACTACCCCTTCCTTTCCCCTTTGGTCTTGTAAGAAAGGCAGGAAACGACTGATAAATGGTGGTGATAAATATGAGCCAAACCACAGGCTATGCCTCAAGCACAAACACATCCTCTTCATATGGTCATTGGTCAGATCTTTAATATTAGCAAGTTTCCTTTGCTCATTACCACTAGTGGTAACATGGCACATTGTGCCCGCGGTGGGCACCTCAGTGTGCATGGCAGCCAACAATGTAAGAAAAGGCACAGCAGTTGTGGAAGAAATGTGAAGGAAGCTTAATAATCTTTAGTATCACCCTATCTAAAAGCATTTTGCGCTTGTGCTAGCAGTACACATGAAAAGGATCTAGGGGTCTTAGTAGACCACAAGCTTAACATGAGTCAACAGTGTGATGCAGCAGCAAAAGAAGCTAATGCTATTCTCGGCTGCATCAACAGAAGTCTAGTGTCCAGAGCAAGGGAACAGTACACTCTATTCTGCCTTGGTCAGACCACACCTGGAATACTGTGTCCAGTTCTGGGCACCACAATTTAAGAAGGATATTGACAAGCCGGAATGTGTGCAGAGGAGGGCGACCAAGATGATCAGGGGTCTGGAAACCAAGCCTTATGAGGAATGGTTGAAGGATCTGGGTATGTTTAGCCTGGAAAAGAGGAAACCAAGAGAAGATGATAGCCACCTTCAAATATCTGAAGGACTGTCACATGGAAGATGGAGCAGGTTTGTTTTCTCCTTCTCTGGAGGGTAGGATTTGAACCAATGGTTTCAAGTTCCAAGAAAGGAGATTCTGACATCAGGAATAACTTTCTGACAGTAAGAGCTGCGTGACCGTGGAACAGACTCCCTCTGGAGGTTGTGAACTCTCCTTCCTTGGAGGCTTTTAAGCAGAGATTGATGGTCATTTGTCATGGATGCTTTTGTTGGGATTTATGAATTGCAGGGGTTGGACTAGATGACCCATGGGGTCCCTTCCATCTCTACAATTCTATGATTCTAACATGAACTTTATACCTACATTGGCAGAATCTATTTTATGTACCATGGGTTGGGTTCGCTCAAAGATGTTGATGTGGAAAACATGTACAAAAGCTTCTCTTTCGGTTGAGTAGCTTGAACATGGTAAAAAAAAATAGCTTTTATCACTGACACACTGCTGCTTAGATGTCTTTTTAATTTTTTTAAATTCTTTTTTTTTCATTCTACAATGCAATGTAATTTTTTAAAAATTAAATAAGAGCCGGATAGATTTTGTTAGCTGCTTTTTATTGCATGAGCTACATAATTTCCCTTAAATGCAAAACTTCTTCCATTGTTTTATTTCTTCTTTCAGGTCAATTCTGAGTTCTACACTGGCTGGTTGGATCATTGGGGCCACCATCATTCCGTTATATCATCATCACTTGTAGCTAAGACTCTTAGTGAAATTCTGGCACATGGAGCGAATGTTAACATGTAAGTTCATCAACATCTATTTAAATGAGAGCTTGGGTTTTTAGTACAGCATCTTTGACTGCCTATTTGCCTCTCTTTTCAGGTATATGTTTATAGGAGGAACTAATTTTGGTTATTGGAATGGTAAGAAGTGTGTGTTGTGTGTGTGCGAGTACTTATTTTTTTATAATAACAATAGCTGGTTTTTATTTTATTAAGCTGTTTTGGGTTATCTCAAGTACTGGATTATTTTTTAATCTTTGAAATAAAGGAAAAAGGATTCGAGGAAGGCAAAACGGGACCTACTTTTCTTCCTTCCTTGAAACAGAGGGAGCAAGGAAACATTATATGCTAAAGTGGTAGAAGGAGGTCTTACCATATAGTGGGTCATCATAGCCTCATGGCCTACTTTCAGTAATACAGTATGGGTCAGATAAAACAGAGGAATAGCCAGACAAGTTAGACGGCTGTATTTATTGCCAGCTTAATTTATGATAGTGGCTTGGGAGAAAGAGGTCCTTCAGATTTACATTCAGCCTCTGAATACTTGGGTCATAGTTTAGCCTTTCCATACTGGAAAAGCCAGCACCGTCCACTGTTGGAAGACAAGACAGCGGTGCATATGCGCTACCTTTGAAATGTAGGAATGCAGCTGATGTCCCTAAATTTGCACATCTGTTTTATTAGGCAATACAGATGTTTGGGCTTGAGAAAAACAAGCCTGCTTTGGGATAGTTTTGAGAAGAGCAAATGTATTGTTGGGAGCCGCCCAGAGTGGCTGGGGCAACCCAATCAGATGGGCAGCATATAGATAATAATAACATTATTATTATACTTCCTCCTGTGTTCATTTTCCTCCCTGCAGGAGCCAACATGCCTTATGCAGCACAGCCTACTAGCTATGATTACGACGCCCCGCTGAGTGAAGCCGGAGATCTCACGGAGAAGTACTTTGCTATTAGGGAAGTCATTGCCATGGTGAGTTTCTCCTAAAGCATCACCTAAAGTATCTATTCCTGCATTAGCCTTGGCTTCCATTGTGTCACAAGGACTGAAAATGATGGCTGCTGCTTGATGTTTTTGAACTCTGTGGCGTCCAGATTCAGTGGAGCAGGAATTCCCAGATTTGATTACGCATCTGAGAGTTAAGCGAAGTAGAGCCCGTGGAACGTAGTCTAATTTTACCAATTAATTTTTATTGATTTTTCAAATTTTCAGCAAATCCATGACAAATTGAGCAAATTTAATGCAATTTTTTCAAAAAACAACTCCCCACCCCTTCTTAGATGTGCGCATAATTAACCCTTATTGCTGCTTATATTTCATAGTTATCTTTACTTCACATTCCTTTTTTTTCTTTTGTCCTTATCCATCAGCTGTCTGTTTGTTAATTCCTGCTCGTACCTTAGTTAACATTTCCAATATTATCGAGTGAGGATCACTCCTCCATTTTTTAATCCACAGTAGTTCATCAATTATTATTTCTGAAATAAAACTTTCCTTTCCCTCCATCTGTGCATATAAACACCCTCTGTAATTGTTTTCCGTTTGATTCTTAGCTGCCCAGATCTTCATTAGCGTACAGTCCATGTATCTCTTCACAATGCTTTTCATCTGTTGTTGGTTTTATAGTTTTGGGGTTGGGTTTTCAAGGACAACCATCTTGCTTGGTATTCATTCCCACAGGTGGTGTCTTAACAACCAGCCCATAAGATCAGGGAGAGGTATAGATGGAACATAGTCTAATGGCCAACATCCCCCTTCTGTTTGGGATTTTGTGTGGACTGGGTTGAGTACCCAAACTCAATACAGCCCACAGTCCATAACTTTACCTACTCCTTTGTGGCTTAGTGTGCAAGAGGACCGTACTGAGAAGCCATATGTTATCTAATCCACATAGTTTTTAATGCCACGTAGAGCAAGTGTCACTGCCTGAGGCTCATACAGACAATAAATGCAGTCTACTGGAGAGTTCTTTTGCAGTGCTCCCATTTCTTTCAGTGGAGTTTGTGGCGTCTGCCCATTGTTTTGAAAATGTCTGTACAGGGGGAGAAAAAGGGTTAATAGGTAGACTAATAGGAAAGCCAGAGGCGGAGCATACCTGTTTATAAAAGGACTTAGCCTGAGGTTTTGAGTGGGTAGTTGGTTGGAGTTTGGTTGGTTGGTCGGTTGGGAAAAGGCAGTTGGGAAAGCAGTTGGCAGACAGTTGGAAATAAAGAGACAGCTAATGCAGTTGGTTCTTGTGTGAGGGGAGGTAGAAGAGTTAGAGACAGAATAAAACAAGACTAAGAGGGTAAAGAGTAACAACGTTTTGAATGCAGTTAAAGTTTATTTGTGTTTGCAATAAACTGCACTCTTATTTGTTAAGAACCTGACTGAGACTAAGTGATTTACCAGAGAGGACCTGGTTGGTGGCAGCGGATTAGTGGTGTACGGCTCAATAGTCCGTGAGACGACCGGGGGCTCTGTACGAACGCCACAGAGTTGTAGCCAGTTGTGCTTCTGAAAAACTGCACGTGGGTGACCACCGCTTCTCAGCTGAGGGAACGCCACTTCCCAGCTATTTGACTCTTCCCATGACGCTGAGCAGGGCAGATCGGCCGCAGCGAACAAAAGCAGATCCTTCTGAGTCCTAAAGAAAATTAGAAACCAAGCGAAGCAGAGGAAAACCGCAAAGGAAACAGGCAAAAAGGTCCAGCGAGGAAGCGAAAGAGGGAAGCCCCTCAGCTGCGCCGCAGTTTATATCTCCCGCAGCCACGCCCCCTGCCTGTACAGATTGGCCAGTGGGCGGCATGACGCAGCTGGGGGTCGGCGCAAGGGGGGCATCGCCCCTCCGCCCCCTAGCCAGAACACTGTGAGGACCCAGATGCCCAGCCGCAACACCGCCCCCCAGGGAAGGTGAGCAGACTTCCCAAAGGATTCCGCCCCAACCATTTAACTGTGCTAGAAGCAGAAACTGTGGAGAAATCGCCAACACCACAAACCAAACAAGCCGCTGGAGCATTTGTTCAGTGGCTTCAGAGCAGTGTCTATTCAATGACATGATGCATGTGCCTGTGGAATGAGGCAGTTGGTTCTTTAAATCACAAAGCTTGCTTTTTTAATTTTAATTGCTTGTTCTTGTTTTAGTACAAGACAATACCACAGGGCCCTATTCCTCCATCGACCCCCAAGTTTGCCTATGGAGAAGTTCCGCTGAAAAAGGTAGTGGATATTGTATAGTAGATTAATATGCCTAAGATGGGTGCTTCTGCCTTGTGTTTATTAGGGACAATTTTTGCAAAAGGCTAAAATACCCATTTATAATATAATAATTATAATTTAGTATTTGTATGTCGCCCATCTGACTGGGTTGCTCAGCCAGTCTGGGTGGCTTCCAACAAATTAAAACACCAAACACAGAAAAACATCAAACATTAAAAACTTCCTCAGCAATTTTGTAAATATGATAGAGGGGGGGGGGAAGCACACCTCTAAGTTGGGGGTTTGATTTTGAGCTCGGAAATGGGTATTTGTAGCTTTGTGACTGAAGCTGAGGAAATCCATTTAAGCTGTTCCTTATGGTGAAATTTGCAACGTATAGTTGAGGAATACTGCTGAATGTTCCATTAGGTGTAGCAGTTTCTGGGAAACCCAGTTCTTGGAAGGAAGCATGTCATCAAGATTGTAGAACCATAAGAAAGTACACCTATGCTATGAGGGTGGCTATAAAGTTGATCGTAAAATTTGGGGTGCTTTTATGATAAGCAGACTTTCTCACCATACGCATAGTTGCTATATTAATGTGGGATGGAACTGGCTGGTGATAGGCAGTTGTGTTGAATCTGCGTGAGAACAAAATGAGGACAGCAGCAATAAGCAAATGGCTTAACTTTCTCTTCTTTCACCTCTCCCACGCAGTGTTAATAGATGGCAGTGTTAATAGTTCTATTTTTGACAATTATTTTTTTAATAAAAACCAACCCCACAATGTTATGTATTTTCCTGTATTGCCTCTCTGAGCCCAGCTTTGGCTGGGGAAGGCAGGATATAAATAAAAATTTATTATTATTATTATAGGTGGGGACCATAAGGGATCTTCTGAAGGATCTTTCACCATCGGGACCAATTAAAAGCACCTACCCTTTGACATTTGTTCAAGTGAAGCAGGTAAAAGTTGGTCATGAAAGAGTTTTGAGTTAGCATTTTGCACATTGTGTGTAATTGTCACTACCCCCCGCCCTCCCCGGTCAAATAAACTCTCTTATGTCAGTTGTGGATTTTGCCCAGTGTCCTGCTGTAGCTCGTTCAGTGATGTTTGTGAGCATCTTGAGAAGAACCATTCCATTTGTATACGCTCTGCTTTCCATAGTTTGAACCATGAAGTAGAACCTCCAAACTTTCAGGCGGACTGAACTGAGCAGTTCTAGCTGGGGAGAAAACTGTGAATTGTTTCAGAAGGCTTTGGCGATTAAGGCGGGTGCCTGGGGCACAAGTGTGAGGTCCGAGCAGCTAGATGAATAGAAATGAGGATGCAGAGAATAATTGCACCAGAGAGAGGGAAGAACAGATACGAGGAACTGGCAGATGAGTATAGAAATATCTCATCAGTTAAATGTATAGTTGAAAGAGAGGCAAAAGGACAAATCTATCTGACTTTTAGAAGACATCTGAAGGCACCCCTGTTTAGGGAAATTTTTAGTGTCTGAAGTCTTATTATTTATTTTAGTCCTCTGTTGGGAGTGCTCAGAGTGGCTGGGAAAACCCAGTCAGATGGGCGGGGTATAAACAAAACAACAACAACAACAACAACAATTATTATTATTATTTAACATAGCTCAGCATCTGTCAGAAGAACTTTAGTGAAGCGAACAAGAGGATGTGTCATGGAGGACGATTGTTTAGTGGATGGATGAGGGTACCTCAGACTGTCACTATTTTGCAGAGGAGATTCAAACATATACTGGAGCTTTAGACTTGCACAGTTAACGTGGGTTAAAGGGCTCTATCACCCTAGTGCTAGTCCACCTTTAAAAAGGAATCTGATCTTTTGCGATTTGGAAAGTGACACAGCAATGCACTGAAAAGTGTGGAATGCACAAACGACTAATGGGAAGAGATGTAACCCCCCTGCAAGCAAATAAGAACGAATGGTCAATAAACAGGATGGTCCCTAAGAAAGTGTTGGGCAACTTGATGTATAGAATATTAGTCAGCAGGAGGTTTGGGGCATAGGAAGATAGGTTGCAGCTGAATCGTGAAAACCTGGTTTATTAAGCCAAGAAATGCCTGAGTGTCAAGCAGCCCCTTTGCCCGCTTGTGTGGTGGGAGGGGGAAATAAACCTGGAAGACACAGTTAACCATGGCTTCCGACATATATGTGAACTGGAAACTATGGTTAATGGCTTCCAAACAAACCAGATTTGGAAGCCTGTTTGAACCGTGGCTGGTTTGGAAGCCATTAACCATAATTCCATAATTCCCTGATCAGGTATAGCAAGAAGCTATGGTTAACTGGCTTGTTTCCTTGCTTGCATGAAGGGAGCAGTGAAGCAGGAGCAAAGAGGCTCATTGAACCAGAAGTTGATCATCCATGTTGGGCCATGGAGTCTTTTCTCTGTAGGTGTCATCTTTTCATTTCACTGGATGAATCTTTGAAATTAAGACCTTTTAACAGCTAGGTCAGCACTAATAAAAACTTCGAAAGCGAGTATGACTCACCTCATCTTAACCAAAATAATTGAACTTTCAGTAGCTAATGTATCGTTTTTTGATTTTTAAGCTTGAATTCTTGAAGCCCTTGCATGAAATACATAGAGATGTTTAAGTTAGAGGTATTTATAATCTGATTCTGACCTTTCAGAAGTAACACTTTCTTCTCACGGCTTTCTCCCCACTTTCTTCTTCAAGTACGTTGGGTATGTATTATACAGAACTAAGCTACCAAGAAACTGTACTGAAGAACCGCTGTATTCAATATTTAATGGAATTCATGATCGTGCTTATGTCGTTGTGGACGGGGTAAGCGAAGAACTTCCAGTTTTCTTGTTTACCTCAGCGATGCTAGATACTGTGGCTCAGGGTCTCCCAAACTTGGGTCGCCATCTGTTTTTGGACTACGATTCCCATCATCCTTGATCACTGGTCCTGCTAGCCAGAGATGATGTGATTGGTAGTCCAAAAACAGCTGGAGACCCAAGTTTGGGAAACTGCTGTTGTTGTTTCGTCTTGAGCTTTGTTTTGTTTTGTTTTGTTTGTATGATCGGGAGTTTGTTTCCCACTTTGAGTATCCCACACCAGCCCATCATGATGAGCAGGATATGCCGAAAGAACAAGCCTATGTCTCTGTCAGGAGCTCGGCCTACACTCGAGTAGGACCCTGGCAGAGACACATGCCTGACTGGCATGTTCTCTCCCTCCTGGTCAATCGTTCGGGAGCTTCAAAAGTTTTCTTCAACCCAAACATCACAGTGACCAATGCCAACCAACACGGGCACGCTTAGGGATCCGCAGAGTCTTTGCAGCTTTGTGTACCAGACCTCAGCAACTCAGCATTTTGGCTAATCTACTTTATTTATATATAAACACACACGAAGCACTGCAACATGGCTCCCTCTCTCTCTAGCATCAGACAGCAAAGAGAAAAGAACAAAGGACAACAGTCCCACTTCATGGAACACAATAACACAAACATCCCGTCTTCATCACTTCCCACTCTGTGGAGTCAAAACACATACCGTCATGTGACAGACAACAATCCCATGAATGCAACCATGGAGCAGGAATTCTAACAGTCTCCCTCTGTGAGTTGAAGCTGCCGAAGTGGCAGAATGTTGCCAGCGCAGCTGTGCTCTGCTTCTGAGGGGCTGTTAGCACCTTGAGAAGCACAGCACGAGAAATACACACCCCAGCTCTCCTCTCCAGCTTGGAGCTAGAGAGGCAGTGTGGGTGGGAGTGAGTTTCCCCCCGCAGTAGAGGTTGTGCTTTGGAGGTGGTTAGTGGGCCTTCAAAGCACCATGCCACTTCAGAGGTACTTCAGAAATGCAGTATTGCAGCATGAACGATCCCCCTGCCCTTCTCTCTAGGTCCAGACTTCTGCTTAAAAGTGCATCACAAGGTCAGGACCAAAACGCCATCCCTTGAGAACGAGTTAGGTAGAACGAGTTAGGTTCTTTTGAGCACAATGCCCGCCAACATTTGAAGGCACCTGCGTCTCATGGTCGGCTGGGGCGCTTACCTGGCCCCTTGTCACTAGCATCACTGCAGTGTGTCTGGAAGGTGAGGAGCAAGATTAGTGTGTTTCAAACGCACTGTTGGCATTTTCACCACACAGACTTCAATGCCACCTTGCACCTTTTCCTCCTGGTAAGGCGCAGCAATGCTCGTGATAAGAGGTCAGGTACATTGTACATGCACACAGCAGAGCTCTGCCTCTCTCATGTGTACATGAGTATATCTCTTATGAGTATATCTCATCAGCTGGTGGCTTAAATTGCAATTTGTGAACCATCTCCATTGAAAAGTATTGCATGCCAAGTGATGTTAACCTGAGAGTTTTGTCTCCAGCGTTGGAGATGTGAAGTCTGATTCATGCGTACAAATAATTAATCTGATGATGCAGCCACTGAGCGATGTACGAACTCCTTGTCAAATATATTCAAATACCTTTTAGGTTTCAGATGGTTAAATACTAGTGAGGGCAACGTGCTGCAGCCCATTTTGTTCCACATTACCATGTGCACAGTAAAATTAAGAGGCATAAAGACTCACTCTGTATCTGTCTGCTTTGACTTGCCTACCACAATTCATAATAAAAACCCATGTGGAATAAGGTTGCCAGAAGAGCCAAAAACATACCAGGATTTTGAGCTAGCATAAACTTAGATTTTGAAAACTTGCATTGTTGAACAGTTCCCAGGCTCTTTGCATAACCATGCAAATCCGTACTATGCGTTGACTGCAAACTATTGACCTCTGAGCAGCAAAAATGTTTTTACTCCATCTCTCCAAAGACTCGAGGCAGCGAATAAGAAATAAAGCCTAAAGTCACACAGCCCAAATACCAGCCAATAGCATTGAGCTTAAAATATTTTATCCACACAGTATTACTTCTGTTGTAAGCAGATACCCTCATGAACAGATAAATTTTGCACCTGCTCCTCAAAGCTTGGAGGGGTGCATTTAAAGAATATTTTATCAGAGGTGGTTTCTTCACTGCCATGGGGTAAAGCCGTGCTCTTCAGTGGCAATGTTCTCACGTCACAGCTCGCCTGCTTTGCTTCTCCTCCTGAAATGTGGGTGGTTGGGGGCACACAATCACTGGCTTATAATTGCGTCTGAAACCAGAATCCATGTTTTGGTTGACTCCAGAAAAACCACAATCGTTAGCCAAGGTTTGTTCTTTGCTTACCAGTTGTGATTTGTTTGAGTGAAACAAAGCACAATTCCTGCATTTGACATAGCAGAAGGACAGGGATCGCGCTTTGCTTCCTTTGGGGAAGAACAGAACAGAACAGAACAGAACAGCATGAAGCTGTACATTCAGTACAAACCATGGTTTATTGTCACCTGCAAATTGAGCTGATGACAAAGTTGTAGCCTTGCACATCAAAGGCACACAAAGTAGATAATCTGCGGTTTGCTGTCATGGCTAGAAGTGAGTTTTCAAGCTCGTTGAGCCTAGCCATCATTAACGTTGGCATCAGTGCCAATTTAGTGTGGCACCATGGTTGGCTCTGAAAATGGAAATGGAGTTCAGATGGAGGGGAAAGGAAGGCACATGTAAGCCTGGGAAGTGCTCCTCCTCCTCATATTCTAAGAATGGTTGAAAAAGTTATGTCTGCACTGGGCCTTGGAAGACCATGTACAGTAGTGGAGTGGGAGAAGATATTGGGGGAATTTAAGCACATAATTACATGATAGTAATAGTAATTATAGGGATAGTATCTAAAAGGGCTGGGTGAAGCAACTCTCTAGCTTGTGATTCATTTTGACGTGATTCCATCTAAGGGGTTCACTCTCACACTACATTTCACCTGCGTGTTTAACTTTTTTTGCACACGGGGAAAAAATACCATACAGAAAATAATTGTTTCAACACTTACTTGACTACATTACAAATCTTACAAGCTTTAAATCAGCCATTTAGACTTCCTGACCACAGAGGGTGGGGAAATTTTAAACTTCACGGGAACTGGTTGTTCTGTCATCAGGGAGGAAAAAACCCTGAAATGTCTTGAATCACTTTGAATGAGAATTACGAAGTTCAGCTGATTCAAATTATGAGTTAACACAGTTGGGGGAAATTGAATTCTTACTAAATCCCCTTGCAAAAATACAGGGGGAAAAATCTAAAAATAGGGACTTTGTAAAATGCATTAAAGTTGTTTGTGTTCCCTACCCTGTTTCAGGTTTAGATTTTAAGTATTGATATTATTTGTGCAGATTCCTCAGGGAGTTCTTGAAAGAAGCCGTATCGTAGCGCTAAATATAACTGGGAGCGCTGGAGCGCATTTGGATTTGCTGGTGGAAAACATGGGCCGAGTAAATTTTGGAAGATACAACAATGACTTCAAGGTACATCTCCGTCTTCCTTAAATATACAGCAAAATGTAACATAGCCCATGAATCGCTTTTCGAGGGTAGAATAGGTGACTTTGTGCTAATGCAAGCAAAACCTTTACATGCAATGTATTATAATTAATTAATTAGTTCAATTTATATACTGTCCTATACCCACAGGTCTCAGGGGTATTGAAAGGAAAGATCCTTTTGAAAGGGACCTCCCTTTAGAAAGTGGGAGTGCTGCTTGGGTAGTTTGGGCTTCTCTGTGGACTTGCTGGGGTGGTGCAAAAGGCTTCCTGTAGCCTTTTACATTTATCTATATATTGAGATCAGCCACAAGACACAGTATGGACCTTTGCCCTTCTTCTCCACTCTAATGATTGTAAAATGGGAGGTTGTGCTCTTCCCACTGTTGTTACTGACTCGCTGCAGAATAATTTTCTACCTCTGGGCTCCTTAATGCCACTCTTTAGGGAACATTATGAACCCATGTTGATTTGAAGACCGCCTAAGAGCGAGCTGCCTCAAGGATTCCTCTTAGCGTCAGCTCACACGTGCTTATTTTCCGCACGCGATCTCTCGCATATGTGACATTGACTGCTTTGCCACGAGCAAGTAGCCTGCTGGTGCATACTGCTGAATGGTCCTCATTTTGTTCACCCCTGCTTTGAGCCAAGGTCTGATTGGTAAATCATGGCTTATTTGGAAGAAAGGAACCACAAATGCTGGTTGGCTTGCCACATTAAGCCCAGGGTTCATAGTGTGTTGCTTCCAGCTCAACAATGGGAGCACAGAAGAAGTGCTGCTCATTCATACTGAGGAACAGTTTATGGGTTATTGAGACATGTGAGAGCTGTAAATGTGTGTGAAGGCTGCCTTTGTTTGTTTTGTGGTTTATTACTTACACCTATAGTCCACCCTTCATCCAACGGTTCCAGGGCAGGTTAGAAAAATACCACAATAAAAAACCCAGGTTACATTATAATCAAAACATGAAACCACAAAACCTCTGTGTGGATTGACTGTACATGTATGTAGCCTGTTGGGTTGAAATAACGACAGACGAGTAGCAGGTGTCATGTGAGAGGCATCTCTCGAGCAAGTCCCGAGGAGACTCTTTTATTGAATATTACAACATTGCCACAGGTGCGCTCGTTGCTGATTGGTTGACACAAACACAAAGCAACTTGTTGCTGATTGGTTAACACAAGTACAAAGCAAAGGTTACATATAGGCATTAATCACCAAGAGATTAAAGGCTGGGAAAGGGAGCACAGAACTAGACAGGCATGAAACCTCCTAATTAAATTATAACTAGTGATTGATATAGCAAGACTAAAACAATTACTAATGATTGATCATAGCATGAAAGAATACAACAATCGCGTTCTGTAGATGTGGTCAACTATGCATTAAGAACAGGTCAGGGTACACTGTTTCATGAACTCAATGGGAACTGTTCAGAACATTCTCAGACTCATGTGCAGAGGCAAAAACTTCCCAGCAGCGGCCATTAGCCCAATCTGTAATTGTGGCAGCATTTCCCCCCAAAAAGCAATGACAAACCTAGACAGCATCTTAAAAAGCAGAGACATCACCTTGCCAACAAAGGCCTATATAGTTAAAGCTATGGTTTTCCCAGTAGTGATGTATGGAAATGAGAGCTGGACCATAAAGAAGGCTGATCACTGAAGAATTGATGCTTTTGAATTATGGTGCTGGAGGAGACTCTTGAGAGTCTCATGGACTGCAAGAAGATCAAACCTATCCATTCTGAAGGAAATCAGCTCTGAGTGCTCACTGGAAGGACAGATCCTGAAGCTGAGGCACCAATACTTTGGCCACCTCATGAGAAGAGAAGATTCCCTGGAAAAGACCCTGATGTTGGGAAAGGTGGAGGGCACAAGGAGAAGGGGACGACAGAGGACGAGATGGTGGGACAGTGTTCTCGAAGCTACCAGCATGAGTTTGACCAAACTGCGGGAGGCAGTGGAAGACAGGAATGCCTGGCGTGCTCTGGTCCATGGGGTCACGAAGAGTCGGACACAACTAAACGACTAAACAACAACAACAACATCACCAGTTTAATTCTATAGAGCAGGGTTTCCCAAACTTGGGTCTCCAGCTGCTTTTGGACCAAAATTCCCATCCTCCCCAACCACTGGTGCTGCTAGCTAGGAATGATGGGAGTTGCAGTCCAAAAACAGCTGGAGACCCAAGTTTGGGAAACCCTGGTGTAAAGCAGGGATGGGAACCTGTGGCCCTCCAGGTGATGTTGCAGTCGAACATCCCCAGCCAGCATTACCAATGGTCATTTGAAGCCACCACAGATTCCACTTCCCTTGTGGAAGGTAAAAATGTAGAGGACCCCTGAATGGTCAAGTCCAGCCAAAGGCGACTATGGGGTTGCGGTGCTCATCTCGCTTTCAGGCCAAGGGAGCCAGTGTTTGTCCACAGACAGCTTTCTGGGTCATGTGGCCAGCGTGACTAAACCGCTTCTGGTGCAACGGGACACCGTTGACGGAAACCAGAGCACACGGAAACACTGTTTACCTTCCCGCCACAGCGATACCTCTTTAACTACTTGCACTGGTGTGCTTTCGAACTGCTAGGTTGGCAGGAGCTGAGACAGAGCAACAGGAGCTCACCCCACCGTGGGGTTTCGAACCGCCAACCTTCTGACCGGCAAGCGCAAGAGGCTCGGTGGTTTAGACCACAGCGTCACCTGCGTCCCTTGTGTAAAGCCTGTCTCGCACTGTGGTTTCTCTTTAAGAACCCATATGCCAGAGGGGTCTGATGCAGAAAATCAAAATATCTGAACTGGTCTTTAGTTCAGTGAAGGGAAGTGGGGCAGTCAAATGCAAAAGAGGACAGGTTTCCTGTGCCTGATACATTCCCTCTTCTACGTCCCATCAAAGGTGAATTCTTTTGCATCTGGAAGTTACCTTTGGTGCTTCATTTGAGAAAGCCCCCTATGATGTTACAATGTGTTGCAGTGGAAAAACCTTTTCAATCTATTATAGTTTTTTAAAGAGGTTTAAATAGAAGTTCTTTAGTGTCTAAAACTTGCATACAGGATGTGGAAACTTGTGCATGTGAAGAATTATGTATCATCATGTTTAAAGGTGAGATCAAATCCTAGATAAATTTTATCTTGCAAAACATCTCTAAAAATGGAGCTTCAGAAAGGAAGTTCTCAGGTGCAGAGCTGAGAGCTTTAGAACTTGGTTCTTCTCTTTTTAGATCTTTGAGCAGGTCACTTTCGAATGTTCATCTTGACACCTGTATTTGCTATTCAAATAAAGCAGCTTCCGAGTTTGTGATACTGACTTCTGGTTTAATTTGCTCTTAAAAGTGAAATGAGGTTGCCACAAATTTGAGAAAGGTTGATGAAATATAGCCCTAGTGTTTTGTTGAATGGCAAAAAAGAGGAAGATCTGCTTATGTGACAAACGTATTAGCATGTCATTTGGGTCCAGCAAGAGAGTGTTTGGTCTGACACGGCTTTGGATAGACAGTGTTACTTCTTAGATTCTACATCTATTTCCTGGAGCAAACCCAGGAATTCATTGCTGGGACTAGTTTTTCAGTAAACATGTATAGAATTTCACTGGTTGTGTAGTGCTTTTAGCTGATGACAGCATTCAGACCTGTAAAGTTCTGAAGAATAGCAATAATTAGCTGCAAAATAACTTTGTAAGCACACTGCAAAATTGAAGTAACTTGTAGTTTGTTCTAAAGGTTCCCTAGGATGGTTGTTTCTGCTTTTTAGTGTATCATTTGAGTTCCCAGTTTAGAAACCCCTCATGAAGTACAAAAAAATAAAACAGAAACAGCACAACGTAAGGCCGATTAAAACAAGACAACCTTTTATTGAATGAAGTAATTTCTCCTTTTTAAATGTTATTTTATAGCCAACACTAACAACAGCGAGAATCTTTTTAAAGGCTCATTTCTGCTTTCCTCTCTCTGATTGTATTTATGACCAATCTGTTTGCAGGGCTTGGTTTCGAATTTAACTCTGGGCAATGAGACACTTGCCGACTGGGAGATATACCCCCTGGACATAGACACAGCCGTGAGCCAGGGTCTTAAGAACGAGAGGTCTGGTGGAAACGGATCGAGCAATGAAGAACCTTCTTTTTATACTGGCAGTTTTTCTATTCCTAGTGGAATCCCTGACTTACCTCAGGATACATATATTGCATTTCCTGGGTGGACAAAGGTACTTTTCCCTCCCTTTCTTTCACGAAAAGTTCAGTAGATATGGTTGCTAACTTCAAGGCCCTGTTACTTAACGAAAAGTTCTTAAAAGATACAGTGAGAGGCTTTGAGTCAGAGTTTGTTGACAGACCTTCCATTGGGCAAACTGGAGTGACTGCTTCAGGTGTGGCAAAGGGGCATCCCTCCTGGCTCTCCAATTGCCTTGCTGGCTTTCTCTGGCCCTTCTGCCTATCTGCCTTGAAGTGAGACTCCCCACCTCCTCCCCCCTTGCCAAGGGGGTCCGCAAAGCCAGACATTCAGGGTGGGATAGCTGCGGAAGTGCCTGTGCCACGGTTGCACTTGGCCGCAGCAGCTAATGATGCCTAAAATTGGGCAAAGGGGATTGTTTAAAGTTACAATCATACCTTGGTTTGAGAATGGCTTAGTTGACGAACAAATCAGATCCCAAACGCTGAAAACCTGGAAGTAGGTGTTCCAGTTTTCAAATGCTTTTCAGAAGCTGAACGTCCGACGCGGCTTCTGCTTGAGTACAGGAAGCTCCTGCAGCCAATCGGAACCCACGCCTTGGTTTTCGAATGTCTCAGGAGTTGAACTGACTCCCGGAACAAATTAAGTTTGAGAACCAAGGTACCACTGTATTGTACAGTGGTACCTTGGGTTAAGAACGTAATTCATTCCGGAGGGCTGTTCTTAACCTGAAACTGTTCTTAACCTGAGGTACCACTTTAACTAATGGGGCCTCCCGCTGTCGCCGCGTGATTTCTGTTCTCATCCTGAAGCAAAGTTCTTAACCCGAGGTACTATTTCTGGGTTAGCGGAGTCTGTAACCTGAAGCGTCTGTAACCCAAGGTACTACTGTAATTCCACACTCCCTGCACCCTAATTTTAGCCATTGTCATTATTAAAAGCAGTGCCAACCTTCACCCCCCACTCCCTGCAGCTAGATATAAAAGCAACACAAAATGAACATCTAAGGCAAGAGGCCTTTCCCTCCAGTTGGGAAAGCTTGTTTTTTTAACAACAACAACAACTTTATTCATATGCTGGACCTCTGGCTGGGTTGCCCCAGCCACTCTGGGCAGCTTCCAACAAATTAAAGCACCATAAGACATCAAACATTAAAATCTTCCCTATACAGGGCTGCTTTCACATGTCTTCTAAAACTCAGATAGTTGTTTATTTCCTTGACATCTAATGGGAGGAAGTTTCTACTAAGAAGATCCTTTGCTTGGTTCCCTGTAATCTCTTTCCCACAACTGATCCCTGTCAGTGTAATTATTTGAAACCAACAATTTACAAAAGGTTCACAGGGCTTAACTTATTAATTCCTTAGATTTGTGGGAGAGGTCCTGGGCTGCTGCTTTTCCGTACAGAGGTGAGGGCCGCAAAATTTTGGGTCCGCCGTGTAGAATGCTGTACCAACGCTATAAAGTGCAGTCCTGACAAGGGATGGCAGCTTCCATTACAGTGGTGCCTCGCAAGACGAAATTAATTCGTTCTGCGAGTTTTTTCAGCTTGCGAGTTTTTTCGTCTTGCGAAGCACGGTTTCCCAAAGTCTTCAAAATCACCAAAGTCTTCAAAAACCTCAAAAAAGGCTACCACACCGCGTGCTATGAGTTGCTCCTCAAAGTCACCCTGGGTATTAACGGTTTTAAGAAAAAGGAAACAAACTTGCAAGACGTTTTCGTTTTTTTCATTTTTCATCTTGCGAAGCAAGCCCATAGGGAAATTCGTCTTGCGAAGCAACTCAAAAAACGAAAAACTCTTTCGTCTTGCGAGTTTTTCGTCTGGCGAGGCATTCGTCTTGCGAGGTACCACTGTACTGCCCATCCGGTAAAAAACTTGAGCTTTAAAGAATTTTTCTCCTGTAGGTAGATTGGCTTTTAAATGGCTGTGTTGTTTTTCTTTTACAGACAGACTGGCTATTCTTATGATTCGTGTATCTGTGGTTTTTATTTTTGCTTTTTCGGTAGCGTTGTGTGCCGAATGCCTAGCACAGAATGCAGCATACTTTAGCCTTGAATACAGAAATAAAAAACTGGCGCTGCTAAATATTTTCCTCAGTAAACCTCTTCCTGCAGAAGAGAGAGTGGTTCATTTTAAGCCTTGGCAAAGCAAACCACAGCCAGAGATGCTTTTGATAAGGATGTTTCTGAGGCTGAAACCCATTCATACCTTGTGGAAAGTAACTGATAATTATCTCAGCCCAGAGCTACACACCTAACAACTCGGCTCTTAAAATGTACAAATTAAATGTTTGGGCAGAGTGGTTTTGGAAAATAAAAGTGAGTGCATTTTGCAGAGGTAGATGTGTAGCATAAGTTCATCAGTGGGATACATTTTTAGACCATGCCAAGCATGACTCCATATTTCCTCCCCACTTCACATTTTACCTAATATTTGGCCTGAGGCGGTTATGCTGCAGGCTTGAATACTGATGCCTAAAGATGGAAGGGACAAAGCTATTTTGCAAGCATTCATTATAGCAGAGCCCTTTTAATGCCACACTTGTGTCAGTGCAGTGCAAAATGAGTTTTTAAAGAGAGCACTGAATTCTCAGTTAAGGATGTCAGGTTTGCCAGATTTCCAGAGTCAGTTTCTTCTAATGGTTTGTTTCTTTGCAGGGACAAATCTGGATCAATGGCTTTAACTTAGGGCGCTATTGGCCAACCCGTGGACCTCAACTAACACTGTTTGTTCCAAGCAACATCCTTGTTTCATCCTTTCTAAACAACATTACAGTTCTGGAGTTGGAGAAGTCTCCATGTGGCGCTCAGAAGTGTTTTGTAGAGTTTGTAGACAAACCCATTCTCAATGCAACTCTTCACTATGAAAGCAGTACCGAGAAACTATTCACTAAAGATTTATGGCCGAACCATAGATGAGTGTATTAGAATGCCTCTTTACTTAGTTTATTCTGCAGATCCTTCATTTCCAATGCTATTGGTTGTGGGGGGTGGAAATCAGTATTTTTAAAATCAGTGGAAAGTGTCAAATTTAATTCATTATTTTGAAAGTGAAAATAATGCCTTTTTTATCTGCAACAACAAAAAAAAATCATTCCTATGCATGCCAAAGGGTTTCAACAAACAATCAGGCTATCAGTTTGTTTAATAAATTGCTGAACACATATCAGAATCAGATCTTTTTTCCTTATGAATTTTGGGGTGCTGCAATTTTACCTATTGCCTTTGCAGTCAGACCACTAATGCTTAGATTCATAACTTGATGGAAGTTGTGAAAGGCTGAACGACTTTTAGTACATGAAAGTGAACAAAACATTTTAAGGACTCATTTGACCACCATTTTGTTTAGGGTTACAATTAATATTTTTACCAATTTTTCCACATTTGAAAGAATATGCATAAGAAACATTTGGCATTTCATAGGAGACGGGCTAAGGGTGGTGAGCCTTTAACATTTGGGCAGAAGCTGGTTTTAATCACCCAAATTTCAGCATCTTCTTTTTTTTTTTACTCCTGCCACAAAGTTTGGGCCCCACTTCCAAAACTGAAAATATTAGAAAGAGTTATAAAATGGGGAATGCCAACATGGTACCAATAATAATAATAATAATAATAATAATAATTTATTATTTATACCCTGCCCATCTGGCTGGGTTTCCCCAGCCACTCTGGGCGGCTTCCAATAAAACACTAAAATACAATAACCTATTAAACATTAAAAGCTTCCCTAAACAGGGCTGCCTTCAGATGTCTTCTAAAAGTCTGGTAGTTGTTTTTCTCTTTGACATCTGGTGGGAGGGCGTTCCACAGGGTGGGTGCCACTACCGAGAAGGCCCTCGGCCTGGTTCCCTGTAACTTGGCTTCTCGCAGTGAGGGAACCGCCAGAAGGCCCTCGGCACTGGACCTCAGTGTCCGGGCAGAACGTAGAAACTATTGCACTTGGAATAGCTTTCATTGGCACCCCAGACTCCAAGCTTTTGTTTTTTAAAAAAAATAAGTCTGTAGCCCTCCTAGAACAAAACCCATGAAGCAAAATGTGATGGTCCCCCTTCTGTGAAATGAGCCTGCCTCACTGCCACTGAGTGAAGTCAGAGCTGTGATAATGAGTTGTTTGGATACCAGGTTATAGGAATCTCCGGAGTCCTAAAGAGCTGCTGTTTCCTCCTCTGCTTTGATGTACTTTTCCTACTTATGTCTTTATTTTCTCGTGCTTAGCATCTCTGCCATTTCCCCTCCTGTTTTCCTGAGCAACTAGGATGCATCATTCCTGTGGTGGATTTGTCTGAGACCAGTCCCTAGAAGTTATTTTCTGCAAATATCACCACTGAATAAATGTGGGTGGATGTTAAAGGATCCCCCTCACCCCAAAATGTGAATGTGAAGACTTTTCATGTCACTTGCTCTGAAGGAGCTAAAGAGCAGGCAGTACTTAGGGATTCACTGTATATTTAATGGGTTTAGGGTTTAACAATAAAGCAATGAACAGGGTGGTGATACAATGACTACGGCAATCGACGCAATATAATATCACCAAGGCATCTGTAAACAAACAATAAAGGTCCATAAAAATGGCGAAAGTAGTTTATTTCCCAAATCAGTTTTATCTGAAACAATAGCAATCGCTGTAAATAAAGAGTTCACTTGTAATATGTCAGTGCTTCAGTGCTCATTTCTTCTCTTTCCGAAACAGATTTTATCATGAACAATTGCAAACACAGTAATAAAGAGTCCATCTACTGTGTTTGCTATTGTTTAAGAGAAAACTGATTTGTGAAAGAAACTACTTTCGCCATTTTTATGGATGTTTATTGTTTGTTTACGGATAGTTGCCTTGGTGATATTATCTCGTGTTGATTTGGTTTAGGGTTGGCATTGGGTGAAAACAGAGTTCTTGCGCCTTTAACAGCTGTATGGCAGGCAGAAATTCATCATATGAGCCAACCCATCATTTGCGATCATCATCTGAGGTCCTTCTTTGTGTTCCTCGTCCTCAAGACGTCTGGAGGGCAGCAACACGAGGACGGGCCTTTTCTGTGGTGGCTCCCTGCTTGTGGAATGCCCTCCCCAGGGAGGCTCACCTGGCACCTTTGTTACATATCTCTTGGTGCTGGCAAAAGCATTTCTCTTCTCCCAGGCCTTTGGCTAATTAAATCTACAGCCTTTTGAACTGTGAGGGGGTTGTTGTTTTTGTTTGTTACAATGGTACGCATTTTTGTGTTTTTACATTGTAAACCGCCCTGCGATCCTCAGGTATATAAATTTAGTAAATAAATAAAGCCAGGCGACACATTTTCCAATATGGAAGTAGAATTATGGGGGAAACTTTGCCATGACTGCACTGCCTCATGTTGTATTATGTCGTGCCTCCCACAGTGGCCATGTTGAGTGGGAGCCATTTTTTGACTGGCGCCCACACCACACTGATCCAAAAAGATTGATGGCCCCTCATCTAGTTTCAGAGTACAATGCTGTGCCAATTTGAAGTTTTGAACTTGGTTTTGAAAGTTTAGTATTCATTAGTGTTTAAGTGAGTAGTATATGCGGCTGTGCATCCAGTAAGCATACTGGATACAGTCGTGTGTAAATTGGGGTTTATTTTAGGTGGTTCCAGACTGCCTTATTGCCTGACTGTGAAAGAATACCCTAGTCTAGACACCTGTTTCCCTGTTTCCAGAATAAGTCGCTCCGTATGTTATCTATCTATCTGTCAAGTGCTGCAACTGAGGTATTAGTTACTGTTCCACACAGCAGTGCTCCTCTGTGGCCTTTCAAGTTCAAATCTCCAAAAAACCAAAAAAAAAGTACACATGAAACCAACTCCAGTATAGGTTCCAGTTCTTGGATCTTGTTCTGAAGCTGATTGTGTGCCTTATTTACCATTTAGACAATACATTTTTTTCTTTTCTTTTTAGACGTTAGAGGACTTGGCATAGCATAATCTGCTGAAGTCATCATGTGAACCGTGGCCCTTAGCAGACAAGCATTGCATGGCCAACATATTGTTGTTTGTGTAACTACCCAGGTGGATTCATAGAGAAACTTGAGTGGTTGCTATGATAACTGCAAATTCCTGGAAGATGCTTTTTCCAATTCATACCAGGATTTCCGAGAGAGGGGGACATTCCCTTTCTTGCCAGCCTATACATTTGCTTAGCTCCTTGCTGGACAGTAAGGATAGCTCCATTTTTGCAGTGCCTTAGCAGTGCTAAAGGGCTCTGGTATGGAAACAACCTCTTTTTCTGTCTGGATAATATCAAAGTGCCTAATCATCATTGCTGCAGGAATTTGTATTGTCCATAATCATGGAAACTGTCTATCTTTTGCACTGTTGTTTTTTTAAATTACTGTAACAGCTGTTGGCTTTTCTGGCTTTTATAAGGTGAGTCTTTGCATAATAATAGCAGATCAACACTACGACAATAAAATATTTTCGTAAGAGTTTCTAGTCTTCTGGTTTGAATTTATCCAAAATGGCCACATAAATTGTGGTGGCTTTCGACAGAATGATTTCCAACCACCCCATAGTAATAATGCTGTGGGTTTTTATATATTTATCTATACAGTGGTACCTTGGGTTAAGAACTTAATTCGTTCTGGAGGTCCGTTCTTAACCTGAAACTGTTCTTAACCTGAAGCACCACTTTAGCTAATGGGACCTCCTGCTGCCGCCGCACCGCCGGAGCACAATTTCTGTTCTCATCCTGAAACAAAGTTCTTAACCTGAAGCACTATTTCTGGGTTAGCAGAGTCTGTAACCTGAAGCGTATGTAACCTGAAGCGTATGTAACCCGAGGTACCACTGTATATCTATATATCTTTATATCTCTATCTATCTATCTATCTATCTATTTATCTATCTATCTATCTATTAGAACCAGGCTGCGTAAAGTGAGGACATGGGGAATGACCCACTGCACTTTTAAGAAGCCTAAAGCCATTTCTATTATTCCTTACTATGCAGAGTTTATTTTCCAATAACAGAGATGGACATACCATGTCCCAGAAAAGCAGTCGCTTAAATCAGTTAAGAATGCACATGCACCTTCCCCACCAGGTAGACAACCCTAGACAACTGCTGTAATTGACAAAGGAAGCAACTACAGAAGTCTTTTTTTCCTCCCTCTTCCCTGGATATACAATGGAAGGAAAACTGAGCATCATTGCTGCCTTTGATTCTCACTGTGTGTCTAGAATCCTGAAGGACAGAATCACTTTTAATGAACCGAGCAACTGGCTAGAATATTGCCTGTGTGGTATTTCCAAGCTAAACTAGAGACATAACAGTGTGAACCTAACCCTTTCTACTCAGAAGTAAATCCTATTTAATTCAGTGTGGTTTACTCCTAGATAAGTGGGGAGTAGGATTGCAAGCCCTAATCAGGTTCCTCGGTTATTGTAGCAGCTGTAGACAAGCTTGTGAGGCTGCCAACTCATGCGTACATCCCCACCCCTGTATTTGAATATTGCACAGGGAAAAGTTCCATTTTCAGTGAAGCTGGGTGGGTTCACAATAACCCTAGAATAACCTTATTTGTCTGAAGGCAAATTTGCTACACAGAGCTAGAAATCCATTCTCTTTGTCAGCATTAGAGTAGACCTCAGCAGTGGAGCAGTAGATGCCATAAATACTCCCATGTGGTACCTTTTAAAAATAATAATAATCTGGCTACAAAGAGTTTCATGTACAACCATTCTGTGTTGCACCATTAGCTTCTTTGTGGAACTGCAGAAAAGAAGAAATCAGTGCGATAGAGGGACATTAGTAACTTCAGTGCTATTTTTCTAGAAAAAGGTGCCAGAACTAACCGTGAACACCTCCCTTGTTCTCTAATGCCAGTGGCGCCCACCTGAGAGGTGCTGGAACTGAGTTCCAGCGAGTTCCAACTGGGAAGAAAAAAGCCCAGGTAGATTTCATTTTA